CTGTTCCGGACCCTGAGTCTGACCGGTATCGTGCTGAGCACCCTACTGTCACGCGTCTCCTAGCTACTGTTGTCACTGACCCTACCTTTGAGTCCTCGGCTGCGTCTGCTCTGGTCGCTGAGTTGGTTGACTTTGCTGCTGCCTGTCGTCTAGACTACGCTGCTCGCCTTGTTGCTGGGTCTGAGTCTGCGTCTGTCTGTCCTCCGTCCGTCGGGGGTGAGTGTGCTCTTGGCACGGACGTCCTTGAGGACAGGCAGGAGGACTTTGACTCTCTCGCGGCTGCTGTACCTCATCTCGTGGCCTGGTTGCTTGCCCCTGAGGGAGACCCGGATGCACTAGACATCCCCACTCCGCGCACTTACGCAGAGGCGATCTCGGGTCCCTACTCCTCTCAGTGGCAGACAGCCATGGACGCAGAGATGGCATCCTGGAAGTCCACAGGCACCTACGTCGACGAGGTTCCCCCTCCTGGGGCGAACATCGTCGATGGCATGTGGATTTTCAGGGTGAAGCGGCCGCCAGGTTCTCCGCCTGTCTTCAAGGCTCGTTACGTTGCTAGAGGCTTCAGTCAGCGTCAGGGGGTCGACTTCTTCCAGACCTTCTCCCCCACCCCGAAGATGACCACTCTTCGGGTTCTGCTGCACGTTGCTGCTCAGCGTGACTACGAGCTTCACTCTCTTGACTTCAGCACAGCGTTCCTGCAGGGCAGCCTGCACGAGGAGATCTGGCTGCGCCGCCCCCCTGGCTTCACTGGGTCAGTTCCTCCTGGCACCCAGTGGAGCCTCCGCCGGCCAGTCTACGGTCTCCGTCAGGCGCCACGCGAGTGGCACGACACACTGAGGACTACACTTGCGGCTCTTGGGTTCGCGCCGTCTACTGCTGACCCGTCGCTGTTTCTGCGCACAGACACGTCGCTGCCGCCGTTCTACATTCTCGTGTACGTCGACGACTTGGTCTTTGCTACTGCTGACACTGAGGCACTCGCTCGTGTGAAGTCGGAGCTGCAGAAGAGACACACCTGCACTGACCTGGGTGAGCTGCATAGCTACCTTGGCTTGCAGATCACCCGGGACAGAGCTCGCCGCACCATCACCCTGACTCAGTCACACATGGTGCAGCAGGTCCTTCAGCGCTTCGGCTTCCAGTTCTCCTCACCACAGGCCACACCTCTGGCTACCAGCCACTCGCTCTCAGCTCCACCTCCGGACGAGTCCGTAGAGCCGAGTGGCCCGTACCCAGAGCTTGTGGGCTGCCTCATGTACCTGATGACTTGCACGCGACCTGACCTCGCGTACCCTCTTAGCATCCTTGCTCGTTACGTTGCGCCTGGGAGACACAGGCGAGAGCACTGGGAGGCTGCTAAGAGGGTGCTGCGCTACTTGTGCAGTACATCAGGCATGGGGCTGGTGCTTGGAGGACACGACAGAGTTGTCCTCACTGGCCACTCGGACGCTTCTTGGGTGGACGACCTGGCTACGCAGCGGTCGTCACAGGGTTACACCTTCAGCCTTGGCTCTGGTTCTGTCTCGTGGCGGTCCACCCGCTCTTCCTCTGTTCTCGGCTCTAGTTGTGAGGCTGAGATCTACGCCACAGCCATGGCTGCACAGGAGTTACGCTGGCTCACCTACCTGCTGACTGACTTGGGAGAGCGGCCTAGTTCTCCTCCAGTTCTGTACGGTGACAACAAGGCGGCTCTTGCCTTGTGTCAGGAGCATAGACTGGAGCACAGGACGAAGCACATTGCTCTTCGCTACTTTCTTGCTCGAGAGCTTCAGCAGCGCGGTCAGCTTCGGCTTGTGTACGTGGACTCGAAGGCCAACACTGCTGATATCTTCACCAAGGCGCTCCCGCCTAGTGATCATCAGCGGCACTGTACTTCTTTAGGCCTTGTGTCCACGTTTCCTCACTTGCTCACTGCTTGACATTCTTTGTACTGTACTTTATATATATCTTGTTGCTTGCTTGCTAGGTTTTGATCACTGTGTTGCTTGTCTTGTACTATATCTAGCACTGCATGTGAACTGGCCTTGTGGCCTTTGCTTGTGCTCGGAGTGTGGTGACGTTGTGATCCACCCTGGGCTTGCGTTGCTTTGCTGGACTGGTCTTGTGACCCTTTGTTCTCCCCCACTTTGCCTATGGAGGTGTGTTAAATTGTAATGTGTTATATGTTGGTAGGCTGTAGTGGGGTAGCCAATATGGGGTACAACCCCAACTAGGGTTTCATATTTGTACCCAAACTTCTGCTAGTTCATTCATTCTTGCCTAGTTATTCTGAAACCTTACCCAGCTGCCTACCATCAACACATCCGTAGTCCAGGTTTGGAATCTTGTAGATTGTCCCACTTTCCTCATCCTCAAAGCACGGACATGCAGTGACCACGAGAGTCCCGAGGCTGGTGAGAGTGGTCATGGAATCGGGCAAGCATACCATGTTAGCGCAGTTACTCATAGTCAGCCGCTGCAGTCTTGAAAGTTTCCCAATCTCGTCTGGAAACTCAATCATGTCTGGAAAACCAAACAGGAAGAGCGATGTCAGATTTGAGAGATGGCAAAAAGACGAAATGAAGTCTTCTTGATCCTTGAAGCTGCCTCTGCAATTATTTGGCCAGCCAAACTCAAGAGATGTGAGGCTGCTCCATTGCTGGGTGAAGGTTTGAGAGACACTTACAATGCCATCACAGTAGTTGAATACGAAGGTGCAGAGATTGGAGAGCCTGGAGATGGAATGTGGAAAGTGACTGAGAGTTCTAAGCTGGCTCAGCTCGAGATGCTCCAGCGACGACAGCAGACCCATGCTCTCTGGAAGTTCCTTGAGCTGTCCGCAATTCTTAAGAACCATCACACGGAGGTTGGGAAGATGGCAGAAGGAATCAGGAATCGTGTGGAACCTCCTGCAATTCCTGATAGTTAGCGTCTTGAGAGAAATGAGGCCTGACACTGCGCTTGGAAGGGATGTAAACATGCCACAATGCACGATCTCAAGAATTTGTAGAGAACGAAGATGGAAAGAAGTATCCGGCAGGTCTAGTAGGCAGTGATTGTAATGAGAGTAAAACTCTTGGAGGTTCGGAAGCTGGGCAATGGTGTCCGGAAGAGTTCTCAATTCCTCCAGTTCACCGATGCTGAGCTTGACAAACGATTTCAAGCCACCGAGGGAGTCAGGTAGACGGTCCAACCTTCCCTGATCTCAAAAACAGCTTCAGCTCGATCAGCCCGGTGAGCTGGCCGAGTGATTCTGGGTAGTGGTCAATCCATATAGCGCCGAGTGTCAGCTTGGTCAGGGAAGTTAACTCGTCGAATCTATCAGGATAAATGTTGAAGTTGACATTCAGATAGACCTTCGTCAGGGATGAAAGGTTGAAGAAGGATGGTGGCATCTCACAAGTGTCTTCGTCGTGACCCATGATTTCAAGGGAGACGTATTGCAACGCGGTGCACGATATGAAGAGGGCATCTGCACCGTCATACGTCAACCCATTATCACAAACGTTGTTCAGGTTAAGATGAGTCAACCTTGGACAGACAGATCCTAGGTCATAGAAAAACTCGTCACTATCTGGATCTAGAACGCACTCGTTGATGGTGAGAGAAGCCAGACGACTGAATCGGGAAAGAGAATCCAGAAGGTCAATGTCTAAAGTAAGACGAGGCCTTCTATTGGTGATGGACGTCTGTGAAAGGTAAGCGAGGCAATTCCATCGTTTACAGACCAACGCGTGATTGAAGGAGCTGGGTGACTGCTTGTTTAGGCAACGAAAGATGAGGCAGATGAGGTCATTTGGCAGTCTATTAAACGATGCTTGCAACTTGAGTCTACGGGGACGCGAGACTAGGGCTCGGGACGATGGATCTGTTCCAACTTGAGACATTGTTCGCACGTTGCTGCGAACTATGGCAAGCTAGAGCGATTAGGAAATTAGAGCCGTTCGCACGGATCGCGAACTATGATTAGAGCTATTGGGAAAGTGTGGTATAGAAGGAGCTCTCTGTCACTGTGGTCGGGGTGGATTTCAGATCTGGCTCTAGGTTCTGCTGCTGTAGCTTTCGTATTGTGGTTTCGCTGCTGTGGTTATTGCTGCTGTGGTTTCGCTGTCTTTTGTCGCTGAGGTTCGCGGCATCTCGTTTTGGAGGGAAATTTGTGATCCAGCAAGTTCACTCTGTTTCTGTTACCTCGTTCGTTGAGTTGAATCTCCACGATGATGCCGAAAGCTTTTTGATGAAACAGATTCGCCTCAAGCCCTTTCGCGTAAGGACCAAACGAGAATTGGTAACACTATCGCAGGAAACAACTCTTCGCCAAGTCTTCACCAGCCCCCTCATACGGCTGACACTCGACCCAACACTTGCTCCAAGCAAACAACATAATTATTTCCAATACCATGAGCTCCAAGTCTGCTATTTTTGCGCTCCCAGTACTTTCAAGCTGCGACTTTCTAAGATCACATTCCTAGTAGTAGCCAATGGCTCCGGACGGGCCAGCTCCGATCGACGTCTCAATCAAGTGTCGCGAATCTTCAGAAGGCTATCGCCGACCGATTTGTGATCACCCACGGATATGGTTACCACCAGTCATGTACAGCAGTCCACTTCCGCTTCAACTCGCCGCAACGCGTCTTAGGGAATCATAAAAGCACGGAATATTTCGTGCACCGTAACGGTGAATGCTCTAATCAGTTCAAAATGCACGGTGACGAACCATCATTCGCCGCGCATGTCACCTTCTGAGCCCGCGAATCTCTTCCTCTTCCCTTATGTCGAGCGCAACGTGTGCGACCTCGGGATATTCTGTAGCCACAGCGAGCCTTCCCTCCGTCTTTCCTTTTTCATCGCGGGAACTTCCTCTAGGCTTTCTCTTAACGCCTCAACGAGTTCGAACTCCCAGTTAGCTATTAGGAATCTTGTTTCTCACACTGTGAGACGTGCATGTGTGACTTTCTCTGCGATTTGATCACGTAGATATGTATGCATGAGGTGTCCGCGTAGTGACTGGAACGTGACTGATGGTGACATCACGGAAACGTGACTCACGAATCACGGGGTAGGTTGCATTAGGGTTGCTGGAGCCCTCGCGGAAAAGCTGCGGCAAAGTTGCGGAGCAGTCACTTTGCACGTAGCCCTGCCCCGGTAGCTCTTGACCTTGACTTTTTTTTTCGCCGAACACACAGTTGCGGAAAGGCATCTTTGAAGTTGCTGGCACGCAACTTATCGTGCCTTAGATTTTCGCGATGCAGACATGACGTGCGTCGGCTCTCGCTGGTTGCCTGTCTTCGCTCGGAGTCATTCGAAGATCTTAGAAACGCCTCACATATCGCCACATCAGTTTGGTATTGTCAGTCTTCCCCCCCACCCCTCCTCTCCCTTTCCATCCGCCATCCAGACGACGCTTTGGCCGTTCGCGCCTTTGAAATGCCGATCCATTCTTGTGCTCGGTATTGCCACGTCATTCAACCAAGATGTGACGCGTGAAGCTGCCACACGCATCGCTCGAGGCCTGGTGGGTTCGCTGTGTGTAGAATTCCTTATTTTCCGGGCTAAAACATTCTGATTCGTGTGTTTGTGGAACCTCTCGATTTTCCAGGAAGCTTCTCCCTTTTACTTGCTCTCAGCCTACCAACACCTTCATTCCTTTCCTGCATCTCTTCACAACACTGCCCCCTATTTCCCCCCTTCTGTCCCCAACCCCCTATTTCCCCCCTCTCCTCCCCCCACCCTCCTCTTCCCCTATTACCCCACCACCGCATCCCGCATCTTCCCCCCCTCTTTTCCCCTTCCTTTCCCACTCTCTGCCAGTGCATAGCAGCAGGACGCCCATACACGCCTGTTGTTCAGGGCGCCACAGCTCTGCTCTCCACCGCACCATCCCCAGCAGTAAGGCCACTTTCCTTGTTGAACCTTCTCTCGTGCGCCTTCCCTTTTCTTCCCCTACCTCCCGAATCTCCCCGTTCTTGCACCCAGCTCTCCCTCCTCCCATCGCCTACACTATCGGTCTCTTTCCCCCGTTGTGCGCTTCCCTTCTTCCCTCCTGCCCTCCCGTGTTTTCAGCTCTGCGCTCCAAGCCTTCATTAAAGCACCACCACCACCACCATTTTATTATGTCCACGCTTCCTTTTTCCTCTCCCCTCACTCCCTCTCCTCCACCCGCCCGCCTACCATATCCCCCTTTTCTCCCTCTCATTGTCTGTTCAACAGTCAAACGCCCTCGAGACCACCGCAACCAGCAGCACCAGCAGCATCACCAGCACCAGCAGCTGTGCCCCACCAGCAACACTGTAAGCATCACTGATACCTAAGCTGACACTCATAGTGCTGCTGCTAGTGGCGGGGATGGAAGTAGGGGGGACAGGGGAAGCAGGCAAGCGCTCAGGGCGGGGCAGGGGAAGGGACGGAGCAGGGGGCGTGGAAGTGGATGTGTGAGGAGGGGGCGAGGAGGCCCGGGCAGATCAGCATGGTGCAGCTGGGAGGGAACCATGACCAACCTCGCCCAGGTGAGTGCTTGCAGGAGTGCTTGACTCCTTGCCCTTGACTCCTTGCCCCTTGACTCCTTGCCCCTTGACTCCTTGCCCCTTGACTCCTTGCCCCTTGACTCCTTGCCCCTTGACTCCTTGCCCCTTGACTCCTTGCCCCTTGACTCCTTGCCCTTGACTCCTTGCCCCTTGACTCCTTGCCCCTTGACTCCTTGCCCCTTGACTCCTTGCCCCTTGACTCCTTGCCCCTTGACTCCTTGCCCCTTGACTCCTTGCCCTTGACTCCTTGCCCCTTGACTCCTTGCCCTTGACTCCTTGCCCCTTGACTCCTTGCCCCTTGACTCCTTGCCCCTTGACTCCTTGCCCCTTGACTCCTTGCCCCTTGACTCCTTGCCCCTTGACTCCTTGCCCCTTGACTCCTTGCCCCTTGACTCCTTGCCCCTTGACTCCTTGCCCTTGACTCCTTGCCCCTTGACTCCTTGCCCCTTGACTCCTTGCCCCTTGACTCCTTGCCCCTTGACTCCTTGCCCCTTGACTCCTTGCCCCTTGACTCCTTGCCCCTTGACTCCTTGCCCCTTGACTCCTTGCCCCTTGACTCCTTGCCCTTGACTCCTTGCCCCTTGACTCCTTGCCCCTTGACTCCTTGCCCTTGACTCCTTGCCCCTTGACTCCTTGCCCCTTGACTCCTTGCCCCTTGTTTCCATGCAATTTATATCCTCCCTCCCTTCACTCCACTACCTCCGTTCCCTCCTTTCCCTCGCTTCCCTCACCTCCTTTCCTTTGCTGCAGTGTCCCTCCCTAGTATCCAAGGTAGCATGGCAGTGGGAAAGCGGAAGTGACAACATGAGCAGACCAATCATCACTGCAAGAATGAGTGAGGAAAAGCGTCAAGGGAATGGCTATACACAGATTTTCCGAAGCAGCTGCTTGTTTGTCTCATAACGATTTCCCCTCTCACCCATCCTTTCCCCCCTTTTTTCTTCCCCTTCTCCTTCGTCGCTGTGCTTTCCTCTAGTTGAGTCTCCTTGTTTATAACCAGGCGTGCGCAAGGAGAAGGCAGATTTCATGTGGTGGAGGCAGTGGATGGATGGATGGATGGCACCCCGGTGGCATTCCTTCCAGCCTGGTCAGAGGGTCCTGACACACATTCTACTAAGATTCCGGATGACATGGGATGGTATGCATTGGCTCCCATGCACGCATGCACCTCCCATGCTCGCACCTTCATGTGTTGGTGAGGTTGGAGACGAGAGTGGTAGGTGATGCAAGGAGGTGAGGGGTGGGTGGGTGAAGACATGGTTTCATGACGGAAGGAGGGAGAAGAACATTGTTTTTTTTTTTTTTAATATATATTGTAATTGAAAGCATACACCGATGATACAAGTGCATGCTAACAAAGACAGTCGTAACTGCGCGTGAGGGGCAGGGCCGTCTTCTCTCTCTTCTCTCTCTTCTCTCTGCGGGAGAAGAACATTGTGTTTATTGAGTGGAGCTGAGGTAGCATGTGCCATGTCATTATCTCATATGCCATGTCATCCTCCCACGTGTCCAATCATCCTTTTATGCTATGTCATCATCCAGGTGCCATATCATCACACAATATGCCATGTCATCCTCCCACGTGTCCGATCTTCATTCTATGCTATGTCATCATCCAGATGCCGTGTCATCACTCCATATGCCATGTCATCCTCCCACGTGTCCGATCTTCATTTTATGCTATGTCATCATCCAGATGCCGTGTCATCACTCCATATGCCATGTCATCATCCCATCTGCTGTGTAATTCGCTCAACTCTCTCAATTCCTTCCTTGCTGGCCAATCCCCCCCAGTATCAGCTTTCTCGAACAAGGGCAGGACTCACCACATGCTTCACTCTACCACTCCCTACCTCCACTCCCTCATCCCTCTCGTAGCATCACCTGCTGTAAGTGTTCTTACACTCAACATCTCATCTTTTTTCTTTTGCCCCGAGCTTTCTTCCCCAAACCTTTTACTGTTCATCCAAGCCTCCACTTTATCCATCCATTTCTTTTTACCCTTTCAGCACCATCACCAGAATCAGTCACAACGACTCCTTGTCGCATACATCCAGCTACATGCCTCCATTCCTTTTCCTCTCCCTTACCCGTTCTCCCCGCGCTCCCCCTCCCTACTCTTCAGCACCATGATCACCAATCAGTCTTGCATCATATTCCATGTGCCATGTCTTCAGTCCCGTCTCACCTTTCTCAATCCCCATTCAACACATCACATTCCGTCTCACACCCTTTCCCTTCGTCACTCCCTTGCGCTCTCTGCCCACTGCCCCAATAAACCACCCACTGCAGGCCCACTGGAGAATATGCACTGCATGAGCTAAAGGCACGACATCTCGTGACACAGGCGCAGTGGCACAAGGAGAAGGCACGCATGGGATGATGGTTCAAGAGCATGTGTGGCATGGCAGTTTGCCAGCTGCTCATGAAAACAGCCGGCACAGACGCCGCAGTATGGCAGCTGGTGCAGCAGGCAGTGCAGCCAAGCTTCCAACTCCACTCCTGCAAGATGGGCGCCTTTTTAGACTGCCAGTCTGTCAAAGGTCTCCCTCTCATTGAGTTGCAGATCTAGACAGAAATGCGAACGAGCATAAACGCAACGCATGCAAGGCGAAAGTGCTAAATAAACGTGCAAGGATCGCCTATCTTGTGAGCGGGTGCAGTGCAGTGATGGCAGGTGTGGTAGCACAAAGTCGGTGGCTGTGTTGTGTTGGCAGCAAGATTGCAGTGTTTCGACTATGAGATTCTCTTAAAGCTCAAGGCCCAAATTGCGGGCCGCGCTGGGCAAGATTACTAATCTTGCTGAGCGGCTGTTTGGGTGTTGGAGTTGGCGAATTTTGGGTTACACTGGGTACGAATGAATCTGATTGGTCGAGACCAAACTCACCGCGCAAACTTCATGTTTCAGTATTTCTCAATTTGGGACTATCGGACCCAAACAGCCCAGAGTTTGCTGACTCAACAAGTTTTGCGAGAGCTTGACGAAAAAAGCGAACCCCACTTTCTCGACTTTCTGTTCACCTCCCAAACCACCAGCCCAAACCCTTGCGCAAGATTACTAATCATGCGCAATTTGGGCCTTGAGCTTTAAGTCAAGCTGCAAAACAAGCAACATGCTACGGTAGTACCGGTAGAGTGAACACCATATGCACAAATTACCACACAACAGTGTAAAGGTGGAACCATAGCAGGGACTTAGTGCTTCCCACTATTGGTATCATTAATCAAGACCACCTAATGGGGAAAAAAAAAAAAAAAAAAAAAAAAAACAACAACAACAACAACAACAACTAATCCTATGCAAGCTTATCTAAAATCAGGTAAAATCTCTAGCATAATCAGACACACCAGCACCCCACCCTATCTCATCCATTCACCCCTTTCCCCCAATTGATACATTTCCAAACAGTCTACCATCAACACATCCACTCTCCAGGTTTGGAATCTTGAGAATTATCTCATCCTCATCATCCTCAAAGCGTGGGCATGCAACGATCACGAGATTCCTGAGGCTGGTGAGACTGCTCATGGAAGAGGGCAAGGCCGCTAAGTTAGGCCATGTAGTTAAAGTCAGCCATTGCAGCTTTGAGAGATTCATCTCATGTGGAAACCGAGTGAGGTCGCAGAGGCCAGAAAGCAGGAGTATCGACAGATTCGAGAGCTGACAAATAGTTGACATGAAGGCTTCTTGATCCTCCTTACCGAGAACGCAGCTGGCTGGCCAACCGAACTCAAGAGACGTGAGGCTGCTCCAATGCTGAGGCAGGAATGGAGAAATCATCTCGATGTTGTCGCAGTAGTTGAAAGAGAAGGTTCGCAGGTTGGAGAGCTTGGAGATGGTATCTGGAAGGTGAGTAAGGCTTTCGAGCTGGCTCAGCCATGCTCAAGAGATGACATGCGATCCATGCTCTGTGGAAGGCCCATGAGATTTCTGCAATTCCTAATGACCAACACGCGGAGGTTAGAAAGAGTGCAGAAAGAGTCCGAGATCGAAGAGAAAAGATTGCAACTTCTGATGCTTAGCGTCTTAAGAGAAACGAGGCCTGACACCGCGCTTGAAAGGGAGTCGAAACTATCACAACACACGACTTCGAGAACTTGTAAATTGGCAAGATGGAAAATGGAATCCCACAGTGTTAAGTCGTGATTGTTATGTAAGTGTAGCACTTGGAGGTTGTGAAGCTGGCTGATGGTGTCCGGAAGAGTTCCCAACCCGTCAAACTCACAAATGCTAAGCCTGACCAATGACTTTAGACTACCAAGGGGGTCAGGCAAACGGTCCAGCGATCCATAATTTCTCAACAGTTGCAACTCGGTCAGCCTGGTGAGCTGGCCGAGAGCAGCAGTGCTGTCAGCAGCAGTGATGGGAAGATGGTCTCAGAGGCCGGCCCAGAGCTTGCTTAAGCGCTGGGGCGCTGGGGCGCTGAGGCACTGGGGCGCTGGGGCGCTGGGTTGTACTAGTTAGTTACCTTCGTTATAGAGTCATCTCAACTCAGGTTGGGTTGGGGCCATAACAAAAACAAGCGCGAACGTGTTAGGTCGTCGCGTGGAGCTCGAATCTCTGTTGCGAGGCTTTCGGGGGCATTGCAAGCTGTTACCATGTCATGCCAGCCAGTCTGACGTAATCAATCGGAGTTCACCCATCCGGCTGTGCCATACCAACTAATTTCCCAAGTCACCTATGCCAAAGCTCACGCCACTCAAAGACTTGTAAGTTCTGACTTGATGCCATCCCAACCCCGGTCGTCACCCACCTGCCAGCTCGTATCTGCAGGGACTGGCCAATTCCACCCCACCCACGCTGCTTGCCATACGTGAGTGGACTACGCAGATATCGCTTGTACGGAACTCCCTTGATCTCAGCTCAGTTATTCAGCTCCTTATCATGCACTTCCCAGGTGGGTCACGTTTTAACTCATTCTAGGCTTTAAAGGTCGCTGGATCCCGTTTACTTTCAACTCCATCACAATCTCGTGCAAGAAAATACGCATAATCAGAGAGGACATGGCTGGCAAGGTCAGTGTCAGCGACACATATGGACAACATTCCCATTCCCCATTCCAGATGTCCTCTCTGATTTCAATATGCACATTCCCCATTGCCTGGGACTCCCCTCTGCTTATTACCCCATCCCCCACAGTTCTCTTCCCCATTTCCTCAACCCATTTCAACACAATTCCTTTCCTCAATTTCCTCTGCCCTTTTCCAATCCTCTCTGCCCATTCTCTTTGATGCTGATGATGGAAGGACCCCTGCCCTGCTCTCGTAGCTCACTCTTCAAGCTCCTCTCCTCTAGTTTCTTCCACTGGTGTTGTAGGCGTATTTCAGGATTGCCCCAAAGGTGTCTCTCCCCTCTCCCTTTTCTCCCACTCCCCGTTCCCTCACTCCCTCCATGTCTTGGCGTCGTTCCTCTATATGGTTTCGAGATGTCTTAAAACGAGTCTTCTTTCACGTGTTTAACACCATTCCTCTCCACCGTATGTCCTTGCTATTGCATCCATGCTCCCATCCTTTCCGCTTCAACTCACGTCCATCCTTGTTCATCCACCAACTGCCCCATGTGCTCCCTCTAGCGCTCTCTCAAGAGGGCCTGACCAGCCACAGGCTACTGCATGCAGCTGCAGCCACACAACGTCACAGCGAAACACCCTCTCACCCCTTCCCCCCGCCCTTCTCAGCCCCATGTGCTCCATTTGCACGACCGGCACGTGCTGCTTCCCCTCCTCCACAACCCAAAACCTCCAAAAAATGCTTCATCAGACTCAGTTGCAGCGGGGGTGTTGTGTAGCAATACGGGACGAGCAAATGAAGCCAGTCATCCCGCCCTTTAACGTCTGGTTATGAGCTCTTCCCTTATGCCCATGCTTTCGCTGCCCTTCCCTCTCTCAGGGCCATCATAGCCAAGTTCAACTATTCTTGCATTTTGCCGAGGAGAATCATCGAGCTAGACGATGTTGCAAATCCAGCTGTTTCGTCTTTATTCCCGGGCTTTCAATAGTAGGTTTTCCGCTTAGCGTCGCCGCAATTGTGGTTGGTTTTTTCGATTCCAAATCCAGGTTAAGATTCCGTTCAATAAAAACCTGATAGGGATTCCGGTTAGCTATCCCTACTAACGTCAGCCTTTTCCCTCTTCACCTACTCCCCCTCCCCCACTCCCCCTTTCCCCCGTTTCCCCCTCCCCGCATTCACTTCTCTCCCCCTCTTCAACTCGGTTCGGCCGTCCAGACCCTACCTTGGCAATTCTTACAACATTGATGCGCCCTTCATTCCGTGTGTCCTCGGCATGTCATTCACTATGTGACGCGTCAAGCTGCCCTTAGCAACATCCAAGGCCTGGGGATTTGCTTGTGCCTCCTCCGAACAAGACTCTTGTAGGTCAGACCTACAGCTTCTGGTACAAGCTACACCCAGGGCGACCTGGGGGGAGTGGTGCTGTACCCCTCCTGCCAGTGGTATAAGCAGCGACGAAGGTGTCAGTGGCACATCTTCCCCCTCCTGTCTGCTCCTCCTTGCTGCACCCAGATGACGTGGGGGGAGTGGTGCTGCCTGGGCCTGCAGAACTTGCTATAGCAGGCAGCCCTGAGGGCAGCTTTGTGGATGGTGACATGGCAAAGCAGTACAGGGCAAAGCAGTACAGGGCAAAGCAGTACAGGGCAGAGCAGTACAGGGCAGAGCAGTACAGGGCAGAGCAGTACAGGGCAGAGCAGTACAGGGCAGAGCAGAGGGCAGAGCAGAGCAGATTACACGGGGACTTACAGACGAGTGCTCAGCAGAGGGCGTGGGAGTGGATATGTGAGGAGGTGGCATGGAGAGCACAGGAGTCAGGCAGCATCATGCAGCTGGGAGGAAGCCATCACCAACCTCGGCCAGGCAAGTGTATCGAGTGGGCACCATTGTAACGAGGTGACCTTTGAGACGACTCAACAGATGGTTGGGAAGAGGGCAGGCCGGGACAGATCAGCATCATGCAGCCGGAGCCCATCACCAACCTCGCCCAGGCAAGTCACAACGATGTCCACTCTGACTCCCCTCTGCCCGTTCCCCACTCCCTGTGATTTCCCTCTGCCCATTCCCCATTCGCTGCGATTTCCCTCTGCGCATTTCCCATTCCCTGCGAATTCCCCCTCTCCCCTTCCTATTTCGTGCGATCCAAACCAACCATTTCCCAGTCCCTGCGACCCCCCTCTGTCCATTTCCCATTCCCTGCGATTCCCCTCTGCCGATTCCCCTATCCTTGCGATTCCTTCATCCATTCCCCCCTGCTTATCACCCCATCCCCACAATTCCCCTCCCCATTTCCCTCTGCCCGTTTCCCCTTTTCCCGCAATTTCTTTCTCAGTTCCTGCACCCTCCTATCTTTTTTCCCTCGTTTCTTTCCAGTGGTGCTTTGCATTATCAGAGCTGCGGCTGCTGTCTGTGCTGAGGCTGCTGTCTGTGCTGCGCTGTTCCACGCCACCAGAGCTGTTCAATGCTAGTAAAGGGGGTGTTCAGATCAGTGAGGTCAGCTTGTAAACTCTGTAAGAGGTGGGCTTCCTGGAAAGTACGGGAACCGAAAAGGTAAGATCAAACAACGATACGCCTCCTATTGGTGAAGCAACTCAGCTTGCAGCGTCTGAGGCCCACTAAAAAAATAAAAAGGTAAAAAAAACAACAGCAGCAGCATTAAGGAAGGAAGAAAGCCCTCCTGTTTGTGCACTGAAGCAACTCAGCTGACAAGTCCCATCTTGCATCCCCACTGAGATCGCCTCATCTTCCCGTTTGTCCTCATCTTTTGTCCTCATCGTTTGTCCTCATCTTCCCGTTTGTCCTCATCTTCCCGTTTGTCCTCATCGTTTGTCCTCATCTTCCTGTTTGTCCTCATCTTCCCGTTTGTCCTCATCGTTTGTCCTCATCGTTTGTCCTCATCTTCCCGTTTGTCCTCATCTCCCCGTTTGTCCTCATCTTCCCGTTTGTCCTCATCTTCCCGTTTGTTCTCATCTTCCCGTTTGTCCTCATCTTCCCGTTTGTCCTCATCTTCCCGTTTGTCCTCATCTTCCCGTTTGTCCTCATCTTCCCGTTTGTCCTCATCTTCCCGTTTGTCCTCATCTTCCCGTTTGTCCTCATCTTCCCGTTTGTCCTCATCTTCCCGTTTGTCCTCATCTTCCCGTTTGTCCTCATCTTCCCGTTTGTCCTCATCTTCCCGTTTGTCCTCATCTTCCCGTTTGTCCTCATCTTCCCGTTTGTCCTCATCTTCCCGTTTGTCCTCATCTTCCCGTTTGTCCTCATCGTTTGTCCTCATCTTCCCGTTTGTCCTCATCTTCCCGTTTGTCCTCATCGTTTGTCCTCATCTTCCCGTTTGTCCTCATCTTCCCGTTTGTCCTCATCGTTTGTCCTCATCTTCCCGTTTGTCCTCATCTTCCCGTTTGTCCTCATCGTTTGTCCTCATCTTCCCGTTTGTCCTCATCTTCCCGTTTGTCCTCATCTTCCCGTTTGTCCTCGTCGTTTGTCCTCATCTTCCCGTTTGTCCTCATCGTTTGTCCTCATCGTTTGTCCTCATCGTTTGTCCTCATCGTTTGTCCTCATCTTCCCGTTTGTCCTCATCGTTTGTCCTCATCGTTTGTCCTCATCTTCCCGTTTGTCCTCATCGTTTGTCCTCATCTTCCCGTTTGTCCTCATCGTTTGTCCTCATCGTTTGTCCTCATCTTCCCGTTTGTCCTCATCGTTTGTCCTCATCTTCCCGTTTGTCCTCATCGTTTGTCCTCATCTTCCCGTTTGTCCTCATCGTTTGTCCTCATCGTTTGTCCTCATCGTTTGTCCTCATCTTCCCGTTTGTCCTCATCGTTTGTCCTCATCGTTTGTCCTCATCGTTTGTCCTCATCGTTTGTCCTCATCGTTTTTCACACTTCAAGCTCCCCTCCTCCCGTTTCTTCCATTGGTGTTATAGGCGTATTGTAGAACCACCCAAAAGTTGTCTCTCCCCCCCCCCCCCTTTCCAACCATTTCCCATTGCCTCACTCCCTCCCTGTCTTGGCGACATTGTTACCAGATCGAGTCTTCTTTACATCTTAAACGCCAATTTTTCTGCACTTTTTCCTGTCATTGCATCCATGCGCCCATTCTTTCCTCTCCAACTCACGTCCCTCTGCCCCAACCCATGTGCTCCACCTTGTTCATCCGCCCCTTGCCTTGTTCATCCACCCATGCCAATCAGAGAAGTGATGCCCCCATGTCCTTCACATCACTTCTCCAAAATTGGAGCGTAGGCGCTCTCAACTCGACTTCAAGTGGGCCGGCCGGACCAGCCACAGGCTGCTCCATACAGCTGCAGCCACACAACGAGACAGCAAAGCACCGCCTCCCTCATTTCCAAGTTGCACATTTGACACCTGCTGCTTCCCCACCTCCAGGACCCATACCCCCCAAAGATGCCTCACCAGACTCAGTTGCAGCTGGACAACATTCAAGCGCAAGTGAAGCTAGTCTTCCCCGCCTTTAACCTCTCGTCCCTATGCGCTCTTCCTTTCCCGCCATGCATGCTCATGCGGATGTTCTTGTTGCCCTTCCCTCTCTCAGGGCCCTCGACTCTGAGGGAGCCATTCGCCTGTACGGTACTGGCAGCACGATGTGGTAATGATTCGTGAACCCACTCGCCCTGGCCTCCTCTGTGCTATTCACCCAGAGAGGCTGCTACCTGGCAGGCTGGCAGCGTGTCAGACTAGTGCGGATGCAGCAGCATGGCATCACTCACATTCCATTCGTTCACACATTCTCAAGAGAAAGAGAATGCTTAGAGAGAGCATGCTAGTAGCCTGATCATTACAGTATACGGTGTTTACTGTTTCAGCATTGGATCTTCAAGCTTGAGCTTCCCTATATCCATTCTAGGCGGCAGTGTGCTCATTTTGCGATCCCTCTGCTTCTCGCATTTTAATACCATGGAGCTCTCATCAGCAACTGGCCAAGTAATGCCATACAATTATACGGGTATCATTATTCATGATTAAACAACGTCTGATGATCTAATAGCCATAGTCAGCATTACCACAAGCATGAATACGACCAGCATACCGAATTACAGAAGCACAGCTAACAAATGCATATGTACAAGCAACAAGTCATCAGACCAGGGTGAGCTGAGCACCGAGCAAGCAAGGTGGCAGGCTCACACTGCCAACTCCTCATTGTTCCAGAAGTCTTCGAGCAGAAGCCAGATCAGCCAGGCAAGATGAAATCTCCTATGTTAGCAGCGCCCTCGCCAACTACCAGAACCGGTACTATTGTCCTCTCCTGACCCGAACCCCTCCCTCCCACACAACCAGGAATCAACTCCAACTCCACGGCCCCCTCGCCTGCATACCGTACTAAAACCTTGGATCCCACCAGCCGCACACCGGAAGCCAGATCAGCCAGGCAAGATGAAATCTCCTATGTTAGCAGCGCCCTCGCCAACTACCAGAACCGGTACTATTGTCCTCTCCTGACCCGAACCCCTCCCTCCCACACAACCAGAAATCAACTCCAACTCCACGGCCCCCTCGCCTGCATACCGTATTAAAACCATGCTGGCCTTGTGTCGGGAGCACAGACTGGAGCACAGAACGAAGCACATTGCTCTTCGCTACTTCCTTGCTCGTGAGCTGCAGCAGCGTGGTCAGCTGCGCCTTGCTTACGTGGCCTCTGAGGCCAACACTGCTGATATCTTCACTAAGGCACTTCAGTCTTGTGTTCATCAGCGCTTCTGTACGATGCTAGGTCTTGTGCCCACTTGGCCTCACTTGCTCACTTCTTGACCTTGCTTGTACTGTGATCTATATATATACCTGCATGCTTGCACCTGCTAGGTTGTGATCACTGTATTGCTTGTGCTTTTATAACTCTGCATGTGAACTGGCCTTGTGGCCTCTTGCTTGTGCTCAGTGTGTGTGGTGACTTTGTGATCCACCCTGAGCTGTGTTTTGTTTCTTCTCTTGACTGGTCTTGTGACCATTGCTTGCTCTGGCTATCCCCCATTTCGCCTATGGGGGTGTGTTAAACATATGTATGTTCTTATCTAGGCTATATTGGGGCTAGCCTTAGGGGGTACAGAAACCATCTCGACACTTTTGCTATGTACCCCAACCAGGGCCTCAGATTCGTTTGAGGGTACCCTGTGGACTCAGGGCAGTTTTTAAGGATTCTTCTTTTGTCCTCAAATGTCAGGACTGAACAAGGGTGGGTATGCTGTAGGGTCAGTGCTACAAGTGACATTATCCTGCCCCGTCAGTGCTACTTTTCATTTTATCCTGTGCACTTGGTTAAAAGGCTGGTTTAGTTTCCCTTTCATTTTCTGTAATCACATCACAAACCAATCAAACATGCAGAGCAGAGCACAGAAATATCGTAGTAAGTTTTTCTAATAAACATGCATTTCAAAATCCATCATCCTCCTCCTCCTGATCAATTTCAAAAGGATCATCATCATTGTCCCCCCCACTGTGTACAGCATCCCCATCCTCAGCGTGGTGATGGTCACGCGTCTCTGCTAGTGACCCCCGGAACCCTGTGCCACTCCTCCTCGATACATCCACCTTTGCTGCCTTTCGCTTGGTGGGTCGCCGCTTCTTGATGCTGCGCCATAGTGCCACGACTTCGCTCCACACCATGTCGTAGTCTAGCAAGCTGAGCGTCATGAGGTCGGCCAGCTTCGCGTCGCACAAGCTGGTCCGGATCCAGCTCTTGATCACATTTTGGCGCGAAAATCCGCGCTCGCACTCCACCGTGCTGAAGGGCAACACCGCCACGGCCGCCCACAGCCGCACCAGGTTCGGATAGGTCCTCTGCCAGTCCGAAGTTGACAATATCGCCCGTAAGCCAGCATGGAACGCCTGCTCCTCCTTTGGCGCCCCGGACAGCACAGATAGGAAAGTGCGCATCTCCTTCCGCACTTCGCGCTTGTTGACACCTGCTTGGTGGGGTGTTTAAAAACATACAGGAGGAGTAGAATCATCTCTGGCGGTTATAAGGATGCAAGTTACTCTGCAACGATATGTGTGTTAATAGACACGACAACTCACCAGGAAGGATCTCTTCCCTGTCGCGCGCATGGAACAACACCGCCAGCTTCTCCAGGTGTTCCTTGCACTCCGCGTCCCTCGCCTCTTTCCCTCGCGGCCAGGACCTTGGCATGAAGAGCTTTGCGGCGTTGAGGTTCGACAGGTCGCCAAGCCGAAAGTCGAGGTTGTAAATCAGCTCCGTCGCAAACGAGCGGCACGTCCGAATGCAAGACGGCAGGTCACCTACAACCTCCGCGTAGCCAGGAATCGGCTCCTCGTGCAGGGTGAACTCATGCTCCCTTGGCTCACCGTCGGTGTCCACTCCCTGCACTTTCATGGTCCGGCTGCATGCAGCACTGTGTCGAGCAAGGAACGGCGATAGCAGAGCGCTCGACCCAGCACCGAACTGCTGCCCACAGTCAATGTACCGCTCCCTGATGAAAACTTCAAGGCGCCTCATCTGGGAGTGAACCGGTGTCAAATCCACCTGTGTTCGGGTTTCGGGGCAGGGAGGACAGACCACATAAAAGGACAGTGAGTAACAAACCAGTTGAGACGACATTGCCGGAAAATGTGTAGCAAATACCTCGCGCCTCTGGAAAAGAAGGTTGAGCATGTTCAGCTCGACGTGTACATCCGCCAGGAAGTACACATAAAAGTGAAACTTCAGGCTTGTGACCATTTGGTAACAAGGTTTATCCAGCTGCTCCAGGAGAACCACCACTGCCGGTAGCACCTTCACGAACCGCGCAATCGCGTCACCACGGCTTAACCAGCGGACGGCGTAGATGCCTTGCAGCTCCAGGTTCGTCCGAGTGAAGACGGACTGGAGCTCCTTGAATGTTGCATGCGAGGTCGAGCTGCGTCCGAGATGCTCCGCCAAAGCACGGATGAGGACGTCAACCATCTGGAGCTCCGGGAGGGCTTCAGCAGAGTCCTTTGCGGCAAGTGCCTCCCTGCCGGGCATAAAGCAACAAGGGCGTCAGACAGTCAGAATAAATTCTCTCATATGGCTATGCAGAATTCCCACCTGTGGGCGATGCAGTGGCACGAAACCAGGTGTGGGATGCAGAGTCGAAGCCGCCCAGTCAGACCGTTGGTGCCGCCGAGCATGACTGGAGCGCCGTCGGTGCTGATCCCTGCGATCTTGCCTAGGGGAATGTTGATGCTGTCGAGAAAACCGACGAGCACTGCATACAGTGATCCTGCATCACATTTGTCCACGGTCAAGAGCGTCAGAAACTCCGTGGTCACTTCGTGTTCTCTCAAAAAGGTGACGAAGACGATCATGTGCTTCTCCCGCACGCGGTCGGTGCTCTCATCACAGCTCAAGCCAATGAAGGGGCTTGAGTCTATGAACTCGCGCTGCTTCGCACGAAGATAGCTCGCCGTAGCCGACACCAGTTCCTGGAACCCGTACCTGCACAGACACAGATAGAGAACTCGTGTGTTAGGCCATGAAAGTTTGGACCGTTATGGCAACCACATTGTAAATTACAGAAATCGAAGGCATCACTTACGTTGTATAATAAGCGCCGTAGCCGTTCTTTGGGAAGCCTGGAGTCCCGCGGGAAGCAAGGTGCCGTACGAGTTGCACCCACATCTCTATGGGTGCGTCGGTCTTTGTAATGAACAGGAGCGTGTCCAGCAGCGACTCCACAGCATCATGCTCGACGTCACGCGCCGTCGGGCAGTCGGGGATGCGATGCTGGCCGGTTGCTTTCGCCAACGCCAGCTCCTGGTTGCGAATAGCGTCCCTGTGCTTCGTTGTCCGCTGATGTCGCTGCATGGCTTGCGTCTGCACATCCAGTGCCCCCTCGCCTTTCCCGAAGTTCGTACCTGTGCCTCCATACTCCATACACACAGTACACTTCATGGAAGGGAATCCATATGAGGTTTGACAAATGATAAGCCACGGGAAGTCCTCGTTCCACCTCCTCTTAAACATGAGCAAAGCTTCCTGGTACTTCTCCTCAGCGATGTCGGGTATCTCGGTGTCAGAGGAAGCAGTGGGGCCGGTTTCAACAAGCACAGTGGGTTCCGGATCTTGCCTGGAGACGGACAGCACCGCAGTGTTGTCTGATGTACGGACGAAGGACAACTTCGTCTGGTGGTATCGATGCGCGGAGACCTTCTTGCTCGGAGGTCCCTTCCGGGTTGTCCCAGCGGCCTTGGAGCACTCCCCCTGCGTACGAATCGGCGGAGGCAACAGCTCGTTATCAACCACGACCGGTGCTGCTGTCGAGGGAGAAGGCACGGGCGGCTGAGACGGCGACGGGAAGGTTTCAGCAGCGACAGCGGTAACATCTACCGTGGGTGGTGGCGGCAGCTGAACGGGCCTGGAGCGCAGGAAATCGAGGCCTGTCAACCCTACTGGCCCGACCGTTGGGTTAGGCATGGCGGGTGCTTCACCATCGCCCGCCGGCGATGGGTCAGCCATGGGCGAACAGCAGAGGACGATTGTAATCAGAGACACACCTACGAGGAGCTAGCAAAATCACGAGGAAAACAAAGGTTATTGGGTGTCAGCCAGGGGTTTGGTAGGCACTCAACAGAAGGCTGGAGAGGATGGAGGAAGAGACGGAATCAGAAAGATTCCTGAACCTTGCCATCCAAACCAACCCCATACACATGGCGACTCGACCAAGGGTGTCGCGGCGCCACAAAACAGTCTTGATCTGGGCAGGCACGCGTGACTCCACAAAAATCAGCGGCGCCAGCGAGGCATGGTGGCGGTGAACATTCGTTGGTTGTGTCTGCATGCGGGTGTGTGTGGGTGGATGAAAACAATGTTTACACGCTAGGAGGGAAGCACGTGATGCCAGCGTACAGCAAAGATGGCCGTGCTTTCCCCTCGTGTAAAGTGAGCGCGGCGCACTCTCATTGGTCGATATTACAGCAATGCAGGTTTCCACGGTGGGCGCGGCGTGGCTCTGTGCCAGCAGAGGCAACAAAGTCAGGGCGTCAATTACGGAGCGCAACTTACGCTGTACCTGGTCGGTGGTTGGGTACACTAGGCCCCGGGTGAAATTGGCGCAGTACTCGCTTCAGGACGACTCTCAACACTATACTGACTCAGCAGGGCTGAACCTACAGCCCTATACTGAATTTACAGCACGCAAAATTACACTTCTACTGAAATTACAGGACAACTATTGCGCTTATGCTGTTTTTCCAGGACTGGCACACGACAGCTATCCTGAATTCAGGAGAATCAGGATAAATTATCCTGATATCTGAGGCCCTGACCCCAACCATGACCTAATGCACATCATTCTCCACAGGCTATTCTCAGCCCAACACTAGTCACCCCAGGAAGTTCATTCAATTCAACCATGCTTGCCAAGCAGCCTTGCACGATTCAACTGGTGGTGGCCACAGTCCTCTCCTCGGCAAGAATGCTTTTCACCAAAGGTGATGCAGGCACACATGTGAGGACAAATAATCTTGTAAAGGGAGAAATGCAATGATGCTACGGCAATTTTAGTGACATGATTGCTTTAGCCCGGTGGATGTGTTTGTATCACGGAAGCACTGTAATCCATTTTTGCCTTAGCTAAGGTACATAAAAGTTTGGAAGAAAGCAACAAGATGTCACTAACAGTGAACACCGTATATTGTGGAACCAGTTACGGTACCAAAGTGCCAAGTGCCTATCTGCACCACTGATGTCAAGTTCACTACCTGAAAAGAGGAAAATCCTCTTCAAAATGGTAAACACATACCATGTAAGATATAATCCACCATGCCCCGTCTCTACAACCGACAAATCAACTGCACCCACCAAGGAACATCCAAACACCCACCCCATCCACTCACTCGTTTCCTTTAAATGACCCTTTCCCCAGCAGCCTACCATCAACGCATCCGCTGTCCAGGTTCGGAATCTTGTAAATTGTCTCGCTTTCCTCATCCTCAAAGCACGGACATGCGGTGATCACGAGAGTCCTGAGGCTGGTGAGGCTGCTCATGGACTCAGGCAAGCATATCAGGTTAGCGCAGTTACTCAAAGTCAGCCGCTGCAGTCGTGAAAGCTTCTCAATTCTGTGCGAAGGCTCAATCAGGTCTGGGAAACCAGTCAGAAGAAGTGACGTCAGACTTGAGAGATTGCAAAGGGACGACGTGAAGGCCTCTTGATCCTGCGAACTACCCATACAGCTGGCTGGCCAACTAAACTCGAGGGACGTCAGCTTGCTCCAATGCGGGGTCAGGAATGCAGAGAGATTGTTAACACCATCGCAGTATGTGAAGGAGAATTTGCGGAGATTGGATAGCCGAGAAATGGTATCTGGAAGTTTGGAGAGACCTCTGAGTTGGCTCAGCTCGAGATGCTCCAGCGACGACAGACGATCCATCCTCTGTGGAAGTTCCCTCAGCTGTCTGCAATTCTTAAGGACCAGCACGTGGAGGTTAGAAAGACTGCAGAAAGAATCAGAGATCGTGTGGAACCTATCGCAATTCCTGATTGTTAACGTCTTGAGAGAAACGAGGCCTGAAACCGTTGCAGGAAGAGATGAAACCCCGTCACAATACACAATCTCAAGAATCTGTAAAGAGGGAAGATGGAAAAAGTAATCCGGGAGTTCTAGGCCCATGTTGTCATGGAAGTAAACCTCTCGGAGGTTAGGAAGCTGGCCGACGGTGTCAGGAAGAGCTCTCAAAGTGTTCATTTCGCAAACGCTGAGTTTGACCAATGAGTTCAGCCCACCAAGTGAGGCAGGTAAGCGGTCGATTGGTCCGTCATTTCGGAACAACTTCAGCTCGGTCAGCCTGGAGATGTGGCCGAGTGATTCTGGGTAGTGGTCAATGAACACAGCGGCGAGTGTCAGCTTGGTCAGGGAAGTTAAATCGTTGAATCTATCAGGATAAATGTCGAAGTTGACGTTCAGATAGACCTCCGTCAGGGATGAAAGGTTGAAGAAGGATGGTGGCATCTCACAAGTGCCTTCGTCGTTATGTCCCATTTCAAGGGAGAGGTATTGCAACGCAGTGCACGATGTGAAGAGGGAATCTGCACCCTCATACGTCAACCCATGATCACAAACGTTGTTCAGGTTAAGATGAGTTAACCTTGGACAGACAGATCCTAGGTCGTGAAAAAACTCGTCATTATCTGGATCTAGAACGCACTCGTTGATCGTAAGAGAAGTCAGACGTCTGAATCGGGAAAGAGAGTCCAGAAGGTCAGTGTCTACAGGAAGACGAGGCCTTCTATTGACGATGGACGTCTGTGAAAGGTAAGCGAGGCGATTCCAACGTTTACAGACCAACGCGTGATTGAAGTAGCTGGGTGACTGCTTGTTCAGGCAACGAAAGATGAGGCAGATGAGGTCATTTGGCAGTCTATTAAACGATGCTCGCAACTTGAGTCTACGGGGACGCGAGACCAGGGTTCGGGACGATGGATCTGTTCCAACTTGAGACATTGTTCGCACGTACAGCGAACTATGGTAATCTAGAACGATTAGCAAACTAGAGCCTCGCACGGTCCAGCGAACTAGGACTAGCTAGAGAAAATGGGATACTAATGCCAGAGTGGTATGGAAGGGCAGTGGCGGTGAAGGCTGGATCTGGATGAAGGGAGCTTGATGTGATGGATACTCTTGTGCCTCGTAGCTTGAATATGGTGGGTTGTGGATCTCGGGCTTAGTTCTTCTGTCGTGGTTTCGCTGTCTTGTCACTGAGGTTCGTCGCACTTGGTTGTGGACGAACCCGTGTGGCTCAGAAGTTCACTCGACTTGTGTTACGTTTCGTTCGTTGAGTTGCATGGACGACGATGCCAACAGAGAAACAAAATCGCCCCAAGCCTTTTCGTGTACGGACTGAACGAGTCTCGGTAACACATTCGGAGGAAACAACACTTCGCCTAGTCTGTCTTGATTCGGCTCCCTAACACCGCTTTCACCCCAACACCTGCTTCATTCCAACAGAATTTGTTCTCAGTAGTATCAACAGCTTCAGTACGCTACTTTTATGCTTCGAAGTACCTTCAGCTGCGACTTTTCGAGTAGTACTTTTCTAAGCTCACATTCCGAGTAGCACATGGCTCCAGACGCGCCATATCCGATCGACGCTATTATAAACGCGCCTCCAGGCTTAGGTGGGGCAGTCCATGTGTTGTGAAAGGGGACCACTTACAGATGTGGTTAGTTACCATCGATCAGGTACAGCAGCCCTATTTCGCTTCCGCTTCAACTCGCCGCTACGTGCCATAGGGAGTTATCGAGGCACGGATTTCTTTCTGCACCATAACGGTGGATCTTCTAATCAGCTCAAAATGCACGCTGATGAAGAAGACGAACCATCAGTCGCCCCGCAAGTCACTTTCTGAGCCCGCGACTCGCGGAATCTCTTTTTCGAAGGAACATTCTGTGGTCACAGCGCGCTCTTTTCCGTCTTACCCTTTCCCTCACGGGAAGCTCCTCGAGGCTTTTTCTCAACGCCTCAACAATAAAGTGCAAATTCCGAGTTAGCTATCGGCAATCTTGTTTCTCACAGACGACGTGCCTCGTCCGCTGGTTGCCTGTCTTCGCTCCTTTCTCTCAGAGTCATTCGAAGGTTTTTGAAGCGCCTCACATATCGTCTCATGAGCTTGGTAACGTCAGTCTGCTCCCTTTCTTCCCTCCTCTCTTTTCCGTCCGCCATCCAGACGACGTTCTGGCCGTCCGCGCCGCTCTGAAATGCACGTCCATTCGTTTTCTCGGTATTTCCACATCATTCAGCCAAAATGTGACATGTGAATCTGCCACATGGAACGCTCAAAGCCTGTTTGGTTCATCATGCCTGTTCTATCTATAAAACATAATTATTTCCTGGCTAGAACATTAGTTTGTGTGTTTGTGGAACCTCTCGAATTACCAGGAAGCTTCTCACTTTTACTTTCTTTCATCCAACTCACAGATTCTTTCCTATCTTGCATGTCTTCTCAACACTGTCCCCTATGTCCCCCCTCTCTTTCCCCGCTACTTCCCCTTCCCCTCCCTCCAACCCCTCCCTTTACCCCTCTCTACATCCTGCATCTCCCCATGCCCTTCTTCCCCCCCGCTTCATCCCGTTTCTCCCTCTTCCCCGTTCCCACTCTGTCCCAGTGCATGGCATCAGGACGCACAGACACGCTTGCTGTTCAGTGCGTCACAGCACCGTTCTCAACCGCACCATCCCCAGCAGTATGGCCACTTCTTCCTTGAATCTTCTCTCGTGCGCCTTCCCTTTTCTTCCACTGCCTACCGAATCTCCCCTTTCTTGCACCCAGCTCTCCCTCCTCCCATTGCCTACACTGTCGGTCGTTTTTCCCCATGTGCTCTCTGCTCCTTCCCTCCTGTCCTCCCGTGTTTCCAGCTCTGCGTGCCAAACCTTCAGTAGAACACCCTCCTCCCCCTCACCCCCCCCCCCCCTCCTATTCCATCAAAAGTGCAGGGCGGGGCAGAGGAAGAGGGCGGAGTGGAGGGCGTCGGAGACTGGGAGTGGATGTGTGCGGAGGTGGCAAGGAGGCCCGGGCAGGTCAGCATGGTGCAGCTGGGGCCCATGACCAATCTCTCCCAGGTGAGTGTACCTTGTGTGCCATGTGCCGTTTGCCATTGTGGCGAGGTGACCTGTGAGTCAACTCAGATGGGGTTTGGAAGTGGACAGACCAGGCAGATCAGCATGGTGCAGCTGAAAGGGCCCCATGACCAACCTCGCCCGGGTGAGTGCTTGCAGGAGTCCTTGACTCCTTGCCCCTTGACTCCTTGCTCCTTGACTCCTTGCCCCTTGTTTCCATGAGATTCATGTCCTCCCTTCCGTCCTTCCCCTCGATCCCCTCCCTTTCCTCCCTCACTTCGACTCAAAGCAACTGCAAGATTGCCAAGCAAAGATGATGTATTACTATTTTGTGTACCCCCGACCTTCCCTTCTTCCTCCCCCTTCCCCCCTCCTCCTTCCTCCTTCCCCAACCCTTCTCTCCATGCTTTCCTCCAGTCGAATCTTCTTGGCTGAAACCGGGCATGAGCGAGCACAAGGCGAATTCTGTTTAAGTGAAGGCCGTGGATGGATGGATGGCACACGGTGGCATTCCTTCCAGCCCTGTCAGAGGGAGATGGCACACTTGCTACTGAGATTGTAACTGGCATGGCATGGTATGCATGGGCTCACATGCTCGCACCTCCCGTGCTCGCACTTTTCAGTGTTGGTGAGGTTGGGGGAGGAGAGAGGTAGGTGAGGGGTGGGTGAAGAAGTGGTTTCATGACTGAAAGGGGGAGAAGAAATTTCTGTTTATTGAGTGGAGCAGAGTAGCATGCGCCATGTCTTCATCCCACGTGCCCATTAAACATCCTAAATTCCATGTCATCATTCCGTATGCTATATCATCATTCCGTATGCTATATCATCATTCCGTATGCCATAACATCATTCCATATGTTATATCCTCATTCCGTATGTTATCCTAATTCCATATGCTATATCCTCATTCCATATCTTATATCAGCATTCTATTTGCCACATCATCATCTTATCTGCTGCGTAATCCACTCAACTCCCTCAGGTCTTCCTCCTTGCTTCCCTATACCATCAGCCGTCACCACATGCTTCACTCTACCACTCCCTACCTCAACTGACTCATCTCACTGATAGCATGTTCTTTCTGTAAGTACTCTTGCGCTCAGCATCTCCTATCTCTTCCTTCCCCTCGCAGCTTCCTTCCCCGTCCTTTTTACTGTTCATCCACACCTCCACTCTATCCATCTGTCGTATCTTACCCTCTCAACGCCATGATCAGAATCATCACACTGACTCCTTGTCGCCTACATTCAGATCCATGCGTCCACTCTGTTTCCTCTCCCTTCCCCATTCTCCCCGTGCTCCCCCTCCTTACTCTTCAGCACCATGATCTCCAATGAGTCTTGCATCATATTCCATGTGCCATGTCATCATTGCCGTCTCACCTCGCCAAACCACACCCACCACACCCCCTTCGCTCCCTTGTCCTCTCCACCTACTGCCCCAATAAACCACCCACTGCAGGCCCTCTGGAGAATATGCACTGCATATTTCGAAGGCACTGCATCTCGTGACACAGGAGCACAGGCACAAGCAGAAGGCACGGCATAGATGATGGCCCAGCAGCTGTGTGGCCCAGCAGCTGTGTGGCCCAGCAGCTGTGTGGCCCAGCAGCCTGTGTGGCCTCGCCAAGTGTCTCTCCGCAAGCAGCACCGACAAACCAGCTGTTGGGCTGCATGAGCTGACGGCACGGTATCTCGTGACACAAGATATCTGGCACAAGGAGGAGGCACTGCTTGGATGATGGCTCAGCAGCCTGGGTGGCCGTGCATTGTTTCTCTTCGCAAGGTAGCAGCATCGACAAACCAGCTGTTGGGCTGCATGAGCTGACGGCACGGTATCTCGTGACACAAGATATCTGGCACAAGGAGGAGGCACTGCTTGGATGATGGCTCAGCAGCCTGGGTGGCCGTGCATTGTTTCTCTTCGCAAGCAGCACCGACCAACCAGCTGTTGAGCTGCATGAGCTGAGGGCACTGCATCTTGTGACACAGTGACACAGACACAAGGAGAAGGCACGGCGTGGGTGATGGCCCAGCAGCCTGTGTGTGTGAGGCCTGTCAGTGTGTCAGATGCTCATGAAAACAGCCCACACAGACACGGCAGTATGGCAGCTGGTGCAGCAGGCAGTGCAGCCACTGGGCTGGGGCAGCTCCGCTTGGTGATGACTGCCAGAGGTCTCCCTCTCATTGAGTTGCAATTTTAGAGACAGGAACGTGAACGAGCATAAATGGCACGTGCTGCACTCTTGCAAGGTGAAAGTACTAACCAAACTTGAAAGGATTGCGTATCTTGAAGATTCTTTCGGGTCAAGCTGCAAAACAAGCAACATGCTACCGTTGTAGAGTGAACACCATACTCACAAATTACTATAGAACAGTGTAAAGGAGGAACCATAGCAGCGACTTTGAGCTTCCCACTACCGATATTGTCAAGACCACCTCCTAATAGAAAAGATGACTAATTCTGAGCAAGCTTATTCTGAACACACAGGTAAAGCCTCTAGCATATTCAGACACACCAGCACCCCACGCCACGCCATATCTACTCACCCCTTCCCCCCAATTGATACATTTCCCAACAGTCGACCATCAACGCATCCGCTCTCCAGGTTTGGAATCTTGAGGATTGTCTCGCACTCGTCATCCTCAAAGCGTGGGCATGCAGTGATCACGAGACTCTTGAGGCTGGTGATACTGCTCGTGGAAGCGGGCAAACACCGTAAGTTAGGCCATGAAGTTAAAGTCAGCCGCTGCAGCTTCGATAGTTTCTCGTGTTGGGCTGAGAAAAAGCCCTTAGGATCTTTTGCAGGGGTAAATTCGGGGTAGGACTATTGTAATAGCGGAAGCGTTTAATGAAGATTGTTGAACCACCTTGCACTAGTGTGTGAGAGCAAAGTAAGTTGATTAAAGCAAGGGAATACAAGCGTTTATATATGAATACAAGGAATATGAAAGGATGCAGTTGTAACTACTTTACTGTTGCTGTTGCGGTTCGATACAGTAACGACTCGGGCAACCGCTCTGTAACGAGTCGGTTGTGTGTCCTTGCTGTCGTACTGTACTTGTCAGGTCAAAGGTCGCTGACCTTTGACTTTTGCGTAACCTCCGGCAACCTCTTTCAACCTCCGAGGGTTGACTCGCTCGTGCCTCGATATGACTCGCTTCGCTTCTGGTGTGATGTTTCGACACGACAGAGGCGCTTTAGGAATTACTTGTTTCCAACACTCCCCTTCGCTTCTGGAGTGTCGCTGCTGATGACGTGGCCTTGTCCAGTCAGCAGCATGCAGTACTCGAACTTCTGCTTTCCGAGCTTCTTGGTCAAATAGTCGGCTGCCATCTCGGACGTGGGACAGTAGGATAGTTCAAGTCTCCCCTTCTCGATCTCGTCTTTCACGAAGAAATATCGCAGGGCGATATGTTTCGTTCTGTTCGCGAAGCCACTTTTGTTGGCGATGCGAATTGCAGACTGGTTGTCGCAGAACAGGGTGAAGTTGGGTAACTCGGCTAACTTCGCTTCTTCCAGCAGTTCGCGAAGGTAAAGTCCTTCCTTGGTGGCTGAGCAGAGTGCGATATATTCTGCTTCAGCTGATGAGAGGGCGATTAGTTCTTGCTTACTCGACTGCCAGGAGATAGGACCGATAGGCTCGAGTCGGTAGATGTAGCCGGTGCGGGAAAGCCTATTGTCGGAATCGCCGGCGTGATCGGCATCGACATAGCCGATTAGCTTGGTTGGTGTAGTTGCGTTCTTGTGATACGTTAAGCCGATCGTTGGAGTGCTGACGAAGTAGTGAAGAGCGCGGTCGAGCTCCGCCAGGTGTTCTGTTTCAGGCCTTTTGAGGTAGGTAGCGAGCTGGCTTGCGGAGTATGAGAGGTCGGGGCGGCAGGTGACAGCTGCGAAGAGAAGACAGCCCAACTTTCTCTGATAATCACGTATGCCGGCGGGCTTCAGTAGAGTAGATCCTCCCTTGTCGGCTCCTGTCGTGTAACGGTATGGCGTGGAGATCGCGGTCGGTGTGAAGGCGAAACGCTTGGCGATAGTGTCGGCGTATTTTGCGGCGCTGAGGTAGATCGCGTCTTCTTCTTCTCGGATGTTGAGCCCAAGATACTGTGTGACGGTAGATGAAACTGTGAGCGTGAGATCTTGCTGTAGCTCCCCTTCGAACCAGGTGGTGATGTCGTCGGTCGAGCCGATGTAGAGGAGGTCGTCTACATAGACGATTAGTAAGACGTAGTCGTTGTTCTTCGTAAGCCGGTACATGCCCTGGTCGTGCGGGAGTTGCTTAAAGCCGATGCGGATGAGACGTGCGTGCAGATACTGTTGCCATAGTCGTGGAGCCTGTTTGATCCCGTAGAGTGATTTTAGCAGCTGGCAAACGTGCGTGGAGTTCGTGCTGGAGCCGTGTGGTAGTTCCACAAAGATCTCTGCGTCAACAGGTGCGTAGAGAAATGCGTTTGCGACATCAATCTGTCGCAACTTTTTCTTCTTCATGGCGGCGATTGCGAGAAGGATGCGAAGTGAAGTATGGCGGCTAACCGGAGCAAACGTTTTGGTGAAGTCCCGTCCATGCTCCTGGTCGAAACCGCGTACGACCCAGCGCGCCTTGAATTTGTCGATGGTGCCGTCAGCCTTTGTTTTCACACGGAAGACCCACTTTCCAGTGAGTATTGTCTTGTTTCGTGCTACGCCGATAGGGACGACTTTCCAGGTGTTGCGCTCCTCTAGTGCCTTCAGCTCTTTGTCCATGGCTTCACGCCATTTTTCCCTATGTTCCCCCCCCAGAGCCTGTTGAACTGTCGCAGGCTCCTTAGGAGGTGTCGTGCCGTGGACTGCGGTGACGAGGCCGAGGATTTGCAGTCCACTCTGTGTGTAGCGGGGGAGTGTGGTATCCTCGGGATAAACTGCTTCGTCTCCTGCTTCAGGATCCGGTAAGAAATTTGGTCCTATACGTCCTGCTTCGTCGGTGTTAACCCGTGCAGGTGTAACGTAACCGGTGTCGGCGAAATCGTAGAAGACTTCGGCGTTGACGCTTTCGCGAGGATTGTCGTCGTCCATTGGGATATCTACGGAGCAGTAAGGGAGAGGTCCGGCTGCTTCCGAAGCTCCGTCCACGTTCTGCTCGTCCAGGTCAGCTTCGTCGGCTGCCGAAGCGAAGGCTCTGTCTCCACGGAATCCACTGGTGAGGTCTCGCTGTTCTGCCAAGTTGGCAAGGTAGGAGTCGAGGGTGAGTCGCTCGTAGAAGATGACGTCGCGTGCTGGTACTGTTTCCTTTGAGTGGACGTTGAAAATTTTCCACGCGTTGTAGTTCTTTTCGATGCCCAGGTGTAGTCCCCATTGTGCACGTTGAGAGAATCGGCTGGCCCGTGCAGCTGGGGGTCGGTACTGTACCATGCACCCAAAAACTCGTAACATTTTTGTGCTGCCCAGTTTTCCTGTCCACAGCAGGTGCGGTGATGCGTTGTTCGGGAGTGACGACGAAGACAGCAAGTTGTGCAGCATGACAGCGTGGTCCATCGCCTCTGGCCACTGGTGGTTGGGTAGTCGCATGCCACGTAGCAGTTTGCGCATGGTGTTCTGCAGTGTCCTGTTCATCCTTTCTGCTACACCCTGCTGTTGATGGGCGTAGGGGAGGGAGATGAGTTTCTTGATTCCTCTTTCCGCCAAGTACTGCTTGAACCTTTGTGAGGTGTATTCTCCTCCCCCGTCTGACTGAAAGCTTTTCAGCTTGGCTCCCGATTCTCGTTCCGCAACTGGTAGCCAGGCGACAAAGGCTTCGAAAGCCATATCGCGGCTTGGAAGGTTGAGGTGCCAGACGTATCGAGTGGCGGCGTCGATGAAGGTGATGGTGTAATTGAGAGCTCCTTGCCCTGTTGCGCGATTATACAGGATGTCGCTGTATACCTTCTCAAGTGGTGTGTATGCAGGTGCGCTTGGGTTGTGATGAGGTACGAACGGCTGATGCGGTAGGTCGGCTTCGGGGCAGGTGAAGCATGTTCCTCTGACTCGTTGAAGTTCTCTCCCGTCGTGCAGTAGTAGGGAGTCTTTGTCGAGCACTCCTGCTCTTATCGTGTTGTTTAATGTTGTGTTGCTTGGGTGTCCCATCCGTGCGTGCCAGATGTCTTCGCTGGCGCGGTGCCCGGGGGAGCGTCTGTACATGTCTGAGTTTGAGTAAAAGCCGGCGGTGATGTTAGCGCTTCGGTGGACTTCTCGTGGTGCCGGGGTTAACTGCTGTGCGGGTGTCGGAGGCGAATCGTCGATGGAGATTGGTGCCGTTGAAGGACCGGCGATTGGTGTCGATGTTGCCGCTGCTGCTGCCGATGTTGTCTCTGCTGCTGCCGATGTTGTTTCTGCTGCTGCCGATGTTGTCTCTGCTGCTGCCGGTGTTGTCTCTGCTGCTGCCGATGTTTGTTGGATTGTTGCTAACGCCCTTGTTCTCTCTGTTTCAGGAATGGTGTGTGAGTGCCAGAAGCCGCCGGGACTGAAGTCTGGGTCAAGATCTGGAGGATGTGTCCAAGGAGCAAAGCTGACGATGCCGTCGCTGTCAGCGGTGCCAAGGTCTGGTACGAAATCAAGAACGAAGACGTTATTCTTGAGGATCGCCTTTCCGATGTAGAGGCCGCCCTTCCCGTGGTACAGCTTGAACTCTTGAGCGGTGCTGTCTGCTTCGAGGTGGATGCCTTTCGCCATCAACTGACTGACGCTGAGTAAGTTGTAGCCGAGTCCTTCTGCTATTAAGACCTTCGTCATTTGCAGTATGACGTTTGTCTCTCGTGACTGAAGTTGAACTACGCCTTGTCGTCGTGTGCGCAGGTTCTGATTGTTGGCGACGGTGATAACTACTTCTCGTTGAAGCTGGTATTCTCGTTGCACGAAGCGTCCTGAAGAACACATGTGTTGTCCGCAGCAACTGTCCAAGAACCATGTGTCCTTCCCGGATGGTTCACTCTGGGCGATGGCGGCGTATGTCGGGTTCGGCTGCAGTAACTCGCGGCGGGGCGTGCTGTTGTCAAGCTGTTCTTCCAATGAGTAGTGAGGTGGTGACTCGGTGATGCAGGAGTCGGTCAGTTTTGCCATACAACTGACGATGTTTCTTGTTCCTTGCGCAGGTTGTCCCGCAGGTGGTGTTGAGGCTTGAATTTGGGTCATGGGATTCGCTTGCGTTGAAACAACTTGGTTGCTTGAAGGTCGAAGCTGTCGCTGTTGTGGCGTTGACTGTTGTCGATTCGGGCAGTGTGTGCGTGGGTGCCCAGACGTCTTGCAGATGTGGCAGAACGGAGGTACGGGTTTTGGTTGTTGTTAGTTGTTGTTGTTGTATCGTCGCTGAGTGTGGAACGCGAATTCCGGTACTGATGTTTTTCTCTTGTGTCGTTCTTCTTGCAGGTCCATGTCTTGCTGCTCAGCATGTATTTCGGCGCAGAGCGCGGTTTCGGAGATTCTTCCGTGGGCTCGGAGAATGGCTTTTGTTGCGCGCCATTGAGGACCGAGGCCGCCGATGATGACTGTCACGAAGGCGTCTTCAGAGATTGACCCTCCGCATCGAAGAAGCTTGTCGCGCAGTTCGCGACATCGGCTGACATATGCCATCCCCTTTTCGCCTGGTTTCATTTCAGCTGTTGTCAGTTGCGCCATTAGCCGACTTTGACTGACGCTGTCTGTTGCTTGATACAGGTCCTTGAGGTGCTTGTACGCGAGTTCCGCGGAGTTGCCGAATCCCCGGTAAGACCGTATGTTCTGCTGCTGAGTCGGTGTGATGTTTCTCAGTAGGATCGTGTACGCCATCATCGACTGATATGTGTACTGCTGCTTCTCATACTGTGTGCCGTTTGTTGGGTATGGCAGGGACCCGTCGAAGAAGCCAAGTATCTGCGCGCCTTCCATCATCAGCTCGAATTCGAAAGACCAGGTAAAGAAGTCTTTTCCGTCGAAGGGCCTTGACGTCTGCAGCTTTAAGACGTGCGCGAATTGCGACTGTACTTGTAGTGCATCCAGTTGTCTTTCTTGTCCAGATGGAGCTTGCGGGTGCGGCATGAAGCTGATGGACCCGCGTTCGTACGGAGCAAAGGTAGGTTGTTGCTGATTCCCGCGCGCATATGATGAACCATCAAGACTCATTGGAGTCACGTTGTTGTTGTTGCTGTTGTTTGACTGCGCAGGTGCCGACTGCTGGTGTTGCTCGTAAAACGACATGAAGGAGAAGAACTTCTCCATCATACTCTGGTCGAAGTTGGCAGGCTGGCTGGCCGAAGGCGCTGCTGGTCCCGTTGTGGTTCCTTCCTCTGTCTGCAGGCCAGAGGCAGGAGGTGGGGTAGGAGTAGTCCCGGGAGAACCATTAGAGGAACTCCTCTCCTTGTATGTTGCCATGTCGTCTGTTGATGATCTGATGGTAGTTGAATTTTCCCTGACAGCTCTCATACCATGTTGGGCTGAGAAAAAGCCCTTAGGATCTTTTGCAGGGGTAAATTCGGGGTAGGACTATTGTAATAGCGGAAGCGTTTAATGAAGATTGTTGAACCACCTTGCACTAGTGTGTGAGAGCAAAGTAAGTTGATTAAAGCAAGGGAATACAAGCGTTTATATATGAATACAAGGAATATGAAAGGATGCAGTTGTAACTACTTTACTGTTGCTGTTGCGGTTCGATACAGTAACGACTCGGGCAACCGCTCTGTAACGAGTCGGTTGTGTGTCCTTGCTGTCGTACTGTACTTGTCAGGTCAAAGGTCGCTGACCTTTGACTTTTGCGTAACCTCCGGCAACCTCTTTCAACCTCCGAGGGTTGACTCGCTCGTGCCTCGATATGACTCGCTTCGCTTCTGGTGTGATGTTTCGACACGACAGAGGCGCTTTAGGAATTACTTGTTTCCAACATCTCGATCGCAGGTGTAGGAATACTCAGGTCGCGAAAGCCAAGAAGCACGAGTGTTGACAGATTCGAGATCTGGCAAACAGACCGCATGAAGGCTTCTTGATCCCTCCAACCGAGAATGCAGCTGGCTGGCCAACCGAACTCAAGAGACGTGAGGTTGCTCCTATGATGAAGCAAAGATGGAGAGACGATCTCAATGTTGTCGCAGTAGCTGAAGGAGAAAGTGCGCAGATTGGAGAGCTTGGAGATGGTAGCTGGAAGATGAGTAAGTCCGAGCTGACTTAGCTCAAGATGCTCCAGCAACAACAGGCGATCCATGCTCTCTGGAAGGTCCGTGAGATTACCGCAATTCTTAAGGACCAACACGCGGAGGTTAGACAGGTTGCAGAGGGAGTCAGAAACCAAAGAAAAATTATCGCAACTTCTGATGGTTAGCGTCTTGAGTGAACCGAGGCCTGACACCGCTCTTGGAAGAGAGTCAAAACGTTCACAATACACGATTTCAAGAACTTGTAAAGATGCAAGATGGAAAACGGAATCCGACAGTGTTAAGTACTCATTGTTATGTAAGTAGAGCACTTGGAGGTTCTGAAGCTGGCTGATGGTGTCCGGAAGAGCTTCCAACCTGTAAAACTCACTAATGCTAAGCTTGACCAATGACTTTAGACTACCAAAGGAGTCAGGCAAACGGTCCAACGATGCGGGACTTCTCAATTGCAGCTCGGTTAGCCCGGTGAGCTGGCCGAGGGATTCTGGAAGGTTGTCACTAGACGTATTGGCGAGGGTCAGCTTGGTCAAGGAACATAGATGGTCGAACCTATCAGGAAAACCCTTGAAGTTGACCTTAAGATTGGCCTCCGTCAAGGATGAAAGGTCGAAAAAGGATGGTGGCATATCACAAGCATCTGCGTCGTCGTAAGCTGTCATCATGTTAAGCGAGAGGTACTGTAATCCGGTGCATGTCCTAAAGAGGGTATCCGCACCTTCATATTTGAACCCTAAATCAAAACCGTTATTCAAGTTCAGATGGGTCAACTTGGGACATGCAGATCCTAGGCCATGGAGGAAATCCTCATCTGGATTTAGAACGCACTTGTTAATCGTGAGAGAAGTCAGGCGCTTGAACCGGGAGAGGTTGGTTAGAAGTTCAGCATTTGAAGTAAGACGAGGCGGACTGTTGGCGATGGACGTCTGTGTAAGGTAAGCGAGGCGATTCCAGCGTTTACAGACCAAAGCATTATTAAAGTAGCTGGGTGACTGCTTGTTCAGACAACGGAAGATGAGGCAGATGAGGTCGCGCGGTAACTGATTTAACGACACTCGTTTCTTGATTCTACGGGGACGCGAGACCAGGGTTCAGGACGATGGATCTGTTCCAGCTTGAGACATTGTTCGCACGTTGCAGCAAGCTACGGTGAGCTCAAGCGATTGAGAAACTAGAGCCGTTTGAACGTTGCTGTGAAGTGTGGTGAAGAAAAGCAACTGGGAAACTAGGTGCAGGCAGGTATGGTAGACTCGGAGCGAGGAAGTCTAGACTAGATCTGGATGGAGCTTGTTTTCCCTGCTCAGAGTTGGCTCGTCTTTGCTTTGCAACGCTTTGTTAGGCTTCGCTAGGTTTCGTTGCAAGAGTATTGGCGGGTGAAGGAGAACCTTGCGATGGTCCAGCGAATTTTGTTTTCTCTCGCGTGACAATTTCGTTCGGCCTATTGCGACTGTTTTGATTGACGCCGAAGCCGAAGGCTCATCGCAAAGCCAAATCAGTCCTCGCAGAGCAGGCGTTCCTATAGGTCGAGGTTGAGAAGCATGGTAACACAGTGAACGGAAACAAGTATCAAGTCTGAACTCAGCTAGCTCCTAGCCATGAATGATGTTAGTTACATTGAATTCCTTAGTTTTCTGCAACTAACACTGCCCATATTCCTCATCGCTCACATTCCGAATACCTCATTGCGCCGGACGCGCTTTCGCAGATAGGTGTTACAGGTGATGCTCACCTCCTGCACGCGAAATTGCCTTGCACATTATAGATGCCCTGCCCGCGTTTACACGCTGCCCTAGAGGTTGCACCCCGTGTACAAGCCCCCCAAACCACTTGCTGGTAGGTTGGAAAAAACCAAAACACCCAAACAGTAGTACAAAACAGACCCAGTCGACCAGGGTCTGCCGTGTTTCTTAGCCAGAGACAAACATCGCGAAATGACAGGCTGAAACTCCGTTGACGTCGCGTGTCACTTCGCATATGACTGGCTGCCACGTAGGGAGTTTCATGGTGCTTCAAACACACTCTAGGAGAGGTGCAAGAATCTGACGTGTACCTTGCACAAGCTCGGTACAAACACATTGATAACCAAGCATTGTTCAAAATTCACACGTCACACATAGTGGCTGTGGTAACACCGACCCCTCACGCCACAATTCAAGGCCACATACATGCGTGTTTCCTAACAACGGGTCGACCAACTGCCCGTGCAAACGCACACTCAAGCCCCAGTCAGAAGCACACGATTACACTTCAAATAGGTAAGCTTTTTCACTCGACAATCAATCTCTACATCCCGCTAGACCAACATGCCTCGTCTCTACCACCGCAGCCAGTTAGCCGTGCACATCAAACGGGCGATATGCGCCCACCATGTCGCCCACCCCCAACTGCGCCACGTCGATCTCAGCCGCTGGTGTTTCACCCGCTTCGGCATCAGGCCTGATCGCAGCACCATTGGCCGAGTGTTGAAGGCGTCCGAGCGTTGGGCATGCGCGGCATCCGACAACAACAGCGTGCGCGTGCGCGGTGGAGCCCATCCTGAACTCGAGCGTGCGATGGCGCGCTGGATCGCCGATGTTGGCCCGGCTGGTGTGCCGCTGACGCTTGCGACAATTCGCGAGCATGTCGCGAACTTGGCACGCAGCATGTCTCTGCCGCCGACCTTTCGGTGCTCCATCGGATGGGTCCGCCGTGCCTTGCGCCGCCAGGGTGTCAGGTGCATCGCGTCGTGTGGCGAGGCGGCCGACCAGGACCTCGCCGCCGTCCGTACGACTCAGGAGAAGCTACCGCAGCTCCTCATGCACCTCTCCGTGAGGCCGCGCGACACCTACGATTTCGATGAAACCGCGGTCTACATTTCGGTGCTTCCTCGCAATACTTATGGCACGGGCCAAGTGGCGGGAAGGAAGGAGGCGAAAGACCGCCTCACCGTTGGCTTTCTCGTCAACGCGGACGACTCTCACTCCTTCCGCCCATTGCTGATCTCCAAGGCGAAGCGCCCGCACGACTTCCGCCCTGATTTCGATCCGGAGGAATTTTGCTACTGGCGCAACAGCCCCAAAGGCTGGATGACCAAAGCGGTGAGGTTTTATGTATTTATTTGTCACCTCGTTCATACATATGCTTCAGGTACATGAAACCGTGTACGTCATTCCATCCGCTGTGTCACGCCCATTCCCCATGGCAGCTTTTCACTCTCTTCATCGAGCAGCTGAACGCTGCCATGTATGCCGAGGATCGGCATATTGTGATTCTGCTCGACAACGCGAGCAGCCATGTCCTCACGTCGCGAGGCGCCACCACCGAGGATCTATTCGGGTTCCGCACGCGCTCTCTCTCGAACGTCCGCCTTGTGTATCTCCCACCCAACACCACCTGCTTCACCCAGCCTCTCGATCAGGGGCTCATCGCGATGGCGAAGGCGCGGTACCGGCAGCATTGGCTCCGCGCCTTCACCGGCCGCTGGACTGCCGATGGCGCAACCTCGCGCGTGGCTCGCTTCAAGCCCAACCTCCGCGACATTGTGGCCTGGCTCAATGACGCGTGGATGAACATCGCGTTGCGCACCATCCAGCGTTGTTGGTGGCGCACCGGCTGCCTCCCGCGTGCGTGGGCCATGGACCTCCCTCACGTGGGCGACGACGCGGTCGACGCAGGCCGAAATGTGGACATCGGCCTTGACGAGGAGATCGGGGATGTTGGCATCCTCATCGATCGCCTCGGCCTCGGCTCAAGCGCAATGCCGGCCGCGGCATTGGTTGCCATCGACGACAACCAGCCGACATGCGCAGAGCCGGGCGAGGATCCCCTCGCGACCGAGCCGCCAACCGCGCCTTCTGCGGAGATGTGGGAAGCACCCGCCACCATGGAAGCCGTGTACGAAGACAGCAACCCCGAGTCCCGCGAGGCACGGCACTACGCTCGGGCGGCCTCTGAGATGCTCATCGGCTACGTGAAGGCAACCGGCATCACCCCGCGGGACTTGTGCGCGCTCTTCGACATCCGCAACCCCATCATCAGGGCGCGTATGGAGAGCGCCAGCCCGCCGATTAATCTCAACATGAGCCCGCCGCTTGCTATGCCCGAGGGCGCCACGGCACCGGCCGAGACACCTCGTCGGCGTGGCCGCGTCCTGCCGGCATGGATGACAGAGCCCACCCTATCGTGGGTGACTGTGGCTCAGCAGGCGGCTCGCCGCCCGGAGCTGATTGACGGCGGTGCGCCGGCCGTCATGGGAGGCTACATGGCAGCCGCCGAATGGATGCGCCTGTGAAGGGGTTTGATTCCCCTCGGTGGAGTTCAAATCTCCTCCTGATGTCAATGTGCACGTCTTGTGCACCTTGCAGAGTTCGAAAATTGATGCTGGGGAAGTAGCATGAGTACAAGTGTGAGGATTTCATTGGCTGGTGGGTTGGGTGTCGTGTTCGTGACAATTTGAGAGAGGTTGTGTACTCGCATGCTATAGTGGATGGAAAAAAGAGTGGTAACCGTGCAACTTACAAACAACAAAGATGGCCAACCCATACTGTTTGGGAATAAAACAAACATGTAACTACCTGTGTTCTTTTGGAGCACGTCAAGGCTGCGCGAAAATATACGAACAAGGCGAAAAGCCTAAACCACTTACAAGCCCATAGCACAAGGAAAACTAGGGTGCGACAAACGAGCATTAGCTGTATAGTAAAAGCGTCTCCATGCATAGGTGCCTCAGTGCAGTGACTCGAATCTCTGTCACCACCGGCGATGTGGTAACGTATAGCAGGCATTTTTAGCTTTCGCCGCAACTCGCAGATAATTGTCAGAAATTACTCGAAGTCACGTTTTCCTTTCTGTATGATAAGCGTCGTCTGAAATACACCCGGAGAAAGAGGAAAGTATAAGCGGCTCAATCAGCTTCATCGCGGAAAAGGCAAGGGCCAGAAGTGACGAAAATATGACATTTCTGTCACATTTTCGTATACGGTTTTCCGAGGGAAAAAGGCGATGTTTGGAAGTGCCAAGACCAACGTCACTTCCAATGTGACGGTGATGTCACGGAAATGTCACGTAAAAGCTTCCCCCGCGTCACAACCACCGTCACGGCTCAATCACCTGCAAGTCACGCACATGTTACACCGGGGTTTCCTCCGTCGGGTGAATAACAAATGTCACGATTAGACACAATCTTATAGGAACCATACACGTGGCGACCATGACGTCATCATAACATACCGTAAGTTACATTACTCGTACAGTACAAAGCGCCTCGAGCCACAGTCCTGTCCAACCAACTGCCTTCACGTGGACGACCACGATCAACCTGGAATCGCATCCACACCCTTCGTTGTCACCCTATGTAACCAATGCCCATGCGCCATCTTACGCATGCGTCCTATCACCCATTGGTAGACCCTAAATACAGCACGCCTCCATCCCACTACGTGTATACGGCGGATGCCGTTGAATTATGGCAGTGTGTACGGCTGTAACTTTCAGAATAGCTAGGCAAGAATGAATGAACTAGCAGAAGTTTGGGTACAAATATGAAACCCTAGTTGGGGTTGTACCCCATATTGGCTACCCCACTACAGCCTACAAGCATAATACAGTTTAACACACCCCCATAGGCAAAGTGGGGAGAACAAAGGGTCACAAGACCAGTCCAGCAAAGCAAAGCAAAGCCCAGGGTGGATCACAACGTCACCACACTCCGAGCACAAGTAAAGGCCACAAGGCCAGTTCACATGCAGTGCTAGATATAGTACAAGACAAGCAACACAGTGATCAAAACCTAGCAAGCAAGCAACAAGATATATATAAAGTACAGTACAAAGAATGTCAAGCAGTGAGCAAGTGAGGAAACGTGGACACAAGGCCTAAAGAAGTACAGTGCCGCTGATGATCACTAGGCGGGAGCGCCTTGGTGAAGATATCAGCAGTGTTGGCCTTCGAGTCCACGTACACAAGCCGAAGCTGACCGCGCTGCTGAAGCTCTCGAGCAAGAAAGTAGCGAAGAGCAATGTGCTTCGTCCTGTGCTCCAGTCTGTGCTCCTGACACAAGGCAAGAGCCGCCTTGTTGTCACCGTACAGAACTGGAGGAGAACTAGGCCGCTCTCCCAAGTCAGTCAGCAGGTAGGTGAGCCAGCATAACTCCTGTGCAGCCATGGCTGTGGCGTAGATCTCAGCCTCACAACTAGAGCCGAGAACAGAGGAAGAGCGGGTGGACCGCCACGAGACAGAACCAGAGCCAAGGCTGAAGGTGTAACCCTGTGACGACCGCTGCGTAGCCAGGTCGTCCACCCAAGAAGCGTCCGAGTGACCAGTGAGGACAACTCTGTCATGTCCTCCAAGCACCAGCCCCATGCCTGATGTACTGCACAGGTAACGCAGCACCCTCTTAGCAGCCTCCCAGTGCTCTCGCCTGTGTCTCCCAGGCGCAACGTAACGAGCAAGGATGCTAAGAGGGTACGCGAGGTCAGGTCGCGTGCAAGTCATCAGGTACATGAGGCAGCCTACAAGCTCTGGGTACGGGCCACTCGGCTCTACGGACTCGTCCGAAGGTGGAGCTGAGAGCGAGTGGCTGGTAGCCAGAGGTGTGGCCTGTGGTGAGGAGAACTGGAAGCCGAAGCGCTGAAGGACCTGCTGCACCATGTGTGACTGAGTCAGGGTGATGGTGCGGCGAGCTCTGTCCCGGGTGATCTGCAAGCCAAGGTAGCTACGCAGTTCACCCAGGTCAGTGCAGGTGTGTCTCTTCTGCAGCTCCGACTTCACACGAGCGAGTGCCTCAGTGTCAGCAGTAGCAAAGACCAAGTCGTCGACGTACACGAGAATGTAGAACGGCGGCAGCGACGTGTCTGTGCGCAGAAACAGCGACGGGTCAGCAGTAGACGGCGCGAACCCAAGAGCCGCAAGTGTAGTCCTCAGTGTGTCGTGCCACTCACGTGGCGCCTGGCGGAGACCGTAGACTGGCCGGCGGAGACTCCACTGGGTACCAGGGGGAAACGACCCAGTAAAGCCAGGTGGGCGGCGCAGCCAGATCTCCTCGTGCAGGCTGCCCTGCAGGAACGCTGTGCTGAAGTCAAGAGAGTGAAGCTCGTAGTCACGCTGAGCAGCAACGTGCAGCAGAACCCGAAGAGTGGTCATCTTCGGGGTGGGGGAGAAGGTCTGGAAGAAGTCGACCCCCTGACGCTGACTGAAGCCTCTAGCAACGTAACGAGCCTTGAAGACAGGCGGAGAACCTGGCGGCCGCTTCACCCTGAAAATCCACATGCCATCGACGATGTTCGCCCCAGGAGGGGGAACCTCGTCGACGTAGGTGCCTGTGGACTTCCAGGATGCCATCTCTGCGTCCATGGCTGTCTGCCACTGAGAGGAGTAGGGACCCGAGATCGCCTCTGCGTAAGTGCGCGGAGTGGGGATGTCTAGTGCATCCGGGTCTCCCTCAGGGGCAAGCAACCAGGCCACGAGATGAGGTACAGCAGCCGCAAGAGAGTCAAAGTCCTCCTGCCTGTCCTCAAGGACGTCCGTGCCAAGAGCACACTCACCCCCGACGGACGGAGGACAGACAGACGCAGACTCTGACTCAGCAACAAGGCTAGCAGAGTAGTCTAGACGACAGGCAGCAGCAAAGTCAACCAACTCAGCGACCAGAGCAGACGCAGCCGAGGACTCAAAGGTAGGGTCAGTGACAACAGTAGCGAGGAGACGCGTGACTGTAGGGTGCTCAGCGCGATACCGGTCAGACTCAGGGTCCGGAACGGCAGGCAAAGAGGACGCAGGAGGAGACGGTAGAGGGACACGCCGAGGAGCAGTAGAGGGACGCAGAGTCATGTAGTGAGTGCCTGGGACAGGAGGAGGACGCTCACGACGGACACGACTACCAGTGCGAGCAGGACGAACAGGCGACACAGGACGAGACTCAGGCTCACGACGCTCTGTAAGACCTCCTGTGGGACCAGCGTAAGGAGAGGGAGCAGGGAGAGGCGAGGCAGGCAGTAACTGTGACTGCGGCTGGACAGGCGGAGGAAACTCTACGGAGGGAGGAGGACAAGGAGGAGGAGCCTGCCCAAGAACCTGCTGAAGGAGCGGTACGAAGTACGGCCGCGGCCGCGCAGCGTCTCCAGAAGCAGAAGAGACTCCAGCGTCCGGGTCCCCAGCACCAGCAGCAGCGCCACCGCTCGGGTCCTCAGCTCCAGCAGCAGCAGCACCCCCAGGGTCGGCAGCTACAACTCCGCTAGCGCCGCCAGCTCCAGAGTCCCCAGCTCCAGCAGCTCCAGTCGTAGTGCGCCCAGAACAACCAGTCCCGGCAGCTCCAGTACCCCCAGCTCCAGCCGAGCCACTAGGACGGCGAAAGCGCCGGACGTACCAGTCACGAAGCTGCTGTGGTGTGAGAGACTGCTCAGCACCCCGAACCGGAGCACCCCCAGACGCAGCAACCCGAGGCTCCGTAGGCTCAGTAGCAGTACCCCCAGGCTCAGTACCCACAAGCGCAGCACCCCCAGACTCAGCACCCCCAGACTCCGCACACGCCGGCTCAGGACCCCCAGTCGCAGCACCCCCAGGCTCAGCACCCCCAGGCGCCGAACTCTCAGGCACAGTACCCTCAGCTCCAGTACCCGTAGTCCCAGCACCCCCAGGCCCAGCACCCGCAGGCTCAGCACTCCCAGCAGCACCACCTGCAGCAGCACCTGAGTCACCTGTGACCTCGACAGGCTCAGCGACGGGAGGAGGGTCTACCTGAGAGACACCTGAAGGAGCAGGACCCTGAGGGGGAAGGGGGTCTACCGGAGGGGGACCAGGAGCAAGGAAAAGCGGCGGGGGAGGGAGGGGGGCAGTGCGGTAGGGGAAGAGACGGTAAAAAGGGACCGACTCGTCAAAGGTGACATCCTGAGAGGCGAAGACCCGGCGCGAGGTGGGGTGGTAAAACTGCCAGCCAGGCGCGTCAGGGACAAAGCCAAGGAAGACACAGGGAAGCGTGCGGGAGGAGAGCTTGTCCGCGGACGTATCGCGGACAAGGGCACGAGCACCCCACACCCGGAAGCGCGACGCATCGCCAACCTCCCCCGTCCAACGCAGTGTGGGCGAGGTCTCCGGCAAGGAGACACGGGGCCAGAGGTTGAGCTGATGCGCGGCGTACCGGACAGCAAACGGCCACAGAAAATGGGGAGCCGCCGCGTGGACCAAGGAGGTACGAGCGACCTCCATGACCAGGCCAATGCGGCGCTCAGCAACCCCATTCTGCTGTGGGGAGTCCGGAAGCGTGAAGGTCTGCTCGATGCCCTCCGCCTGACAGAAGGTCCTCAAGAGATCGGAGGAAAACTCACCACCTCTGTCAGAGTGCAGACGCAGGACAGGAAGATCCGTCCGGAAACGGCGGCGGAGCTGGAGACGAACCGTGCGGATCCAAGGGATCAGAACAGCAGGGACCTCACCCTTGGTGCGCAAGGGGAAGACCGTGGTGTAACGCGAGTAGTCGTCGACAACCAGCAAAAAGTACCGCTCACCGCCCTGACCACGAACGCGGGCTGGGCCCCACACGTCCAGGTGGAGGGTCTGCAGAGGAGCCTCTGTCGGGGGGAACGAGGAGGAGTGAGGAGCGGCGCGCTGCCGCCCCTCGACGCAAGGAAGGCAAGGCGGCGCAGGCGAGGCAGGGAGGGGAGGGAGGGACCTGGGAAGACCAGACACAAGGTGGCGACGGTGCATGCCACGAAGGCGTGGCAAGGAGGGGTGACCCAGGCGGTGGTGCCAGAGAAGAGTCTGGTGCGACAGGGAACGACACTCACAGGCGTGGGCTACCAGACCTGACGCAGACACCAGACCGACAGCAGCGACCTGAGGAGACGCAGTGGTCAGTGTGTAGAGACTCGACCCCGGCCGACGGGTAAACGTAGCCAGGTGACGGCCGGTCCTGGAGCACGTGCAGATCGCCACACGCTGTCCGCCAGGGGTAAAGGTGTCAACCCACTGATCCTGGAGGACAGCGTTGCTCACCAGGTTCGTCGAGAACGAGGGGAGGTGGAAACCCGACAACGAGCCAGACGGAACCGCCGGACAAGGGAGGACAGTGGTGGACTGGGCAAGGACTGGGCCCCCAGAGGGGTCAGCCAAGGAGACTGGGACCGGTGCAGGAAGCGGTGTGAGCTCAGTACTGTCACGAAAGAAGCAACGGGAAGCACCTGAGTCAAGGGTGAAGGTGTGACAGGCCTCAGCCGGTGCGGTACCTGAGAGAGCAGTCTCTGTGGGTGCTGTACCTGAGAGAGCAGACTCGAAACCAGCCAGGACAGCACTGGGGGGAGCAAGTACAGGGGGCACCATACCAGAGAGAGCAGACTCACTAGTACCCAGGGCAGCGGGCTCTATACCTGGGTCAGGCGGCACACACAAGTAACAGTCTCCCTCGGCACTAACAGTCAATGCATACATGGCAGCAATGATAGCATCATAGTCAAGAGCAAAGACATCAACACCAGCCCTCATGAGCTCAGCCCAGCGGGGGCGCTCAACATCCGCGCCCATCTCCTCACGCCAAGCGTCGTCAAGGCGGGAGAAGCAGCGGTACGGGGTGTGGAACCTCCCACACGTCTGTCCCTTGCGGTCACCTGTGCGAATGACATAAGAACAGCGGCCACTGCCCCCCGACGTCCCACGCTGAGCAAGCCACTCACGAAGCTGCTGGGTCGTCTGGGGACGCTGCTGCTGCTGGGAGCTCTGGCCCGAGCCAGTGCCTCCACTCCGACCGCCGCCGCCACCACTACCACCGCTCCGACCGCCACCGCCACCACCGCCACCACCGCCACCGCCGCCACCGCCGCCGCCGCCACTACTGCCACTGCTTCCGCCGCCGCCCCCGCCTCCACCACCGACCCCACTCCCACCAGCGCTCCCGCCACCGCTCCCTCCAGCACCGCCTCCCCCCCCACCTCCCCCACCTCCTCCCCCCCCAGCGCCACCACCACCACCCTTGCCCCCCTTGCCCTTGCCGGTGCGGCGCCTCCCACCAGGAGCAGAAGCAGCGCCAACAGACTCAGCACCAAGGAAGTCAACAGCAGCAGCAGCAGCGTAGGAGGGAGCGAGGGGAGAGGGAGAACACCCCTCAAAGATGGGGGTGCGAGGAGCGCCACGAGCAGCACCAACAGCTACAATGCTCTTTTCGGCCGCGAGCAGCTGCTCCTCTAGGAGGGCGACTGTGAGCTCAGTGGGACAGCGAGCAAGGAAGTGGTCTCGAACTGAGCGGAGGGTGTCAGGGAGACGGGTGACTATGAAGTGGAGTGTCCAGTACAGTGGAGGGGGGTTCTTAGCGCAGAACTCGGTGGGAAGGGCGGCACGCAGGCGAGCATCACTAGTGCGAAGGTGGGTGATAAGATCGGCGACTGTAGTAAAGGTGGACAGATCGGGGAACAGGTACGGCAGCATGAGGCGGCTAAGCTCGGCTGTGGCAGGCGAGGAGTAGCGAGCAACGACAGCATCGTACAGGGCCTTAGCGGATTTGCAGTCGCCAAAATGCTCGAGCTCAGCTAGCGGCAGGTGACTACGAATGGCTAGGCGAGCAGCTGCGTCACGAGTCTGCCAGTGGGAACGAACACTAAGCTCGGCTGTGGCAGCAGGAGCAGCGGCAGCACCAGACGCGTAGTCATAGAGGGAGATGTGGTCCGTGCTATTGCTCATAAGATACAACTGCAGGTCGTCGAGCCAGGAAGTGAACTGCACGGGACGGCCCTCAGCATCGAAGGAAAGAACGCGAATAGAGGCCATAGCTCAGGCGTGAGGGCACAGCAGAGCAGCGGCAGCAGCAGAGGGGACGCAGCAAGCGGGCAGTGAGGCAGCGGGCGGCGCTGCGAAGCAGGTAGCGGGCGGGCGGGCGGCGCTGCGAGCGGGCAGCGAAGCGGGCGGGCCGCGAAGCGGGCAGCGAGCGGGCGGGCGGGCTGCGAAGCGGGCAGCGGGGCGAGCGGGCTGCGAAGCGGGCGGGCCGCGAAGCGGGCAGCGAGCGGGCGGGCGGGCTGCGAAGTGGGCGGGCCGCGAAGCGGGCAGCGGGGCGAGCGGGCTGCGAGGCGGGCGGGCCGCGAAGCGGGCAGCGAGCGGGCGGGCGGGCTGCGAAGCGGGCGGGCCGCGAAGCGGGCAGCGAGCGAGCGGGCTGCGAAGCGGGCGGGCCGCGAAGCGGGCAGCGAGCGGGCGGGCGGGCCGCGAAGCGGGCAGCGAGCGGGCGAGCGGGCTGCGAAGCGGGCGGGCCGCGGAGCGGGCAGCGAGCGAGCGGGCTGCGAAGCGGGCGGGCCGCGAAGCGGGCAGCGAGCGGGCGGGCGGGCTGCGTGGCGGGCGGGCCGCGAAGCGGGCAGCGAGCGGGCGGGCGGGCTGCGAAGCGGGCAGCAGGACGAGCGGGCTGCGAGCGGGCGGCTCGGCGGGCGGGCGACACTGCGAGGGGCGCGCGAGGGCGCTAGTGAGGGGCGCGCGAGGGCGCTAGCAAGGGGCGCGCGAGGGCGCTAACGAGGGGCGCGCGAGGGCGCTAACGAGGGTGCGCGCGAGGGCGCTAACGAGGGGCGCGCGAGGGCGCTAACGAGGGCGCACGAGGGCGCTACGAGGCTAGGGCACGGGGTAGCGTGGTAACCGCATGCGAGCGGTGGTGGGCCCTTAAAAAAAACGGTCGGTAGGTCCTAGGGACCTCCTGCTCTGAATACCATTTCAGAATAGCTAGGCAAGAATGAATGAACTAGCAGAAGTTTGGGTACAAATATGAAACCCTAGTTGGGGTTGTACCCCATATTGGCTACCCCACTACAGCCTACAAGCATAATACAGTTTAACAGTAACTAGGCTCATGAGTACTGCACATGTAATCTACCAATGCATCCGACCGTCCACGTACACACGCATCGACGATACCTCGCATTCGCCATCGCCAACCGGATCTCACCAATGTCAACGTGTAATTATTCCCGTCCGTTGATATAGACCCATGTGGCCGTTGTACACGTTGCGAGGAGCCACCGATGCTGGCCCACTTGTCATGTCCTCGACCATCCACCACACTATTATCCAACGGTACACCGGGCTGCCGATGCACTTGCATCTACGGCTCCAGTAGGCATAGGGCTCGCCACGCACGGCCCCACGATAAGGTGGATTGGACCTTCCTAAACCGAATCGCGGTCCCTATCTAACCGCATCGTACGGCACACATCCGAACTGCGTTCCGCGTTTGTGACCCTACGCCAATGGCCGTATTTGTCTGCCTCATTATACATTCCGCAGAATGGTTGACGGGGTATGTTTCCCCCATGCTCACGACTTCCAGTGATAACCCGTTCATATTTACTTGTTCCTTCAATGCCGAAACCTTATTGACATTAATCGCTAGAACAGGCGGCCGATGCCGTACCAAATCCCATGCGTGATAGCAGCCTCACACGGCCCACCACCGTTCCCATACAACTCTGCCCCATACGCATTAGACAAATGGTTTAGCTACTCTTCTTTGCACCAGCATACGATGCCACGCATCGCCTCTCGTTGTTCCTCCGATTATGCCTGCGGAGTCCCGCGGCTGACGCTCGCCTCCGCGCTCACTGCGTCGGCTGCCGCGATGCCGTCGGCCGAGATGCGCAGACCATGGCGGCCCCACGCCCAGCTCTGGGACGCCTCGTCATAGGCGGGCCGGAAATCCGCGATGGCCCCTCTAACCGCAGCCTTGACGAGGACGTGGAGGCCGTCCACGATCTGCGCGTTGGAGCTTGCGGAGTTGGCGAAGCGACCCTGGCGTGCCTCCCAGTGCTTGACTGCATCTGTCACCTGTGCACGGCAAACCACATACACGCTTCGCGTGAGGACCCTCTCCCTGGTACTTTTTATTATGTAAAGGCAAACGGAGTAGGCGTACCACGTGCTCCAGCCATGCCACGTGGTAGAGCTTCAGTGTCACGGTCCCGTTCACCATCTTTGGCTTGAACGCCACCCGCGCGCATGCTGTAAACGCCCCAGACGCGAACGGCATCCCGTCAAGGTCGCAACTCCAACGAGACAGTGCCAGCTTATCTGCCACAATACACACACAAAGTGCACATTTAATAACGGTTATCTCTGCATGTGCAATGCACTCCCGTCCGCCTTTCTTGCGGAAGCACCTCCTTACCCGCCGGCACGTCTCCAAGTCCGACCCTATCTCGGATTCGGGACAGGGTGCGCCTCGCCCGTGTCACCCAGGGACTCTTCATGTCTCAGTCGTGGCGAAACAGTCCAATCCTAGGCAGTCCGATGTCGCGGACTCTCCCTGCCGCACCGGTCTTCCAGTCGCCGAACGACCTGTTCAGGTCGATCCAACGTGCCTTGCACGCCGCGAGAGCAACGCTTGCATAGCTGGGAGTCAGGTTATCCACGACTGCGTAGATGGCCCATGTCTTGGCTGCGCTGCTGGGGTAGAATGTCAGCTGTGAGTTGGAGCGCCAAATGAACAGCTCGGTGCGAGCCTGCTCACATATTTCCTGCAATGTAAGACCACACATTACGTCGACAATCACTAGACATGTTCCACTCTGTGTACGGCACCATCTCCCAAATATGCGACCCGACAACACTCGAGTCTTACCTTCCAGCCTTTGTCGGTCGGGAGGAGGTCGAGCTCCTTCTGCATAATGGCAGATGTGGAGTGTCGAAGGTGGCCTTCGTCCTCGTCGTCGAAGTCCCCCTCCTCATCGGACGCCGTCTCGGACGTGGAGCGTGCCCGCCGCGCCTTCCGGCGCTTTCCCTTGCCGGAGCCGCGCTTCCGCCTCCTCCTCTTCTTATTGTTGCCGTCTTCCTTGGGTTTCGCAAGGAACGCCGTCTCCAGCCTTGCAATCGCACGTGCCGTGGCTTCATGGAGCTCCCTCATGCTATGCAGCTCCTCGCGCGTGACCGGTGCGTCATTAGGAGCACGTCCCTTGCCGGCGTCGTCCTCTTCTGCGTCGGCCTCAGCATTGTTGTCCGCTTCCGCACCATCTTCGTCTTGAGTGTGGCTTGGGTTACGACTGGGGAGAGCCTCGTTTGGATCGTCTTCCGACGATGGCGCCGGAGGTGCGTTAGGTTCCCCCTCCACTCGTGCAGAGCCCTCGATGACGTCTTGAACATGACGTTTGCGCCTGCGACCCGCCTTCCCGCTGGATGCAGCGGTCTCGTCAACATGCCGGCTGGACTGGGCAGAGGAGGAACTACCCTCCGAAGTGCTCCTATGCGACATACGCGAGTCCGCGCGGGTCCCATGGGATGGTGTCACAGCTGCATCTCCCACCAGGAAATAAACAACGAAGTTAAGTGACTAGCGCAAAGCACATACGAGCATACTGTGTAGGAATGTCAGAGCGGCCGGGGTAGAATAGACGAAGCATCAGACACATTAGCAGGGCGAAATGTTGTTCACTCACGTGGCGGTGAGGGAGGGCCCCTGACTTGCTGCTCGTTGGCATGTTTCGGAATATCCATACGAGGCTTCTTCGTCACCTTACGCTTAACATTCCCAGGCAGAAGGTAAGAGTTCCGCAGGTATGCAGGTGGTTGTGACACGCGTTGACTCCTGCCCTCACGGGACGACACTGTGAAACTGTCCATCGTGAACAAAGTTGTGGGCAAGAATGAGTCTGGCGGACATAGTGTTCACTACTTACGCATTCAGCGTCAAACCCTTGGGCTCGTCTGTGCTGTACCCCCCCATTACACGTGGCATTCACTTGTCGGTCAGACTGGGTTCGTCACCTGGCGGGTTTTGCCCACATGGCTCAACTTTGACGCAAAGTTATCCACATATCTCGTTATAGAGTCGTGTCATTTGTTGTTTCACAAAGCCGCATTAAAACATCAAGTGCTTCACATTAGCGATACTAGTAAATGTCATCAATGGCGTGCATATGTTATCAGACATAGGTAGACATTCATTATGCGACACTACAAGACATCCACAGGGCGACATCAATGCAGTACGCACTCTATCACAGCAGGAGATAAAACTCCATTTAGCATCACAAGGTGATCACACATAGTACAAAACTTCCTATACACGTCCAACGACCTAGGGACTGCCATCCGTATAGCAATCAGGCACTTCCAGTTTCCCTGACCGCACGGCTCATGTGTCCATGGCACTCCATATACCCATTTTTCCTGTCCATTGCGCCTACTTGTCCTCCGCCTTCACATCGTGGACCATCCGGTCTTCCACGTCGTCATCACCACTGCTGTTGTCCGGCGAGCGAGCGCCATTGTTTTCGAGGGGGAACGGAGTACCAGGAGCAATGCCCAGCTCTGCCATTGCTGTCCTCCACTGACGCCACCTCCACCACATCCGTGCCTTGACCAGATGACGCACGTCGTCGCGAACGCACCCGATCAGGGAGGCCTTCTCCGCGTCCGACAGCTCCTTTGTGTGCGGGATGTGGTCATTGCGCCTGATCACAAATGCAGCCGCGGCATACACATACGCCGCATTGAGCTCCACAGTATACGCACCCAGCCTGATCTGCTGACCAGTGCCTGGCCCGCACACCATCTTAACCCCCCAATTTCGGCCCCGTGGGCACCAACTCACCCCTGTCCAGCGGCTGGATGCAGGCCGCTGACCGTACGCGGCAAGCATGCTAATCTGATGCACGGCCCGTTCTGCAGCCCTAGTGCCCTGACGCGTGCGATACCTGGCAGAGCGCGAGACCGTCGGCGGTGCTGCCAGAGTCACTGGAGCGGTTGGGTGATCCTGCTCCTCCTTCATGGGCTTGACATCTGTTGGTGTCGGGTCACTCTGAATGGTGGACGCCCCATCGAAATGCGCAGAAGGGAACGATGGCACCTGAAGCGGACAGGGCGTCGGGTGGATGGTCATGCCGAGCGTCCGCATAGATGCGGCGTGACCCACGTGGTTCTTGGACGTGGGCTGCGCCAGCAGAGGCGTCCCGTGTGCCTGAAGCTCATGTGCCGCTCCACTCAGCAGCTGATCCTCCGAAATGCCCAGCGAACGTGCCAGGCCCATGACAGCCGCACACACAACGTAACCCCCTAGCTCCATCCGGGTGATCACGCCTGACTGCCTCGCTAGGTCGGTGCGGACTTCGTCCTCCTTGGGAAAGACGAGGGCACCGTGTTCACCCAACTGTGGGAGAGGCTGCACGGGAACATCCACACCCTCCCCAAATAGCTTGACAATAAGGTCACCTGTGGCGTGGGGTGACACCTCCTCGCGGAGCTGACGCCGGTAGGTGTGGGATTTCACGCCGTAGAACGACATCCACTCTTTGAGGGTTGAAAAGCCGGATGAAACTAGTGCGTGGAGATACATGCCCACATAAATCCCACAGTCTACCGCGTTCGACTATTGTGGGATGTCTTTCGGCTGCCAGCAGACACACAACCCGAGAGCGCACACGTCAAGTGACTGACAAACCAGACTGCGTCCGCGTCATGACTGCGACATGAAGTGCACTCACATGCATGATGATGACTTCGGCATACTTCATGTGGTCCTCTGCCTGCTTCCGGTCGGCCGTGGGCAGCTGAGCTTTGTGCAGCATGAGCAACATCCTGCACGGGAAGCATGTTACCGGTGGTCGTTACATATGGCATATCGCAAATTTATCAAGATTGGGCAGGGCACAAGTATAAGATGCACCACTCACTTCTTGACGCCCTCCATCACTTCCGGCCTCTTGGTGTGCAACTGTGCACTATCGTAATGCACCAGCTCCACGATGCCGTCTGCAGTCTCGGATAGCTTCCCGCTGACCATGGTGCGAAGGTTCGTAGCAATGACCAGAGAGTAGTGGCCCCTGACACATGCAATCACGTTGTATTTTAGGGAACGCACATCGACACCAACTGTAATGGGACCCGGCAACTATCAACAGCATGAGCATCAAGAGGTCATCGTCTTACTCGTAGTAGACTGGTATGGCGAGGTAGTCCTGTGCGAAAATACACGGTGCATGGCCAAGGGGCCAAGCCTTGTCTAGGGAGTTCGCGAACGTAAACGCCTTCGTGTCCAGTGCGAACCATGTTTTGCCTCCCTCCAGCTTCGGATGCCTTATGTTCAATAGTCTGAAACACAGCACATATGGATGCTATGGCTCGTCAGCAAAGTTACGGAAAAAGGACATCCAGTCTGAATTAAGGCACACCACAACAGGACGCTTACATGTTATGGAAATCCACAACTGTGTCGGCCAAACACTGGCCGTCGGCGAGCGTCAGAACGTCCTGTGCTGGCAGCTGACACCCCACTCCATGGGGACCGTAGAGCGCCAACGTCTGGAAATCACGCTGATAGTTGGGCCGGGCAAGACGGGCAACTACATCATCACTTGGCGGCGGCGGCACCTCTCCTGCGCCCCTCACCCCGCTGCCCGCCGATGTCACGGTACGAGGGCGGGGCAACTCATGCTTCACCTTGCGCTTTCGGCGATCCTGCTCCGTTGACAGCGAGGTCAGGGCACTGACCGTGCATGATACGTTGTCTCGCTGCACCAGCATACGCTGTATGTTCATCGTGTGCACTTAGAGGACGCAGAAGCGTACTGGTTTAGTAGACGGGAGAGATAGACAGGGAGTCGAGCTTCCAAAACCTAGTCTGCTGTAATGGCAGCTCACCGGAAGACTATATGAGGCAGTTGACATTGAAGCTCTGCAGTGTCTGTTGTTGTTCGGAAACCTCCAGCATAGACACGGAACAACGAGATTGCCATAGCGCGCCAGATCCAGCTGTGTCGAAATTGGCGACGAACGTTGGATATGCATGATGGGCACACATGTCATGATTTCGTATCATGCATCATGCCCTCAGTGGGGACGACGGGATGACTTTGCATGTGGTTGCGAGGTTGCAAAAGTGGGTGTGTGATGGTCCATACTCGCTATTGATTGAGCCTCATCAAACACTCAAAATGTGTGTTGTTGAGAACAAAACTTTCAACTTCTTGCCCCACGCAGAATAAGCATGGACTACCACCACGTGGCTGTGGTCCGGTTCGCATATCCAAGATGGCATTCAAACCCTATCAACACGCTCTCGTTTAACACAGTCGCGCAACAACATTAAAGAAATCACATCCACTTTGATAGTTGCACGCGGCCAAATGACATATCATAGCCCTGCCACACTCAGACGACAGTAAACACCCCTACATACCAAACTCAAAACCCCCCACACCATTATCGCGGCTCAACTGGCCACATTCCAGTGTCGTAGAACATCAAATCACAGTTACAGTTGACGGACGGGGACGCTTGGTTGGCGTCCGACGCAGACAACTGACGACCAGAGCGTTCGACGCGCCAAACCGCTCTGGCGCGTCGCGCACATTAATGCCGAGCGCTAGAGCCTGACGGACAAGGTATTCAGTGACGACGCGCGCCACCCGCCTGCGGCAACGATGGTCATTTTGTAGCGGTCCTGGCTGCGTGTGCAGGGTTATCTCGCGGCCGTCATCGGCGCCTGGGGTGTCGCTCATGGTGTGCTGCACGCGTGGCGGGAGAAGGGTTAGCTCGTAGTGCGCATAATCCGTAACATGCATGAGAGAGTGGCCAGGCCGTGCGAACTCGTCTATGATGTACTGCAGCTGTCCCAGTTCCTGAACAAGAGGTTCAGACAGGACACAAAGAACGGGGTTTTTGAACTCTGGCACGGCGGATCGCCATGATGCTGGCACACAACCCGCGCGCCACCAGCTGAGATGGACCGAAACCGAAGTCAAGTCCCTCCACGTTGAACCCATCCAGTAAACCATGAGGGACAGGGGAGGGGCGTATCGGAACAGTGCCCCGTCGCGCCACTCTGGTGTCATCATCAAATGGCGCAGGTATGAGGCACGGTACAGTGTCTTCCACAACTCTACCAGACCGCACATGCCGGGATGGATGCACCTCGGCGCATTTGGTCCCTGCATGTGAATGATTCGGAGGTTGCTCAGGTTCTGAACGCGGAAACCGTGCTCCGTCATTTCCATTGCAGATGGATCCGTTGACGAGTGGGCGTCCTGCGTCACGAGGACGATGACATGGTCATCTGTAGAGTACGACCTCCCGTTCAGGGCTTCAAGGTACTCGCTGAATATCTGACAAGCATAACACGCGAGGATGGAGCAGGCATGTTAGCAACTGGGGTTGCACGCGGATAAGGTCAAGGCATTCCGCAGACTGGACGGGGTATGAGCAGAAGATTTCCCACCTCGGGCGTGACGAACCCGTCCACGCTGTGTCGCACGAACACGGTAAAACCGGGGGGTGTTTCAAGGCCCTGAGCAATCGCGTCGTCCGCGCGGAATACCAGAAGAGGCGGACACATGATTGTTCCCGTCGCATTGAACAGGAAGCAGACATTGATGCGCCAGCCGGGCAGCGGATCATCGTGTCCATTTTCAAACTGAAGGAAGGGGAGCCTGGTGGGCAAGAGAGGCTCCTCCACGAAGCAGTACACGTCGTCTGGATTAGCCTTTATCTCAGCAAGTAGCATGGCCATTTCTGCCATGGTTGAGAGCTAGAGTGCACCACCAGCACCAGTGCCTTGAATATAAGCTCCACTAGCTTACTCTGTGACGAGGCTCGGATGACTGAGAGCGTCATTGTACACGCTGACATTATCCGCCACGTAATCACATCCGGCAGCACTCTTGTCCACATACGTTAGAGGTGTGGACACATGTAGTAACGTCATTCGGACCCAGTGCGCCACCAAACATCCGCACATCGATGAGAGCGGGTAAGATATGTGGCCAGGATGGCGCCAATGTACAGTGTATTGTTGGGGTTTCGTTCGGGTACGTTCATGTTTGAGAGGTTGTGTTGTTCCTTGAGCACTGGGCAGACCAATGATCATAAGGGTATGAGCTGTCGGTTTGACGGGCATGTTCAACCGATACAAACCGAGGCTATCGACTGCTTTACGTGTTTCATGCAATGTTACTAAAAACGGGTACACATTGGCCGTTCCCCACCGGTAACAAGGTCGCCATCACCGCTTCGGCAGGTCGTACCAACACAGAGGGGGTTGCTGGTACATTTGAGTGTGTGTACGAGTGGCACAGTTTATCGGTAATTTGCAATTAGGGTTAGCGCCACCTCTTGCGATGTTCGGTAACGTGTGCGAGGCATGCGGCTTCGAGCACGTCGACGACAACACGCTCCAGTCGCATGTGTCTAAGAATGTCAAGTGCAGGAGGAAGATACAGCACTCTCGTGCCCAGCGGCTGGTGGAGGCATATCGGGAAGCGCTGCGCGCCAGGCGCGGAGCAAGGCCCCGTTCACCCGTGCGTTCTCGACACAGCTATGAAGGCGACTCTGCGGAGAGGGGCGTAGTGGAACCTGTTGCAGTTACCGATCAACCCGACCCTCCCAAAGGCCTAGAGGAGGATAGCGACGAGGATGAGAGTGTCATGTCAGTGATTGACGACGGCTTCAATACTCTGGTCGAACTGTACATCTTCTTCCGCGAGGAAGATCTGTCTAGAAGGGAGGTGAACAGACTTCTTAACATATTTCAGAACCCTAATTTCTCTTTGAGGGACGTGAGGCGGTGGCTGAATTTCGTGGACGTGAGACGCTTTGGGCGCGACAGGGCGCCAAGTGATCATGTCCCATGGAAGACGAATGACATCAAGTGCTACGGCCCGAGAGGAAGGATGTGTACGCTGCTGCTGCACTACCGAGATACTGAGCTGGTGAGTGCATGTGTACATGCCTGGAAAAAGGGCCACTCAATGTTCGTCTTGCGGAAGGGGGAAATGGACAGACCATCAACCCATCGTGGACATGCGTGTGGCAGCTGGTGAAGAAATTGCTACGCGCATTCCAGCACATTGTGGGATTTGTGACCAAGCCTCGGGCGGACGAGGAAGACACCGAGGAGGTGCGGCATTACAGCACTCCCAACACGGGGAAATGGCTGGAAGAAGCGCAGGTATGAACTCCTGTTCAGCTGAGTGGAATGCGCTGAACCGATCAAGCGTTGCATCAATGACGGTTGGGTCCACCATGTGCGCAGGCGGTGATTGGGGAGGAGGACTGCATTGTGCTGGGTGTGATTGTGTACAGCGACAGCACGCACGCCTCGAGGAATGGCAGACTGGCGGCATGGCCGGTCCTAATCAGTTTGTTCAACATCCCGAAAGCGCTCCGCTGGCAGGAGCCGGGCCGCGTAGTGGCTGGGGTGCTGCCGTTCCCGCCAGAGTGGGCGTCGTCGACCGAGAAGACACGCATTTTCCAGCAGTGCATGGAGGTGATCTTCGAGCCCCTACTTCGGGCGCATAGAGGGTGAGTGGGTGTGGGAGTGGAGCTCACGCGCCATGCTATGACTTACATGAATACAACTTACCATGTCGCCATGTGCAGAGCCAAGTTGCGGTGGTTTTATGTGACGGACGCGACAGGCAAGGTGGTGAAGGCCTTTCCCTGCCTTTTCGGACAGCTGGGGGACTTCCCAGAGTCGTCGCGGTCTACTGCGACTCTGCAGCAAGGCTCACATCGGCCGTGTTCTTCGTGCTACATCAAGGAGACACATCTGGCAGACCTGTCACATAAGTCGGTGGTGCGGACGGTGGGGCTGCAGAGACGGGTCGTGGAGGCAATTCAGTCGGCTGACGACAGCAAGGCGGCGGAGAAAATCAAGAAGCGATGGTCCACACACCCTGTGCATGTGAGGAGTTGCAATGCATAATATGCTCGTATCAAAGTATGGGATTGTGCACATGAGGGGGTGACGCAGCGCCCGTTCATATGTGTGTCGTTGTTGCGTGTGGCAGTGCTATCTGGAAAGGTGGAACTTTGCCGAGACCACGTGGGGTAACGTGTTCCTCGCATGCGCGGCGGACCTTCTCCACGTCCTGGACGGGGGAATGCTGACACGCATGGGCAAGTGCTTTATGATTGGGAAGAGCAAGCCGGAGAGGCGTGAGTTTGAGAGGTGGGTATGGATGGGAATGGCGACACGTTCGGCGTCGTTGCGGGGGCTTTGCTGACCCTATTTCCCAACCATGGCAGGCGCCGCAAGGAACAGAAGAAGGACACGCGCGCAAGTGTGGTGCGCGTCCCGGGGGGGACCACATGGTTCAGCACAGGGGCGAACTACGCCGCTTTCGAGCACAGGGGGATGATGCAGGTGATGCCCCTGCTTATTGCAGACAACATGGAGAAGAGCAAGCCGCCGGCTAAGGCTAAACGGGAACGGAAGGTGGCGGCGTTTGTGGCGTACGCCAGCTTCTACAAGGCGCTGGTGGGCGTGACGAAGCATACCGAGAAGTCTCTGGACGACGTCCGAGAGATGGATGTGCAGTACGTACATCCCCGTTATTCATGTTATTTTTGTTGCGCATCGGGCGTGATGTCCGGCCTAAGCGTGACTCCCATGCGCACACGCAGGATGGTGGCCGCCATTAAGGCCGCATTCCCTGACCAGACGTTGGACTGGAACATCCCTAAGGTGCACCAGATCGTGCACTTGATTGACGGCATACCATTGCGTGGTATGCCGAATGAGACATCCACCAACCTTTGGGAGCACACGCACAAGGGCACGGTGAAGGTGCCAGTCCGAGGCAGCAACTGGCATGACATCCCGCGCCGTATTGTCGAGGAGGAGGTGCAGCGCGAGATTGCACGGGAGGTGGCGGCGGAAGCGGGCGGAAACAGGCAGTAGCGCTGCGCGAGGTGAGGGGGAGGGGTGTGTGCCAGGCTCACAAGGTGTTGTAGAAGGGAGCGTACCATCGGACACACGGTTCTCACATGAGGCGTGCATGTTGTTGTGTGCACACAGGCCGTGCGAAGCATGAAGCCGAAACTGACAAAGAAGTCAAGGAGGGCGCACGTGGACGAAGACCTGGATGCGGTGATGTGGGCATATCGCGAAGCTCATGGGTCAGACATGGACGCACTCGCCGGGTGCATGGTGGCGCAGGCATCCCCACCACTACCATCAAGGTGGGGAATGACGTTGGTCATAACATGGCTGGGAGATGGTTGATGCATCGCGGTGATAGCATGTGTGACGGTAGGGCCAGAGCCGTGTGCAGACATCACACCGCATCCAATGTCCTCCATCTCGGTTGCCCGGCGTACGCAGGTGCACACATTCGTGGCGATCCCCCGAACGCGGGGGGGGGGGGGGAGCTTGTGCCCAAGGGCACATTCGTGAAGGCCAGCCCTTCTGAGCGGTGGTTTTCTGACATCGCAGTGTTCCGGTCTGACGAAGAGGAGTGGTACGCAAGGTGCCTCTGCATCTTCCGCGCCAAGGGGGCGGACGGGGAGATGGGGCGGCACGTGTACATGAAGTACTATGAGGAGGAGGGCACGTGCCCGATGACGACATGCTTGCAGCTGTCTCCCGGCCGTGTGAGAACAAGATATGCGGTGGTGGAAGTCGAGTGCATCCAGAGGGTGGTGCACGTGTGCAAGTCCTATGTGAACAAGCGGGTCATGCTCCTGAACAAGTTCCTGCTGACAGAGTGAGGGCGGTGGGTTATTTTGCTGTGACATGTGGGTCCACTGTGGCCATGTGCGCTGGTCTGGACACATTTGACGCTAATCCAGTAGACACAATAGGTGGCCCATTAAATGGTCCTTTTAATGATCAGGTGCGTCATTTGGTTGGGTTGATGTTGCAGCCCTTTTAACATAATCAGTACTGTCCACCCGGTGTAGATGTAGGCACCTTGTTTGAAAAAGAAAATGTGCAAAGGTGGGCATTTGGTGTAGACCGAGAATGACGGCGATGCTTTCGCAGTGTGCGATGACGCGCGAGCGCCAAATGTGCGATTCGAGGCGAGGTGCGCCTCGCGTGTGAAAATGTGCGGCTCGATTTTCCCGAGGTCGTTTTGAGCCTGAGAGGTTGAGCCTTATCGTGACATTTGCGTTACATTTGTTTTGGGACATTTTGGGGACTCGCTGGCACTTTTTGTATGGTTTTCCGTAGAAAAACCCACTCACATGAAAATTGAGCACCTAACTTTTCCGCGATGTTGTCAGGTCCCTGGTGTTTTCTTTCCTGCTCCCATGGTCGAGCACCAGGAGCTTTCGTGGTCTCAGCGAGCCTTCTCCTTTCGTCTGTCCCTCTCTTGTTTCTAGCGCCTCCCCTTTGCTTTTTTCTCAAAGTCTGGTGATGGAAGTTGGAATTGTTATTGCCACTTCGCTCCTCACCCTGTACTCTCTCCCCTTTGCTCCCCCTCACACCTCTCTTCCCTTCCCGTATTCTCCGCCCTTCCCATCCTTGGCTCGCAATTCATGTCATGACTTGGCTATTGTCAGCCTCGTCCCTCACCCTCCACCCTTCTGTTTCTTCTCGCCTGTTCCCTGCGCCATCCAGGTGACGCTTTGGCCATCCTCGCAGCTTTATAATGCCCGTCCATTCGTGTGATTGATAATGCCACGTCATTCAGCCACAACGTGACGTGTGAAGCTGCCACACGCAACGCTCGAGGCCTGGTGGGTGCACCGTGCCTCTTCCTCTATAAGGTTCTCATTCTTTGCTAAGAGCGTCTCATGCTTTTGTTTGTGGAACGTCTGTGGCTGAAGTATATGTGGCTCTAATCCTAACAACTTAAGAATACCCACAACTCTGTTCTTCTATCGTGTATACCCTGCCGCAAATATTATCACTTCGCGATTCACCGTTGTTTTTTTTTCTAAAACTCATCACTACACTCTCCACTATTTCCCCATGTTCCCTTCCTTTCACTCCTCGCCACAGCACCGCTCTCAACCGCACCAACCCCAGCAGTATGACCGCTTCCCTGCTACCACTTCGCTCTTGCGCCTTCCCTTTCCGCCCCCCTTTTTTCCACCCCCTACCGAATATCCTGTTTTTCTCTCAACCTCGCTTCTGAGAATTCTCAAAATCAACTCTCTTACCTTTCCTCCCCGCATCGCACCTACCACATATCCCTGTTTTTGCACGAGATGGTGCGGAGGCGAGGTCAGATCAGCATGGTGCAGCAGCTGGGAGGGGCCCATGACCAACCTCGTCCAGGCAAGTGCTTTGCGTGTGTGTCATTGCACTGAGGTGGAGAAGAGTGGCACGGCACGGCACGGCACGGCAGGGCAGACCAGGCAGATCAGCATGGTGCAGCTGGGAGGGACCCATGAGCAACCTCGCCCACGTGAGTGCTTGCAGACGTGCTTGACTCCAAGCCTCTTGTTGCATGCACCCCCTATCCTCCCTCCACTCCCTCCCTCCCTGTTCTCCTAGTATCCGAGGTTGCTGCAGTCTGAATGACGGCAGTAGGCGGGAGCAAGGCGACTGTGGGATGTAGCTAGAACAGGACACATGAGAAAACAAGACTGCCTGGATGAGAGAGGTAAACCGTAAGAGCAATGGCAACACGTCTATGTTTCTGAAGCAGCTGCAACTATGTCAGGAGAAATTAGCATAAATGATGCATTTTATGTGTTTCCCCCCATGACCCTTTCCTCTCTCACCCATTCCCCCAACCCCCTCTCTCCCCCTCAAACCCTTGTCTCGTCGAATCTCCTTACCTATAACCAGGCATGGGGATGGACAAGTCGAATATCAGGAAGTGGAGGCAGTGGAGGGATGGATGGATGGATGGATGGATGGATGGATGGATGGATGGATGGATGGATGGATGGATGGATGGATGGATGGATGGATGGATGGATGGATGGATGGATGGATGGCACACGGTGGCATTCCTTCCAGCCCTGTCAGAGGGAGATGGCACACCTGCTATTGAGATTGCAATTGGCATGGTATGCATTGGCTCACTTGCCCCCTCCCACTTCCCCCCTCCCAAATTGCAGTTTCCTGTGTTGGTGAGGTTGGGGAAGGAAAGTGCTAGGTGATGCAAGGAGGTGAGGGGTAGGAGAAGAAGTGGTTTCATAACTGAAGGAGGGAGACGAGCGTTGAGTTTATTGAGTGGAGCTGAGGTAGCATGTGCCATGTCATCATCCCACGTGTCCAGGTATCATCATATATGCCATGTCATCATTCCATACGCCATGTCATCATTCTAGGCGCCACATCATCATCCCGTATGCTGTGTGATCCACTCAACTCCTCGCTTCACAATCACCCTCAGCACCAGATTTGTTGGATCACGGCAGATGCTTCACCATTTCTGGGCCAATTCCTTCTTGAATCAGGGCAGGACTCACCAAGTACCTCACTCCACCACTCTGTACCTCCACTGAATCATCCCCCTCATAGCATCATCTGCTGTTCTTACCGTCGGCACCTTGTCTTTCCTCCTTCAGCTCGCCGCTTTCTTCCCCCGCCCTTTTACTGTTTCTCCATGCATCCACTTCATCCATCCGTTCCTCATCTCACCCTCTCAGCGCCATAATCAGAATCAGTCATCATGAGTCCTTGTCGCATTCAGAAGTCCTAGCCGACTTATGAGTCGATTCAAAAGTCATAATCAGTCCTTGTCGCAATCAGAAGTCGCAAACACTCCCTGTCCCATTTTTCCTCCCGTCCCCTTTCTCCCCATGCTCCCCCTCCTTAACCTTTAGCACCATAAGTCTGGCTTCATATCCCGTGCTTCATGTCATCAGTGTTGTCTCACCTCGCTCAATTCCCACCCACCTCTCACACCCCTTCCCTTCATCGCCCCCTTGCCCTCTCCGCCCTCTGCCCCAACAGACCAGCTGTTGCACTGCTGCCCATCTGCCCACAGGAGAATATGCACTGCATAAGCAAAAGGCACGTCAACTCACGGCTCAGCAGCATTGGCACAATAAGAAGGCACGGCATGGATGGTGCTCCAGCAGCCTGTGTAGCCTGGCAGTGTGTCTCCGCCCACTGCACCGACAAACCAGCTGTTGCAGGCCCACTGGAGAATATGCATTGCATGACCTGAAGGCACAGCGTCGCGCGAAACGCAGTGCTGTAACAAGGAGGAGGCTCGGGATGGATAATCCACTGCATGAACCCAAGGCACGGCATCTTGTGACACAGTGACGCTGACACAAGGAGAAGACACAGCATGGATGATGGCCCAGCAGCCTGTGTGACCTGGCAGTGTGTCTCTCTGCCCACTGTACCGGCAAACCAGCTGATGCAGGTCCGCTGGAGAATATGCACTGCACGAGCCCAAGGCACGGCATCTCGTGACACAAGAGCGGTGGCACAAGGAGAAGGCATGGCAAGGATGATGGCCCAGCAGCCTGTGTGGCCTGGCAGTGTGTCAGCTGCTCATGAAAACAGCCGACACAGACGCGACATGACAGCATGGCAACTGGTGCAGGCACAGCTTGCAGCTCCACCGTGGAAGATGGGCGCCTGGTGGACTGCCAGAGGTCTGCCTCTCATTGAGTTGCAGATTTAGAGATAGGAATGCGAACGAGCATAAATGGCATGTGCTGCACTCTTGCAAGGTGCAAGGCAAGAGCTAGCCCGAGTCCAGTAGCGCTCATCAATGAAAGTGCCGCCAAACATGCAAGGGTCTCCTAACTTGCGAGCGGGTGTAGCGCAGTGACGGCAGGTGTGGTCATTCGCAAAAAGTCGGTGGATGTGTTGGCTGCAAAGATTGCTGTGTTTTGAGTCTGAGATTCTTTCAAACCAAGCTGCAAAACAAGCAACATGCTAGTAGAGTGAACAGCATATCCATAGAACAGTGTAGAGGTGGAGGAACCATAGCAAAGACTTGGTGCTTCCCACTACTGACATCAAGACCACCTCCAGTACGGCAATGGAAAAGAATACCAATCCTGTGCAAGCTTATCTAAAAAATTCAGGTAAAATATAGCATATCCAAACACACCAGCACCCCACCCTATCCCATCCATTCACCCCTTTCCCCCAAACGATCCAATTCCCAACAGTCTACCGTTAACACATCCGCTCTTCACGTTTGGAATCTTGAGAATTGTATCATCATCAAAGCGTGGGCATGCAGTGATCACGAGATTCTTGAGGCTGGTGAGACTGCTCATGGAATCGGGCAAGCACGCTAAGTTAGACCATGAAGTTAAAGTCAGCCGCTGCAGCTTTGATAGATTCTTCATCTCGTGTGGAAGCCAAGATAGGTCGCGAAGGCCAGAAAGCAGGAGCGTTGACAGATTCGAGAGATGACAAATAGACGACATGAAAGCTAGTTGATCCTCCTTGCCGGCCAGGCAGCTGGTCGGCCAACCGAACTCAAGAGACGTGAGGCTGCTCCAATGCTGAGGCAGGGATGGAGAGATTATGTCTATGTTGTCGCAGTTGTTGAAAGTGAATGTGCGGAGATTGGAGAGCTGGGAGATGGTATCTGGAAGGTGAGTAAGGCTTATGAGTTTGCTCAGCTTGAGATGCTCCAGAGATGACAGGCGATCCATTCTCTGTGGAAGGTCCGTGAGTCTTGGGCAATTCTTAAAGACCAACACACGGAGGTTAGAAAGAGTGCAGAGGGAGTCAGAAATCGAAAAGAAACGACTGCACTGTTTGATAATTAGCGTCTTCAGAGAGACGAGGCCTGCCACCGTGTTTGGAAGGGATTCAACACCTTCACAACACACGATCTCAAGAACTCGTGGAGAAGCAAGATGGAAAATAGAATCCGGCAGTGTTAGACGGAGATTGTCATGTGAGTAAAACTCTTGGAGGTTCTCAAGCTGGCTGATGGAGTTCGGAAGAGTTGTCAACCCGTCCAGTTCACAAATGCTAAGCTTGACCAATGCCTCCAGATCACCAACGGAGTCAGGCAAACGGTCCAACGATCCGAGACTTCTCAACAATTGCAACTCGGTCAGCCTGGTGAGCTGGCCGAGCGAATCCGGAAAGTGGTCACCCCACATTGAGGCGAGAGTCAGCTTGGTCAGGGAACTTAGATGGTCGAATCTATCAGGAAAACTTCTGAAGTTGACTCTAAGATGGGCCTCTGTCAAGGATGAAAGGTCGCAAAAGGATGGAGGCATATCACAAGTGCCTTGGTAGTAAGCTGTCTTAATGTTCAAGGAGAGATACTCTAACGCGGTGCATGTTCTAAAGAGGGCATCCGCACCTTCATACGTGAACCCTTTCTGATAACCGTTGTTCAGGTCCAGATGGGTCAACTTGGGATAGGCAGATCCTAGGCCATGGAGAAACTCCTCATCTGGATCTAAGGCGCACTGGTTGAACGTGAGAGAAGTCAGGCGTTTGAACCGGGAGAGGGAAGTCAAAAGTGTTGGAGGTTGAGCGTGGGGGGAGGTTTGCCCCCAACCACCGAATGAAGCTCACATGTTGCGTGAGCTGCAGGTTTCGAAGTGAGTGGGTTGACTTCGGAAGACCCATCGATTCGGTGCCACATGGCAGCACCAGGAACATTCGAGACCCAAGGAGAATTCGGATCGGTGAAATTCGAGGGTCGAATTTCACCCCTTCGAAATGTTACTCGAACATTCGCGAGTGTACCGCGGTTCGAGGTTACATGTGCGACTCGATGTTTGCAGTTCATATAAAATTGTGTTGCTTTGTATTGCATGGATCATACTGAAATTGAGAATCACTTTGTAAGTGATACATTCGACTACAAAATCCAGAGAGCTCCTATCCTTTGTTCTAAGAGCACTAGCAAGCACATAAAAGCCTACAACTCCCTCGTTACTTGGGCGAATCGTGTGTTTGACGGCTCGTTGGAAAGCCAGCAGAGTGCTCTATCATTTAGTGCAGATCCCAGTTCCTGCAAGGTAGAGGAGAGTCCTTTACATAAAAAAGGTCATAATTTGCATTAACGCAAGTCGAGTTGACGATGGACGTCTGTGTAAGGTAGGCGAGGCGATTCCAACGTTTACAAACCAGCGCGTGATTGAAGTGGCTAGGTGACCGCTTGTTCAAGCAACGGAAAATGAGGTAGATGATCTCGTCTGGCAACTGACTATAGGACACGACTCTATGGCGATGCGAGGCTAGGTTTGAGGACGATGGGTCTCTTTCAACCATGGACATTGTCGCGCGTTCAGAAGAATATAGTCGACTAAGGGCGTATTCCTGCACTTCGGGTCATCAGCACTTCGGGTCTTCCGAGATTCTGGGATCCAATCGGAAAATCGGAATGCACCCCAATCTCTTGATTCCGAACTTCCGATTGGATCCCACAATTTCGGATGACCCGAAGTGCTGATGACCCGAAGTGCAGGAATACGCCCTAAATTGAATGGGAAACTGTGGTAGACTAAGGTAGAGGGGAGCGATGGACGAGTTAGGCTGGATCTGAAAGGAGCTTCGAAGCAAATGGAGTTGCTTTGGTTTTTGCCCCAGCGAAAGGGCTTGGGTGGAAGCTTTTTGGTGGTCCAGCGAATCCAAACTGGACTTGTGTTACCGTTTCGCTCCGAGCGTTTAAAGTAACGAAAGCTTCTCGCGAAGACAAATTCGTTCAGGTTCAGCTCGCGTTCTTATTGATCGAGTTGCACAGCTGAACTTGGTAACCCCGACGACGAAATCTCCGTAATGGGATCGGCTTTCGCCATTAATGGTAACCGTAATGGTAACTTGGTTACCGCCCCTTTCGCCAAGCAGGGACTCACCAAGGGTCTACTACTTTCTGCGCTGCACCTTCGGCTGCATTAGATATTGCCTCATGGCGCCAAACGCGCCTGCCAAGATCGACGTTTATCATAAACGCGTCTCCAGTCATAGGTGGGTCAGTGCAGGTTCTCGTGATTGGCTATCACCCACAAATGTGGTTGCTACCTATCACGCAGAGCAGGACTATGTCGCTTTCGCCTTCGCCGCCACACTTCACAGCGCATCAAGCCACGGTCGCCTCAGTGTACTATTATGGTGGATTTTGAGTCAGCTCAAATTCACGGTGATGAAGAAGAAACATCACTATTCGCCGCTCAGTCGCTTTCTAAGGTCGCAAATCTCTCTTTCCTGCCGTATATTCGCCGCTCAGATTTCTCTTCTTCTTGCCGTATATTGAGCTACAAATCGACGAGCCGAAAGATTCGTGTTCGCAGCGCGTTGTTGGCGCCTCCAGTAGGTTATCTCCAAACGACTACCAGTGAGGCGTTTCGGTTAGGGTTCCGAGTGAGATTTTATCAGCCTCGTTCCTCGACCTTCTCTTCCTTCACTCTTCTGCATTTCTCATCCTCTCCCCTTCCTCTCTCTCCCTGCACTCCTCCTCTGCTCCGTCTTCCCCGCTTCCCCTCCCATCCTCTCCTCTTCCCCTCCCTCCTCTCCTCTCCCCTCCCCTCTGCCTCCAGACAACGCGTTGGCCATCCTCGCAGCTTTAAATGCCCGTCCATTCGTGTGCTCGGTATCGCCACGTCATTCAGCCACTATGTGACGTGCTGCCACACGCAATGCTTGAGGCCTAGTGGGTTTACTGCGACTTCACTGTAAGCATCTACCATCCTTGGTTGGAAGCTTCTATATTGTGTTTGTGTATGGAAACTCTGTGGTTGAAGTGTTGGCCTTTCTAATTTCTGAAGTGTTTATCATATTCAGTACACTCCGGGCCAGGCACAGACATTATTAACGCTTAATTTCAACCTACCTATTGCCATCAGTGCGCGGTCCGCGATTCGGTTGAGCCAGAAATTATCCAAGTCTATGCTCTCGTCCTACCCTCTGTTTCGTTCCCTGCCTGCATCTCATTTGCAACACCTAATCCGCGCTGTTCCCCCCCCCCCCCTCTCCCACCCCTCTTTCTCCCCCCATCCCCTCTCTCCCCCTCTTCCTGCCCTCCCATCTCGCTTCCCCGTCCCTTCGCCCAGTGCATAGCAGCAGGTCTCCCAGACACGCCTGTTGTTCAGACCCGGGCAGAACAGCATGGTGCAGCTGGGCGAGGATCCAACACCAACCTCGCCCAGGCAAGTGCTTGTACGAGTGCTTGACTCCTTGCCCTTGTGTCCATGCATCTCATATCCTCCCTCCCCTCACTCCCCTCCCTCCCTTCCCTCCCCTCCCTCCCTTCCCTCCCTCACCTCCCTCCCCTCCCTCACCTTCCTATCCTTGCTGTGCTGCTCGTCTCCCAAACTGTCATTGCTTTCCCAAACCTCCCTCCCAAACCCTTAGTGGGAATATACGCGTTTTGCGTATATAAGCTTATCGTATATACGCGCTCGTATAAACGCTATACGCTGTAGGGACGGGTTTGGGAATCCGCTTTTCCGGGCAGAAAAAAAACTTCCCGGGCAGGGTAAAAAAAACCCGAGGGAGGGAGGGGGGGGGGGGGGGGGGGGGGGGGGGGGGGGGGGGGGGGGGGGGGGGGGGTTGGGGCCGGAAGTTTCAAAGTACTTTTTTTCCACATTACACATATACCACTACATGAGTGGCGCACGGCACTACGTGAGAAGATCCAATACGTGACTTTCGCATCATCAATATGGGCAACAGAAGTTGGAATCGCAATTGGTTGCGAAGGTTTTGAATGCGGTACTGAGTGTGAACACCAAAATGTGAGGGAACGTGCAGGCGCGACTCGACGTACGTGACTTTCCATTCGCGACACGAACTTTCAACCCACGTCCACGCTAGCACACAGCGCGGACGTGCCATCTGACCCCGCCAATGTCTTCGTCGTGCAATTCCGAAGCGAACCGTATAGGTTGAAATTTTCTGGCCGGGCTGCCCCAAAAACATTTGGTGAGCGTATAGCGTATTCGCTTGCGTATAGCGTTTTGCGTATACACGCTAGCGTGTATACGCTAAACGCAAACAGTTTTGAGCGTATATTCCCACTAAGCCCAAACCTCCCTGGTATCCGACCTTGCTTTCATCTGAATGGCTCCAGTGGGTGGGAAGATGATGACGGTAGCATGCATGGCAGTGGGAATGCGGAAGTGGGAACATGAGCATGAGAAACCAACACTGCGAGGATGAGAGATTAAAGCGTCAAGAAGATGGCAGTATAACGTCATTCGGCTTTTTTGCGAGGAAAAACAAGCATAGATGATGCACTGTGCTCATTCCATAACCCTCTTACATCTCATCCCTCTCTCTCTCTCTCCCCCCCTCCCTTCCTTCCCCTGAAACCGTTCACGCTGTGCTTTCCTCCCGTCGAATTTCGTTGTTTGGAACCAGGCATGGGCAAGGTGAATCCCATAAAGTGGAGGCAGTGGATGGATGGATGGCACACGGGGGCATTCCTTCCAGCCGTGTCAGAGGGAGATGGCATGGCACGCCTGCTACTTGGATTGCGGCTGACGTGGCATGGTATGCATTGGCTCACATACTTGCCCCTCCCATACTCGCACCTCCCATACTCGCACCTCCCATACTCGCACCTCCCATGTGTTGGGGAAAGGAGAGAGGTAGGTGAAGTGGTGGTTTTATTATTGTGTTCATTGAGTGGAGCGGAGTAACATGTGCCTGCCATGTCATTTATCCACGCTTCCAGCCATCATGGCATATGTCGTATTATGGATCCATATGGCATAACACCATTCGAGGCGCCATGTTATCATCCCATCTGCTCTACAATTCACTCAAATCAATTCCCTCCTCAATTCCCTCCCCATCACCCTCAGCATGAGCATTCTAGGACCAGGGCAGGAGATGCTTCAGCCGAAGCACTTCTTGGACTCACAAGGTGCTTCACTCCACCACTCCGTACCTCCACTTACTCATCCCTCTCATAACATCTGCTGTCAGTATTCTTTTGGTCAGCATCTCAACTTTCTTCCTTCGCTCCCAGCTTTATTCCCCAAACCTTAAACTGTTTATCCATACCTCCACTTTATCCATCCGTTTCTTCTCACCCTCTCAACATCATGATCAAAATCAGTCAAAATAATTCCTTGACATACATTCGTCCAGGCCCCCCTCCATTTCCCCTCCCCTCCCCATTCTCCCCACACTCCACCTCTCTTACCCTGCAGCACCATCATCACCAATGGGTCTTGCTACATAAGTCACGCCTCCTTAGCCATCCACATTCCAAATAGTCCACATCACAGTGTTGAAGAGGAATTGGCTCAGCAGGTAAAGTGATCAAGAATCGCCTCCCCACACCATGTAAGGTGCTAAAGGCCAATAGGCCAATATGCAGTTCTGCACCCAAGCCATTTCCTCTGCCTCACGACATGCTTCCCTGTGCTAGTGGCAGCCCATCTGTTGGCTGGTCAGCTTTGCCTCACTCACTCCCCACCCCACCTCACCCGCCTCCCTGTCACACCCACTTTTCTTACCCTTGCCTTCACCTCTCCGCCCACTGCACCAACCAGCCATTGCACGGGTCACAGATGCATTGGCGGCACAAGAACAAGCCGCGCTCTTGGGTGATACAAGGCAAAGGCGAGGCACGAGCAGCAGCCTGTGGGGCTTGCAGTGTGTGAGCTGATTGTGAGTGCAGTCAGCTCATGGATGTAGTAGCAGCATGGCACCATGGAAGCAGGTGCAGGCAGTGTTGCCTGCCACCCCTGTGGCACATGGAACCCCTGGTAGACAGCCGCTGTCATGGTACCATTTATTCACTCATGAATTGCCGAGTCAGAGTTGAAAATGCGTTAAAGCCTGCTTGCCACGTGGCCTTGGCACATTGTGAATATCGCAGTCAGTGTCCCCAGCAGAAGTGCGCTCTGTGCCGGCCAGAGAAGGCGCAGCCAAGCGCATGAGGAGTGCCAGGCCTGGGAGGAGGTGTAGTGGTGATACCGGCTATTGTTGCACAAACTTGGTGTTGGCATTGCATAGTGCTTGTGTGTTTTACTAGAGTTCATAATTCCATCAAACACAACAATACCTGAAAGCAATGTGCCAATGAAGTATTGACTAGAAATATACAATGGTGTCTACCCATCACGTGAACTCTCTACCATCATTCCAAAACCCACAAGTCGATATACTCAAACATCCAAGCACCTTCCCACCCCATCAACTCATTCCTTCCGCTCTCCAGGTTTGGAATAAAATTGATAACCTCCCTTTCTTCATCCTCATAGCACGGGCATGCAGTGATCACGAGAGTCCTGAGGCTGGTGAGACAGCTCACCGACTCGAACAAGCTATGCAGGTTAGGGCAGTTACTCAAAGTCAGCCGCTGCAGATGTTGAAGTTTCCCAATCTCATACGGAGTCTCAATCAGATCTGGAAAGCCCATCAGGACGAGCGATGTCAGGTTTAAGAGATTGCAGAACGAAGACGTGAGGGCCTCTTGATCCTCGCGGCTACCCATACAGCTGGCTGGCCAACCAAACGCAAGAGACGTGAGGCTGCTCCAATGCTGGGTGAGGAATAAAGGGACATCAACAACACCATCGCAGTACGTGAAGGAGAATGTGTGGAGATTGGAGAGCTTGGAGATGGTATCTGGAAGGTGAGTAAGGCTTTTCAGCTGGCTCAGCTCGAGATGCTCCAGCGACGACAGGCGATCCATCCTCTGTGGAAGTTCCATCAGCCGTGTGCAATTCTTAAGAACCAGCACGTGGAGGTTAGAAAGAGTGCAGAATGAATCAGAGATCGTGAGAAGTCTATCGCAATTCCTGATATTTAACGTCTTGAGAGAAACGAGGCCTGACACCGTTGCTGGAAGAGATGAAACCATGTCACAATACACGATCTCAAGAACTTGTAAAGAAGGAAGATGGAAAAAGGAATCTGGGAGTTCCAGGAACACGTTTTCATGTAAATAAACCTCTCGGAGTTTCGGAAGCTGGCCGATGGTGTCGGGAAGAGCTTTTAAATTGTCCATTTCAAGAATGCTGAGCTTGACCAATGACTTCAGCCCACCAAGAGAGGCAGGTAGGCGGTCGAGCGTTTCATTTCTGAACACCTTCAGCTCGGTCAGCCAGGAGACGTGACCGAGTGAATCCGGAAGGTCGTCGCTCCATACAGTAGTGAGTGTCAGCTTTGTCAGGGACTTCAGCTCCTCGAATCTATCGGGAAATTGATCGAAATTTACTATCAGATTGACCTCCGTCAAGTATGAAAGGTCGAAGAAAGACGGTGGCAAATCACAACTGTCTATGTAGGCTGTCTTCATGGTAAGCGAGAGTTACTGCAACGCAGTGCAGCCTGTGGAAAGACTATCTGCACTTTCATACGTCAAGGCTTCTCGATATCCGTTGTCCAGATCAAGATAAATTAATCTGGGACAGACCGATCCTAGGTCGCAGAGGAACTTGTCATTGTCTTTGTCGAGAACGCACTCGTTGATCTTAAGAGAAGTTAGGTGCCTGAACCGGGAAAGGGATTTCAGAAGTTTAGAATCTGCAGTAAGGCAAGGCCGACTGTTGGCGATGGATGTCTGTGCAAGGTAAGCGAGGCGATTCCAGCGTTTACAGACCAAAGCGTGATTGAAGTAGCTGTGTGACTGCTTGTTCAGACAACGGAAGATGAGGCAGATGAGGTCGCGAGGTAACTGATTTAATGACACTCGCTTCTTGATTCTACGGGGAGGCGACAGCATGGCTCGTGTCGATGGATCTGTTCTAGCTTGAGACATTGTTCGCACGTTGCAGCGAGCTACGGTAAAAATACGGAAATATAGAAACTAGAGCCGATTGCACGTTGCTGCTAGCTATGACAAGACTCGACGTTTACGTCGGAAGGGTTGCGTAGAGTTGTATCCCATGTATTAGATACATTATGATAGAGTACATTATAATTGTATTTTGCTTATAGAAGCAATGCATTAAGTTTTCCATTTTTACTTAAAACAGGACAAGCTCGTAGTTCCCTATTATGAAGTTCTATAGATGTGGTTTCCATCAAAATTGTTTTTAGTGTTATTTTTTTATGGAACAATTTGGACATTGATGCTCTTTTTGTGATTTTAATACATGAACTATTTTCACCAACAACTTCACTCCACTGTTCAATCAGGTTATTATAGCGGATTGGGCGTTTGCAACTAGTGTATCTGATGTGTCAGCCAGTTGGATGGCGTTGGGTGGCATTGCCGAATGCCCTCGTTCTGCGCTGGCAGAAATTTTCTCGTTCTGCGCTGGCAGAATTTTTCTCGTTCTGCGCTGGCATAATTTTTCTCGTTCTGCGCTGGCAGAAATTTTCTCGTTCCGCGCTGGCATAATATTTTCTCGTTCTGCGCTGGCATCCGTCTCTTTCAGAGCTCGAATTCGGCGCTTTCTTTTCTTGGTTCTTGTTCTTGCTTCCTCTCGACAAGCACCTGCTCTGCTCCTACTCCTTCCCCCCCCCCCCCACCCACCTTCCAGTTTCTCGCCCATTCTTCAACCACCCAGCCGTCGCTCTGGCTCCCATCCAGCAATATCCTCTCCCTCACTACCTCCCCTCACCTCTCCAACCCACCTCACAATCACTCCGTCCCATCCACCCCGCCATCTCCTCTCCCTTACCTCCCCGCCGTCGCCTCTCCCTCCTCCCCGCCGTCGCCTCTCCCTCCTCCCCGCCGTCGCCTCTCCCTCCTCCCCGCCGTCGCCTCTCCCTCCTCCCCGCCGTCGCCTCTCCCTCCTCCCCGTCGTCGCGTCTCCCTCCTCCCCGCCGTCGCGTCTCCCTCCTCACCGCCGTCGCCTCTCCCTCCTCCCCGATGTCGCCTCTCCCTCCTCCCGCCGTCGCCTCTCCCTCCTCCCCGCCGTCGCCTCTCCCTCCTCCCCGCCGTCGCCTCTCCCTCCTCCCCGCCGTCGCCTCTCCCTCCTCCCCGCCGTCGCCTCTCCCTCCTCCCCGCCGTCGCCTCTCCCTCCTCCCCGCCGTCGCCTCTCCTCATCCCCGCCGTCGCCTCTCCTGCCTCCCCGCCGTCTCCTCTCCCTCCTCCTCGCAATCGCCTCTCCCTCCTCCCCGCCGTCGCCTCCGGCGACAGGTGCACGAGCGCAAGCGCGAGTTGGTGCGCGAGGGCGGGTCGGTGCGCGAGCTCGGGTGGGTGCGCGAGTGTGGTTTGGTGAGCGAGCGCGGGTTGGTGCGCCAGCGCGGGCTGATTTTTGGGGCATTGTAATCATCAGGTGCGTTCTCGGTCCTTTAGTCCACCCGCCCCCTTCTGAAATTTCCCCTTGTTTCTTTTCTTTTCTGCTCGCCTCGTAAATCTTGTTAGTCAATTCGTCTCCTCTTGCATTGCACTTTTGTTTGAAGAAGGGGAGCGCGAGGGAGAGCGTGTGCACCGAAGCGCGTGAGAGTGCGCGTGAGAGTGCGCATGCGAGAGCGCGTGCGAGAGCGAGTGAGAGAGTGCGTGAGAGAGCGCGTGAGAGAGCGCGTGAGAGAGCGCGTGAGAGTGCGCGTGAGAGTGCGCGTGAGAGTGCGCGTGAGAGTGAGAGTGAGAGAGCGCGAGCGCGTGAGACAGCGCGTGAGAGAGCGCGTGAGGGAGCGCGTGAAAGATTGCATCAAAGAGTGTGTGAGAGTGCGCGTGAGAGTGTGCGAGAGAGTGTGCATGAGAGAGCGCGTGAGAGAGAATGCGCGAGAGAGTGCGCGAGAGGGAGTGCGACGGAATGCGGGAGAGCCCGTGAGAGAGCGCATGACAGATTGCGTGAGAGAGCATGCGAGAGAGCGCGTGAGAGTGCGCGAGAGAGAGCGCGTGAGAGAGCGCGTGAGAGAGCGCGTGAGAGTGCGCGTGAGAGTGCGCGTGTGAGAGCGAGTGTGTGTGAGAGTGCTCGTGAGAGCGCGTGAGAGAGAGAATGCGCGAGAGAGTGCGCGAGAGGGAGCGTGTGAGGGAGCGCGTGAGAGAGTGTGAGAGAGCGTGTGCGAGAGTGCGTCCGAGAGCGCAGGAGAGAGCGTGTGATAGTGCACGTGAGGGAGCGCATGAGAGCGCACGTGAGAGCGTTTGAGAGAGCGCGTGAGAGAGCGCGTGAGAGAGCGCGTGAGTGAGCGAGTGAGCGCGTGAGTGTGCGCATGAAAGAGCACGTCAGAGAGTGTCAGAGAGCGCGTGAGAGTTCGCGTGAGAGAGCGCGTGAGAGAGCGCGTGAGAGAGCGCGTGAGAGAGTGTGAGAGAGCGCGTGTGAGTGTTGACTTCTCTGTTTTTGCTTGTGAAGGGCGCGTGTTAACTTCTCTGATTTTGCTTTGTGCAGGGCGTGTGTGTGTTGACTTCTCTGATTTTGCTTTGTGCAGGGCGTGTGTGTGTTGACTTCCCTAATTTTGCTTTGTGCAGGGCGTGCGTGTGTTGACTTCCCTGATTTTGCTTTGTGCAGGGCGTGTGTGTGTTGACTTCCCTGATTTTGCTTCGTGCAGGGCGTGTGTGTGTTGACTTCCCTGATTTTGTTTTGTGCAGGGTGTGTGTGTGTTGACTTCCCTGATTTTGCTTTGTGCAGGGCGCATGAGCTGAGAAGGGAGATGAGGGAGGGAGTGGGATGGAGATGAGGGAAGGAGGCAGGGAGGGTTGTAGGGAGGGGAAGGTGGGATAGGGAAGCAATCATTTCTGCATTTCTGAATTTTATTCATGACGGTTGCGTCTTTATTACGGTCTCTGTATCTATCTGTGCTTGTTTGCGTGTGCTTATTGAGAAAATTCATCAACTCCTGAAAAGCCGTCTCTGCTTCCTCCCCCAACACAAAATTATTGTCCTTGTGTAGTAGGTCAGCGCGCCGGTTATCCCCGCCATATTCGGGATAAACCGCCTGTGTGTTGTGCGTGTGCTTATGTGTGTGTGAACGTGCGCGTGTGAGCCTATGTGAGATATGTGTGTTTGTCTGTTTGCACCTGTCTGTTTCGAGGCGTGTGCTAAAGTGCCTCGTGTATGCAACTGATGTGTGCTGTTAAAGTGTGGCGGTCTGCATTTGAGGTGGGGATCGTTGTTGGGGCAGCGTTGCTCGCCTTAGCATACCGGAACCACCTCTGCTGTAGCACCGATGCATTTTAGCATTCACTCGGTACATTTGTTTGTGTTGTTTGTGCACGTGTTATGCAACTGAGGTGTGATGTTAAAATGTGGGGTCTGCATCTGAGGTGGGGATCGTTGTTGGGGCAGCGTTGCTCGCCTTAGCATACCGGAACCATCTCTGTTGTAGCATCCATGCATTTTAGCATTCACTCTCAGCTGTTATGTGTTGTTGCACGTGTTCAATAGATGCGCTGCACATGATTTGCGTTTACGTCCAGTGGGTGTTTCTCGTCTACTATGTTTCGTGACGACCGATTGTTCCATTCGCCGTATTTATCGACGATTATGGAATGAAAGGTTCCATTTGGTTTCATTTTTGGGGGACTCTTGTGTCAGTGCTTTCCGTCATTTCACAACTTTGGAGCACTCGTTTTGAAAACGTTGAAACGGGGCTTTAGACGTTGGGAAAATGACAAAAACCGCACTGTTCATTCGAGTCGACCGAAAAGTGCTACCAAATGTATAGGGTTGCTACGCAACCCAATAAACTTGAAGAATTGGGATACTCGAGCAAAGCGCAATCGAATGGAGTAGATGAACGTGGTGAGGGCTGGATATGGAGGGAGCTTGCTTGCTCGTTGTGACCGTTGGAATGGATGTGCGGTTGGGGGCGGATTCCACACTTCGTGTCATCCGCACTTCGTGTCATCCGTATTTAAAATTCCCACGCAAAGGGTTTTCGTATTTGACTTCGGGTCATCCGACGCGGCAAATTTGAGTGGTCCAAAATGTTCGGAAGACACAATGCCGGATGACACGAGGACAGGAATCCGCCCTCGCTGGTGACTGGTCCCTGGTAGCTCGGTTCGGAAGAAGCTGTGGATCTCTTGTGGCTGTTCGTGCTCGTAGTGCCCCTGTCGTTGCGATTTGTTGTCGACGACGTTACCAAAAGCTCGTCGCAAAAGCAAAATCGGTCTAGGAAAAAATGTTCGTTTGATCTGAATTTTGCTCCTCGCCATGAATTTCGTTCAACTGAAATGAATGGACTTCACAGCCTACCATCAGCCACTCTTGCCATTACATTCAGAGCAGCACCTTCTCCTACAATCACCGCTGCCTAATTTCTTATTACCTCATGGCGCCAGACGCGTCTGTTCCAATGGATGTTATTATTAACGCGTCTCCGGGCATAGGTGGGTCATTGCAGTGTCGTGAATCGCTGTCCACCGATGCGGTTACCGTTACGCCACAGCAGGCCTGTTTCGCTTCGGCGCAGCTTGACGCTATAATCTAAATAAATAAATAAATCCAAGCCACGCTTGTCCTTATCCGAATATAGTTTATTCTGCTTAGTCAGCTTCTGAGATCGCAAATATTTTCCTCCTTGACATCTGGAGCACCTAACCTCAACCAACTCAGAAGCTTCCGTAGTCTCAGAGAGCCTTCTCCTTTCCGTCTGTCCCTCTGCCGTCTCTCGCGCCTCCATTTGGCTTTTTGCTCATCTCTCTCACACATCACTTCTTCCCCCTCCCCCTTCTCCGCCGCTCCCTCTGCCATCCAGACGACGCTTTGGCCATCCTCGCAGCTCTGAAGTGCCCTTCCATTCGTGTGCTCGGTATTGCCACGTCATTCAGCCACTATGTGACGTGTGAAGCCGCCACGCGCAACGCTCGAGGCCTGGTGGGTGCACTGTGCCTCATCCTTTATAAAGATTCCTCTTTCTTCGCGAAGATCTTCCCATGTGTTTGCTTGTGGAACATTGGTGGTCGACGCAGTACTATGCGTATGCTACAAATCTGTCCTTCACGCATGTTGTGTATACCTTGGAAACCGATGTCATGTCCTCTAGATTCGGCAAAAATCTTCTCAATGTTACTTGTTCTTCCACACAACATCCTCCCCTCCATCTTCCTACAACGCTGCCCCTTATTTCCCCCTTGCCTCCCCTCTTTTCCCTCCTATTCTTCCCCTCCTCTTCCGGCTTCCCCACCTCCCCTCCCACTTTTTCCCACCCATCATTCCCCTCTTCCCGCCATTTTCCCCCAACCCCCATCCCGTTTCTCCCCATCTCCCTCACCCTCTCTCCCAGTGCATAGCAGCAGGTCGCCCAGACACGCCTGTTGTTCAGGGCGCCACAGCACCACTCTCAACCGCACCAACTCCAGCACTACGCCCAGTATGTTGCCGCTTCACCCTTGCGTCTTCCTTTTCCCCTCCCCCCACTACTGAACTTCCCTGTTCATGCACACAACCTTGTTCATCTCCTTTCCTCCCCCACTCCATCTATCAAACCCGCCTTTCATCCCGCCCGTCCTATTCAATTTCCTGCTCTGCTTTCCAAGCCTTCACTACCAGCCACCGCCGCCGCCACCACCACCACCCCCACCACTGCACCACTGCTGCCGCTGCTGCCACCACAACCATCACCACCTGCCTCCCACCATGTCTCCGTTTGTCTTCCTCTCGATTTCTCATCAACAGTCAAACGCCCCCGAGACCAGTGGAACCACCACCAGTGGCAGCAACAGCACCCGCACCACTCCCCCCCTGCCTGCATGCTCCTCGTTTCTGGGCCCTGACGGGCTGGCAGGAGCGCTGCTGCCTGCTGCATCTCCTGAAACCCAACGGGGTGACCCCACAAATTGCATCACTGATACCTTAGCTTCCACTCATGTTTCCACTGCTGCTAGTGGCGGGGATGGAGAGGGGAAGGACGGGGGGAAGCAGGCAGGAGCGCAGGAGCAGAGGGCGTGGGAGTGGATGTGTGAGGAGGTGGCGAGGAGGCCCGGGCAGATCAGCATCATTCAGCTGGGACCCATGACCAACCTCGCCCGGGTGAGTATGCAGTTGTAATGAGGTAATTTATTGTCAACTTGATTGAAGAGGCGAGGAGGCCCGGGCAGATCAGCATCGTTCAGCTGGGACCCATGACCAACCTCGCCCGGGTGAGTATGCAGTTGTAATGAGGTAATTTATTGTCAACTTGATTGAAGAGGCGAGGAGGCTCGGGCAGATCAGCATCGTTCAGCTGGGACCCATGACCAACCTCGCCCGGGTGAGTATGCAGTTGTAATGAGGTAATTTATTGTCAACTTAATTGAAGAGGCGAGGAGGCCCGGGCAGATCAGCATCGTTCAGCTGGGACCCATGACCAACCTCGCCCGGGTGAGTATGCAGTTGTAATGAGGTAATTTATTGTCAACTTAATTGAAGAGGCGAGGAGGCCCGGGCAGATCAGCATCGTTCAGCTGGGACCCATGACCAACCTCGCCCGGGTGAGTATGCCTTGCATGCGTGCCGTTGCACCGAGGTGATTTCTGAATCGACTTGAAAGGAGGTTGGAAAGAGGACGGACCAGGCAGAGCGGCAGAGCAAATTATCGAGGTACAGCTGGAAGCCCGAGGTACAGCTGGAAGCCTTAACCAACTTTGCCCACGCTGGTGCTTGCAGCAGTCCGTGACTCCTTGTGCCCACGCATCCTATATCCTCCCTCCCTCCCCTCACCTCCCTCACATCCCTCTCCTCCCTCGTCTCCCTCATCTCATCTCCCTCACCTCCGTCTCCTCCCTCCCCTCACTACTCTGCTCGTCTCCCTTCCCGAATCCCACGCATCCCTGACACAGTGCACGCCCTCTCCTAGCGTCCCTGACACAGTGCACGCCCTCTCCTAGCGTCCCTGACACAGTGCACGCCCTCTCCTAGCGTCCCTGACACAGTGCACGCCCTCTCCTAGCGTCCCTGACACAGTGCACGCCCTCTCCTAGCGTCCCTGACACAGTGCACGCCCTCTCCTAGCGTCCCTCCATTGCTTTTCTACTTCAAATCCATCAGAGCTTCTCCGTAGCATCGGCGGCCATCTGGGTGGTGGGGGGTTCCTTCCCTTTCTTCACCCACTTGCACCACCCAGTGCTCACCCTCACCTCGCCCTCCCCCTTTCCTCCCCAATCCGCTCTTCCTCTTCACCCACTTGCACCACTTAGTCCTGACCCCCACCTCCCCCCTCCCCCCTTGCCCCCACCAGGCACTCTCCCATCGCCGCTCGCTAGGTTCAGAGCTGGCGGGCATCTGGGTGGTGGGAGGCTCCTTCTTCGCCAGTGGGGATGTCAACTGCTACTGTCGCACTGCTCTCTGAACATGTATTATACATCACACCCTTCCCCCCTTTGCTCCTACCAGGCCCTCTCCCACCACCCCTAGCTGGCATCGGAGCTGGCGGCCATCTGGGTGCTGGGGGGGGCGCATTCTTCACCCACTTGCTCCACGGTCCACCCACTTGCTCCACGGTCCACCCACTTGCTCCACGGTCCACCCACTTGCTCCACGGTCCACCCACTTGCTCCACGGTCCACCCACTTGCTCCACGGTCCACCCACTTGCTCCACGGTCCACCCACTTGCTCCACGGTCCACCCACTTGCTCCACGGTCCACCCACTTGCTCCACGGTCCACCCACTTGCTCCACGGTCCACCCACTTGCTCCACGGTCCACCCACTTGCTCCACGGTCCACCCACTTGCTCCACGGTCCACCCACTTGCTCCACGGTCCACCCACTTGCTCCACGGTCCACCCACTTGCTCCACGGTCCACCCACTTGCTCCACGGTCCACCCACTTGCTCCACGGTCCACCCACTTGCTCCACGGTCCACCCACTTGCTCCACGGTCCACCCACTTGCTCCACGGTCCACCCACTTGCTCCACGGTCCACCCACTTGCTCCACGGTCCACCCACTTGCTCCACGGTCCACCCACTTGCTCCACGGTCCACCCACTTGCTCCACGGTCCACCCACTTGCTCCACGGTCCACCCACTTGCTCCACGGTCCACCCACTTGCTCCACGGTCCACCCACTTGCTCCACGGTCCACCCACTTGCTCCACGGTCCACCCACTTGCTCCACGGTCCACCCACTTGCTCCACGGTCCACCCACTTGCTCCACGGTCCACCCACTTGCTCCACGGTCCACCCACTTGCTCCACGGTCCACCCACTTGCTCCACGGTCCACCCACTGCTTGCTCACCCTCACCTCCCCCTTCCCCTTTGCTCCCACCAGGCCCTCTCCCACCGACCCTCGCTGGCATCGGAGCTGGCGGCCGTCTGGGTGGTGGGAGGCTCCTTCTTCGCCAGTGGGGATGTCAACGCAGCTGCAGAAGAGAGCGTGAGTGCTGGGGGCGAATGGTATTGGCGGGAAAAGGGGTGGCAGGAGGGAGGTGCAGTGAAGGGTGGAAAGGGAAAGGGACGGGCGATGGGATAGCTTGATATTGGTGGGAGGGAGGGAGAGCGTGTGTGCAGTTCGGGAAGGAAGGGCGGATTGGTTGAGCAGTGAGGAAAAGCGTGAGGGATGGCATATTGACTTCCATTGGCTCTTGCTTTTGCCCCTGCTCTTGCACTTCCTCTTCCCCTTCCTCTATCTCCAACTACGCCTGTGTCTTCATATCTTCTCCTCTCTCCCCCCCGGCACTGGAGGTACTTGCAAACCCCGAGCTTGTTCCAACAGTGTTTGGAGTTTAGCCCTCTCCCCTCGCCTCTCCGCGCTGCTACCCTTGCCTCTCCCCTCTTTCCAGATCCCGAGGTAGAGCACCAGATGCTGACATGACAGAGGGGGCACCAACATCCGCTAGTGCTGAGTCTCCTCTCCGCCCCCCTCTGCCCCTCTCCGCCCCTCTCTGCCCCTCTCCGCCCCCTTCTGCCTCTCTCCGCCCTCCTCTGCCTCTCTCTGCCCACCTCTGCCCCTCCCCACCCCTCTCTGCCCCCTCTGCTCCTGTCCACGGCAGGTGTTTGCAGACCCCGAGGCAGCGGATCTGGTGCTGACGAGTGGCGCGAACATTCCCTTCTCTCCACCCTTCGACCCTGCCCCCACTCCGCTCCCCCACTCCCCACTCTTCTGTGCCCCTCTACTCCTGTCCACGGCAGGTATTTGCAGACCCCGAGGCAGCGGATCAGGTGCTGACGAGTGGCGCCAACATCCACGTGCTGGGACTCAACGTCACCACACAGGTCACACTCACAGGTGTGTTGGTGCGTTGCAGATGCACGTGCTATCATGGTAATTGCTTTGTGCTATCAGATTCTCGTAGGCACTGATGAAGGCCTGGTAGGGGATGCCCTCCAGCCGAAACATGTTTGTCTTGTTTTAATTTCTGTTAACGAGAGGAGTTCCGGTTTTACAAGCTCTTGACTAGTAGCCAGTGTTTTAGATTTTCACTGTCTTTTCCTACTTGCTCTAGCCTGAACCTAAGTACTGCCGCTCACTGGAAAATGTCCGAGGATCTGCTATCATGGTAATTGCTTTGTGCTATCAGGTGTGTTGGTGTGTTGGTGTGTTGGTGTGTTGGTTTGTTGGTGTGTTGCTTTGCTTTGCTTTGTTGCTTTGTTGCTATGGCGGTGTGTTTAAGGTCAACAGACCAGGTCCTGTCGAATGGTGGAGCCAGCATTCACGTGCTGGGACTCAATGTCACCACACAAGTCACACTCACAGGTTGTTGACAGTTATTCATTAGAACATGCATGCTCCACGTGCATTGCAGCCATCGATGTGTTGCAGGTGCGGATGCTAGCATGGTTATTGTTCCTTTGTAGCACCAGTTAAGGGCTAGGGCGCTTGGGTGTCATGCGAGGGCCAACAGGCCAAATGTCATCCACATGCTGGGGCTCAACGTTTGCCACTTGCATTGCCCTGAAATTCGCCTGAACTAAAAAAATCGCCTAAGATATGGCAAGAAAAAATGCAAGAAAATCTGCTCTCAAACAGCACTTCATATACGGGCCATCAGCAGCTCTCTTACTCCCCTTTCGTCATCTCCATGCTTCCCTCTCATCCCCTCTGGCCCCTCCCTTCCGCACTTTTATCGACACTACACCTTCTTGCCCTCTCACCGCTCATGCTGCTCCTTTTATCGATGTCATGGTCCCGCCCTCTGCCTGCTCCCTCTGCCCGCCAGGTGCAGACCTTGCCTCCCTGTGCTCTCAAGACGCGTCAGCGTCGCCAGAAGCATGCGAGAGCGAGCATGCAGCTTCGCCCTCACCTGCAGCGTCTCTGGTGGCACGCCTGGTGCACGCATACAGGGGCCACCACCAGCAGTCCGACCATATGGACGGTGCGTCCGGTGTGGTGGGATGTGGTGGGATGTGGTGGGGTGTGGTGAAATTGGGTCGGGTGGGGCGTGCACTTTGCATTGCTTTAGCTTCACTCCGTTCCATCCTCTCTTTCCTACATCTGGCCATTGCTCTTCCTTTCGTGTTCTCGTTCACCTTGTTTTTGAGAATTCTCAAAACGATCTGGCCATTGCTCTTCCTTTCGTGTTCTTGTTTACCTCCTCAATCAATGCCTCTTGCAGCCTCCCCCACCATTTCCCTCCTCCCCACTTCACGATTTCCAGGAATCTTCTTGCACGACGCGTGTGCAGTGGCAGCCATCGTGGCGCCCTCACTCTTCTCGTTCAAGCGAGGCAGCGCGCGTGTGGAGTGCACTGGGGTGGGCAAGGGGTGCACGCTCATGGACTACTCGCTCAAGAAGTGAGTGAACTGTGCTCCTAGTATTTTAGTAAGTGGCAGCGATCGTGGCACCCTCACTCTTCTCGTTCAAGCGAGGCAGTGTGCGTGTGGAGTGCATGCACCAGTCGCTCAAGAATTAAGCAGCTTTATCTTAAGTGTGGCAGTGTGTGAGTCGAGAGCATTGGAGCAGGCAGGGGGTGCACTCTTATGGACTCCTCGTTCAAGAAGTGAGTGGCTCTATCTTTGACGTGTACGTTCCGTTATGTGTGTGTGCGGAGAGCACTGGGCTGAGCAACGTATGCATGCTGGTGGACGTGGCGTTCCAGCAGAGAGCAGGGAGGGATGTAGCAGATCTTCGGACATTCTTCCGAAGATCTGCTTAAATCTACTCCTACACAAGCGCTGCTCACTGGAATAAGCTTTGAAGATCTGTGTTGAGCAGCGTATGCAATGCTGGTGGACGGGTCGCTCCTGAAGGTTGCAATGCTGCAAAGCAGGGAGGGATGTAGCAGCAGCGGTAATAGGGTCTGCTCATGTGTCAAGGGATGTGACAGAGGGTGCCACGCTGGCAGAGGTCAAGAAGCAAGTGAACGTGGCTGTTACCGTCAATTTTGACAGGGTTGTTACTGCAGTTAAAGACACATGGCTTGCAGTGCATGATCATGGGCTACTGAGGGAGCTCTGGCAGGATGGGTGGATTGATGAAGCAGTAATAGACAGGTCCATCGGGAGTGCACTGCACTCTTCCGGTTCTTCTCAGTGACAAATAGTGTTCGGGGCTCGTCTGAATGGGGTGTGGAAGTGGGTTTTTTTGTTGTTCTGCCTCCCCCTTCCATCCGCGCACGTCGCACCCTCATTTTCAACATTTTCTGTTATCCCACCTGCCCCTACGTCCTCTCTCCGGCCTCCCATCAGTTGAAACGGCCCCAACCCATGGGTGGGGGTGCCGCCAGTGCAAGTGCATTCTTAAGGCACCTACTTCAATGCACGTCCCTCCTTCCCTCCCGCCTCCCCGCCAGTTGGAATGGTCCCAACCCATGGGTGGGGGTGCCGCCAGTGCAAGTGGCCATGGCTGTCGATGCTGCTGAGGTGGCAGCCAATATCACCCGACTGCTTTCGTCTGTCGGATGAAGCAAGTGGGCATGATTGCTGTTTATGCGCACGAATAAGCGAGCGTTTCAAAGCTGCGAGGATAGCCAGAGTGTCGTCTGGAGGAAGCGGAGAGGAGGGAGGGAGGGGAAACAGAGAATTGAGGGAAATTGGAGAGACTGAGGAGCGAGGTTTACAAAAAAACAATTCCAGAGCCTATTTGGAACTCAGTACATGTTGAGAAAAAGCCTATTGGATGGCCCTGCGATGAAGAGAAGCAGATAGAAGGAGAATGTTTGCTGAGATCACATAATTTTCTGCAGATCACTGTGTATTTTGTACCTGATGAGACGCTAGGAGTTGAGGAGTATATTAGCCGCTAAGATGGGACAACTAACACAAGGGATTATGTATCATAAATAGTACTACTACAACTAATCTTGATTTATACTATTGATGTACCATAAATCATGGCAAGAAACCAGAATTTACTTGAAATAAAATTTTAATGCGTTAGGTTACCTACGTCAAGTTTTACGCGTGGTGAACTGAAGCTGTAGATGGACAAATCATGTTTCCGCGAAAAGTACTCATAACGCGCTGAACGAAACGGTTTCACCAGTCGAAAATACACCTTGCTCTACAAGAAACGCTTCGAAAGCACGACCGCGAATCGAAGGCAGCGAAACCGAGGGCCCAGAAACCCGCCCCACTGGGAACCAACGCGTGAAAACAAAAGCGCAAATACCGAATCACAATCCCCGCACCCCAGTGCGCGCTCCATAATCCATTCCAGGGCGTCTCAAAGGCGTATCGGACACGTGCCACGTGGCACGTGTCCGATACGGACCCACTAGACCAGCTCGCGAACCGCAGGGTGATCCGGTGGAGGACAGAACAAGTACGCGGGGAATAACCTCGTTATAGCGTTGAAACGGGGCCGCGGGTGGTCCGAACGACTCTGATTTTATTCGCGTGTTTCTCACGTCACGGAATGGTGAGTGAACACCAGGCAATAGAAAGAGGGTTCGTCGATACTGTGTAAATCTCAGAGGTTGTACAGTCCCGTGACGCGACAAAATCTTGCAGACCAGCTCGTGTCTGGTCCACGCCACGGCTGGACCGCCTCGTGGGTCCGACGGACCAGCATGCCGGACCAAAGAATATAAACTGAGGTCGCGACAAGGTCACATGAGACACGTCCTCAACACGGATGTTGCCAAGCCAACCTGAGCCAATGTTGTCTTCAGATGACACGACAAGCTCCCTCCTACTCCTACATATCCTGCCTTCAGTGGAGGTATGTAGTACAACTCTCAGTTTGCCAGCTCTCTACTTCCATATTCGCTTTGGCATACTACGCTTCGCAGCAACGTGTTGACAATGTCCAGCAACGAAGGAGATCGGTTACCTCACGATCTCATCTGCTTCATCTTCCATTGTCTGAACAAGCAGTCACCCAGCTACTTCAATCACGCGTTGGTCTGTAAACGTTGGAATCGCCTCGCTTACCTTGCCCAGACGTCCATCGCCATCAGCCAGCCTTCCCTTAAAGCAGATGCTGTTCTTCTGGACTCCCTTTCCCAGTTCAGACACCTGACTTCTCTCACGATTAACAAGTGCGTTATTGACAAGGATAATGACGAGTTCCTTCGTGGCCTGGGATCTGTCTGTCCAAGGTTGATCTATCTTGACCTGAACAACGGAGATTATCCAGGGGTGACGTATGAAGGCTTAGATGCGCTCTTCACAGGCTGCACTGCGCTGCAGTACCTCTCGCTTACCATGATGTCAGTCAGTTCTGATACGTTTGACCGTCTACCTAACTCTCTTGGTGGGCTGAAGTCACTGGTCAAACTTAGCATTCGTGATTTGGGCAGCGGAATACTTCTTCCTGACACCATCGGCCAGCTTCGGAACCTTCGAGAGGTTAACCTAAATGGCAATCCCCTCTCTGTACTCCCTTTCGAGCTTTCTTCTCTGCAAGTTTTTGAGCTCGTGAATTGTAAAGGTTTTGACTTCCTTCCAAACGCACTGTCGGGCTTCGGTTCTCTCAAGTCTCTAACTATCAGAGATTGTCTAGACTTTGATTCACTCTCTGACTCTCTCTGCAATCTTTCTAACCTCCGCATGTTGGTCCTCAAGAATTGCCCAGCTCTTTGGGACCTTCCAGAGAGCATGGATCGCCTGTCGTCTCTGGAGCATCTCGAGCTGTGCCAACTCAGAAACCTTGTTCACCTTCCTGAAAACCTTTCCAAGCTCTCCAGTCTCTGCAGCTTTTCCTTCAACTACTGTGAACACGTTCGGACAGTGTCTCCATCCCTTCTTCAGCATTGGAGCCGCCTTACGACACTTGAGTTTGGATGGCCAGGCAATTGCTCGATACGCAGCGAGGATCTAAGTTCCTTCATGGCGTCTATTTGCCGGCTCTCGAATTTGAAAACGCTCCTCCTGTTTGGCTTTCTGGATCTGTACGAGCTTCCAGAGGAGATGGGAAATCTTTCACAGCTGCAGCGGCTGACTATCAGTTCGTGGCCTTCATTGCTCTGTCTGCCTCAGTCCTTGAGCAGTCTCACCAGCCTCAGGACTCTCGTGATCACTGCATGCCCGTACTTTGGGGATGAAAAGCATGAGGTTATTCCCAAGATCCCAAATCTGGACAGTGGATGCGTTGATGGTAGAGTACTGGGAAATGGATCAATTGAGAATAGGGGAGTCAGTGGAAGGGGATGGTAGATGCAGTACTTATCGCTGGATTGCGGTAGGGGTGTGTTTGTTTTACATTTGCAGTGATTCCTGTCTTCGTACTTCAGATGGTCAATGTTGACAAGCCTTACTGTGTATGTCTTCACTGTCGCTGTCGCTATCAGCATCATTATTGTCATTATTTTTACTGCCTGCGTACCATAGGTAGTTTCCACCCTTTGCAGACCCCAAGGCAGCGGATCAGGTGCTGCGTCAACGTCCTCTTTTCTCCAACCCTCGACCCTGCCTCCTTTTCTCTACACCCCTCCCCACCCCTCTCTACCCCTCTGCTCCTCTCCACGGCAGGTGTTTGCAAACCCCAAGGCAGCGGATCAGGTGCTGACGAGTGCTGGGGCTCAACGTTATCACACAGGTCTCACTTACAGGTGTGATGGTGCGTTGCAGATGTACGTGCTATCATGGTAGTTACTTTATATAGCACCAGTAATGGGCTACGGGCAATGCGTTAAGGCGAGCAGATCAGGTGCTGACGAGTGGGGCTTAATGCTACCACTCGTATCGTATTGCACTTGAAGTCGGCTAGAAAGGCACCCCAAAACGTGCCCCACGTACAGACCACCACCAGCTCTCATATTGCCCCTTACGCATCTCCATGCCTCCCTCTCACCCCTACTTCCCGCCCCTTCTGCCCCCCACTTCTTTCCCCCCCTTCTCCCCCACCCTTCTCCCCCCACCTTCTCCCCCCCCCTTCTTCCCCCCCCTTCTTCCCGCCCCTTTTGCCCGTCCCTTCTTCCCACCCCTTCCACTCCTTCATGTGAACCACACCTCCCTTCCCTCTCACTCTTTCTGCCCGCCAGGCACAGACCTTGCCTCTCTGTGCATGCAAGACACAGCGGCCTGTCCAGGAGCAAGCGAGAGCGAGCACACCACTGTGTCTGGAGCAGCTGGGACGTCGCTAGTGGCAGGCGAGAGCGAGCACGCACCTTCGCTGGTGGCACGCCTGGTGAATGCATTCAGGGCCCACCACCAGCAGTCCGACCATATGGATGGTGCGTGGGGTGTTGTGTGCACTGTGCTAGCGCAGGAGAGAGCAATATTGCTTACTCAGCAGCACCAGCAGCATCAGCGTCTCTGGTGGCACGCCTGGTGTAGGCATTCAGGGGCCATCACCACCAGTCCGACCACATGGATGGTGCGTGGGGTGTGGCATGGTAAGATGGGTTGGGATGAGGTGTGCGCTTTGCACCGCTTCTGCACCCTAAACCATGTTTCTGCTTCAGTCCTACATTTGGCCATTGTTGTCCCTTTCATGTTCCATTCACCACCTTGCTCGAAGCTTTTTGGAAGCTGCTTGAAGCTTACAGTACGAGGTGCAAGGACAGGTCCATCCTTTCGTTGGTACAGATGCATGACTTTTCTTTGATGGTCTCAGTCATCCCATTGAGTGTACATACCCTCAACCACTTCCACCCACTTACACTTCCCCCCACATTGCGCCTTCAGGAATCTTCCTGCACGACGCGTGTGCAGTGGCAGCGATCACAGCGCCCTCACTTTTCTCCTTCAAGCGAGGCAGCGTGCATGTGGAGTGCACCGGGGTGGGGAGAGGATGCACTCTCATGGACTACTCGCTCAAGAAGTGAGTGATTGTGCTCCTAGTGTTGTAGTAAGTGGCAGCGATAGTGACGCCCTTCAAGCAAGGCAGACTGCGCGCGGAGTTCACTGGGGTCGGCCGAGGATGCACGCTGATGAAAAAGTGAGTGAAATGTGCTCTTGGTATCGGCACAATCATAGCGCCCTCACTTTTCTCCTTCAGGCGAGGCAGCGTGCATGTGGAGTGCACCGGGGTAGGTCGGGGATGCACGCTCATGGACTACTCGCTCAACAAGTGAGTGAACTAGCTTTCAGGTGCATGTTCAGTAAAATATGGAAAAAAAGAATGTGATTAAAATTCTCCTGAAGGGCTGTAGCAGTGGTTGCAGGCACGTGGCAGGAGGCGCTCTCTCACATGGCGCTCTCCACATGGCGCTCTCTCACATGGCGCTCTCTCACATGGCACTCTCTCACATGGCGCTCTCTCACATGGCACTCTCTCACATGGCACTCTCTCACATGGCGCTCTCTCACATGGCACTCTCTCACATGGCACTCTCTCACATGGCGCTCTCTCACATGGCACTCTCTCACATGGCACTCTCTCACATGGCGCTCTCTCACATGGCGCTCTCTCACATGGCGCTCTCTCACATGGCACTCTCTCACATGGCGCTCTCTCACATGGCGCTCTCTCACATGGCGCTCTCTCACATGGCGCTCTCTCACATGGCGCTCTCTCACATGGCACTCTCTCACATGGCGCTCTCTCACATGGCACTCTCTCACATGGCGCTCTCTCACATGGCACTCTCTCACATGGCACTCTCTCACATGGCGCTCTCTCACATGGCGCTCTCTCACATGGCGCTCTCTCACATGGCGCTCTCTCACATGGCACTCTCTCACATGGCGCTCTCTCACATGGCGCTCTCTCACATGGCACTCTCTCACATGGCACTCTCTCACATGGCACTCTCTTACATGGCACTCTCTCACATGGCACTCTCTCACATGGCACTCTCTCACATGGCACTCTCTCACATGGCGCCATGTTACCTTTTTAGCATGGGGTGCACTCTCCTTTCTACCCTTTCTGTTGAGGCGCCTCAGTTAAAGAAATCTCTCATTTCTGTACACTCTCTACCCTCTCCCTTCCTGCATTTCCTCCCTCCTGCCTTCACATCAGTTGGAACGGCCCCAACCCATGGGTGGGGGTGCCGCCAGTGCAAGTGGCCATGGCTGTTGATGCTGCTGAGGTGGCATCCACAATCACCCGACTCCTTTCGTCTGTCAGATGAAGCTGCATGGTGGTATGGCGTGGCCCTCTCCTGCAAGTGGCCATGGCTGTTGATGCTGCTGAGGTGGCAGCCACGATCACCGGACTCCTTTCCTCAGTCGGATGAAGCTAAAGTTGTCAGTGCAGTTGGTGACGCAGAGGAATGGATGGCCATTTAAAAACTGCAAGGATAGCCGAACCAATGTCTGGATGGCAGAAGGAGGTGGGGAGGAGAGGGGGAGGGATGACGAGGGTTGTGAGGGTGGTTTCTTCTAAATCAAGAAAATCACTAGCTGGAAGGGTCGGCGATGGAGGCGGGAGAAGGCGGTTTCACCCTCAACACATGGCAAGAAGAGATTCGCCACCTGATGTTTCATCTTCATCACTATAGTTCTGATATTACCCAATTCACCATAATACGGTAGTGTACAAAGAAACCCGTGGCTTTCTTACTCTCAACTGCTGTACGAGTGGCCTGCTGTTCATGATTGCTGGTAACCACATCCGTGCTGGATCGCAATTGAAGACGTGACTCACATGTCTATGCTTGGAAAGGTGTGCTTAATTATGAACAAAGCTATTGTTGGAAACAATGATTTAAGCGCCCCTGTCGTGTCGAAACACTGAGTCGTTAACGAAGCAAGCAACAACGCAAAAACAGCGAGTCAACCATCGGAGGTTGACATGCACAAGCAAACCGCTAGAGGTTACGCGAAAGTCAAAGGTCAGCGACCTTTGACCTAACAAGTACAGCGCGACAGCAAGGACACACAACCGACTCGTTATTGAGCGGTTGCCCGAGTCGTCACTGTATCGAACCGCAACAGCAACAGTAAAACGGTTATTAACTATATCTCTTCATATTCCTTGTACTCATATAAAACCTTGTATCTTCTTGTTTTAATCAATCTACTTTGCCCTCACATACCAGCGCAAGGTGGTTCAACAATCTTCATTAAACGCTTCCGCTATTACATCATCTCTACTAGGAGTTTAGTCCTGCAAAGATCCTAAGGGCTTTTTCTCAGCCCAACATGGTATGAGAGCAGTCAGGACAAATCCCACTATCAAGAAACATACAACATCAGAAGGCATGGCTACTCAGAAGGAGAGAAGCTCCTCCAATGGCTCCCCCGGAACTACACCTACTCCACCTCCCGCCTCTGGTCTACAGACAGAGGAGGGTACGGCAACAAGACCAGCAGCAAGGTCCACTGAGACTCCTGCGAATCAACCCGCAGGCTTCAACCCAAGCATGATGGAGAAATTCTTCTCCTTCATGTCCTTCTACGAGCAACACCAGCAATCGGCACCTGCGCAGTCAAACAACAGCAACAACAACAACAACGTGACACCCATGAGTCTCGACGGCTCATCGTACGCGCGCAGAAATCAGCAACAGCAGCCCACCTTCACTCCATATGAGCCTCAGCGAGGATCAATTAGCTTCATGCCGTATCAGCAAGCCTCACCTGCACAAGAAAGACCATTGGATGCACTTCAAGCTCAGTCCCAGTTCGCACACGTCTTGAAGCTACAAACATCAAGGCCATTCGATGGTAAAGACTTCTTCACCTGGACGTTCGAGTTCGAGCTAATGATGGAAGGCGCGCAGATTCTTGGCTTCTTCGACGAATCCCTGCCATTCCCAACACATGGCACACAGTACGACAAGCAGCAGTATACGTATCAGTCACTGATGGCATACACAATCCTGCTAAGGAACATCACTTTAAACCAGCAGTAGAATATTCGGTCTTACCGGGGATACGGTAACTCCGCGGAGCTCGCGTACAACCACCTGAAGAACCTGTATCAAGCAACGGACAGCGTCAATCAAAGTCGGTTAATGGTGCAATTGACAACAGTGGAAATGAAACCAGGCGAAAAAGGGATGGCGTATATCAGTCGCTGTCGCGAATTGCGCGACAAACTCCTTCGATGCGGAGGGTCGATATCAGAAGACGCCTTCGTCACAGTTGTCCTCGGCGGTCTTGGTCCTCAATGGCGCTGCACTCGAGCCATTCTCCGAGCCCACGGGAAAATCTCCGAAGCAGCACTCTGCGCCGAGATTCACGCCGAGCAGCAAGACATGGACCTGCAAGAAGAACGGCACAAAAGAAAGACGTCAGTACCTGAGTTTGCCTTCCACACTCAGCGGCATTACAACAACAACAACCGGCCTCAACCGAAACCCGTACCTCCGTTTTGCCATCTCTGCAAGACATCAGGTCACCCCCGCACACACTGCCCAAACCGGCAGCAGCTAACACCAACGCAGCGGCAACTTCGACCTTCAAGCAGTCAAGTCGCCTCAACGCAAGCGAATCCCACCACTCAAGTACAAGCCTCAACAACATCGACGGGACAACCTGCTCAAGGAACAAGAAACATCGTCAGTTGCATGGCAAGACTGACCGACTCCTGCGTCACCGAGTCACCGCCGCACTACTCACCAGAAGAACAACTTGACAACAGCACTCCTCGCTGCGAGTCACTTCAGCCGAACCCAACGTACGCAGCCATCGCCCAAAGCGAACCGTCCGGGAAGGACACCTGGTTCTTGGACAGTTGCTGTGGACAACACATGTGTTCTTCGGGTCGCTTCGTTCAACGGGAATACCAACTTCAACGCGAAGTCGTCATCACCGTCGCCAACAACCAGAATCTGCGCACACGACGACAAGGCGTAGTTCAACTTCAGTCACGAGAGACAAACGTCATACTACAAATGTCGAAAGTTTTAATAGTAGAAGGACTCGGCTACAACTTACTAAGCGTCAGTCAGTTGATGGCGAAAGGGATCCATCTCGAGGCAGACAGCACCACTCAAGAATTCAAACTGTACCACGGGAGAGGCGGACTTTACATCGGGAAAGCAGTATTGAAGAACAACGTCTTCGTCCTCGACTTCGTTCCAGATCTTGGCACCGCCGACAGCGACGGCATCGTCAGCTTTGCTCCTTGGACACACCCGCCGGATCTTGATTCCGACTTCAGTCCGAGTGGCTTCTGGCATTCACACACGATACCTGAAGCAGAACGAACAAGGGCATTAGCAACGATTCAACAATCGGCAGCAGCAGAGACAACATCGGCAGCAGCAGAAACAACATCGGCAGCAGCAGAGACAACAACGGCAGCAGCAGAAACAACATTGGCAGCAGCAGAGACAGCGGTAGCAGCAGCGACAACCTCGACACCGATTGCTGGTCCCTCAACAACACCCGTCCTCGTCAACAATTCGCCACCGACACCTGCACAACAACTAAAGCCAACTCCACGAGAAATCCATCGAAGTGCCAACTTCACTGCCGGCTTCTACTCCAACTCCGACATGTATCGGCGCTCACCCGGACACCGCGCCAGCGAATAAATCTGGCATGCAAGAATGGGACACCCAAGCAACACAACGTTAAACAACACGATAAGAGCAGGAGTGCTCGACAAAGATTCACTACTACTGCACGACGGGAGAGAACTCCAACGAGTCAGAGGAACATGCTTCACCTGCCCTGAAGCCGACTTACCGCATCAGCCGTTCGTCTCTCACCACAACCCGAGCGCACCAGCGTACGCACCACTGGAGAAGGTGTACAGCGACATCCTGTACAACCGTGAACCCGGACAAGGAACATACAGCTACGTCATCACGTTCATAGACGCCGCCACACGCTACGTCTGGCACTTCAACCTTCCTAGCCGAGACATGGCCTTCGAAGCCTTCGTCGCCTGGCTCCCAGCGGCAGAACGAGAGTCAGGAGTAAAACTGAAAAGTTTCCAAACAGACGGGGGAGGAGAATATCAGTCACAGCGATTCAAGCAGTACCTGGCAGAACGAGGCATCAAAAGGCTCATCTCCCTCCCCTACGCCCATCAACAGCAAGGCGTGGCAGAAAGAATGAACAGGACTCTGCAGAACACCATGCGCAAACTGCTACGTGGCATGCGGCTACCCACCCACCAGTGGCCTGAGGCGATGGACCACGCTGTCATGCTGCACAACTTGCTCTCTTCGTCGTCACTCCCGAACAACGCATCACCGCATCTGCTGTGGACAGGAAAACTGGGCAGCACAAAAATGTTACGAGTCTTCGGCTGCATGGTACAGTACCGACCCCCAGCTGCACGAGCCGGCCGATTCTCCCAACGCGCACAGTGGGGACTACACCTGGGCATCGAAAAGAACTACAACGCATGGAAGATTTTCGACATCCACTCAAAAGAAACAGTAGCAGCACGTGACGTCATTTTCTACGAGCGACTCACGCTCCCGACATACCTTGCCAACCTGGAAGAAGACCGGGACCCCACAAGTGGTTTTCGTGGTGACCGAGCCTTCGCCTCGGCAGCAGACGAAGCTGGCTTGGACGAGCAAAACGTGGACGGAGCCTCGGAAGAAGCCGGACCACTACCTTACCGTTCGGTTGATATCCCCATGGACGACGAAAATCCTCGCGAAAGCATCAACGCCGACGTTTATTACGACCTGGTCGACACTGATTTTGTTACACCCGCCCAAGTCAACACCAACAAAGCCGAACGCATAGGACCCAACTTCGTACCTGATCCGGAAGACGATGACGAAACAGCTTATCCCGAGGACAAAAATATCCCCCGCTACACACAGAGTGGCCTCCAGATCTTTGGCCTCGTCACCGCAGTCCATGGCACGGCGCCTCCTAAGGAGCCTGCCACATTCCAGCAGGCTCTGGGGGGGGAGCACAAAGAGAAATGGCGCGAAGCCATGGACAGAGAGCTGAAAGAACTGGAAGAACGAAACACCCGGAAAATGGTTCCCATCGGCGCGGCACGCAATAAAACAATACTCATCGGAAAGTGGGTCTTCCGCGTGAAGATACAGTAAAGGCAGACGGCACCATCGACAAATTTAAAGCACGCTGGGTCATACGCGGTTTCGACCAAGAGCACGGACGCGACTTCACTGAGACATTTGCACCGGTCAGCCGACACACCTCACTGCGGATTCTCCTCGCAATTGCCGCCATGAAGAAAAAGAAGCTGCGGCAAATCGATGTCGCAAACGCCTTTCTCTACGCACCTGTCGACGCATAAATTTTCGTCGAACTACCACACGGCTCCAGCGGAGAGCCCAATCAAGTCTGACAGCTCCTGAAGTCCCTGTACGGCATCAAACAGGCCCCGAGACTGTGGCAAC